GCACTGAGCCCATTTTAGAAGGCCACGACCAGCAGGGTTTGATCTGTGACAACGCCAATGCTGATGGTGACAATTTAAATCACCAGCTATGATTAGATTGTTGGATAAGGTGAGCAATTTGTTAAAATCTACCACAGGTAAATTTCCACCTGGTGGAAGATAGGCAGAGATCATTACAAGGGAGGGTGAATTTTGAATGAAAATTTCGATGATTGTTGCCTCGAGTTTGCTCATACTCGGAGTGTCAATTCTTTGTGAGGAATTGAATTTTTAATATAGACACAAGTGCCACCATGATAAACATCACGAGTATTAGAAGCTTGTCTGTCATTTTTATATAATGCATAATTTGCAAGCTTGGGAGCTCTCCCTGGCTGGAGTTTGGTCTCTTGGACAAAAATAATATCAAAATCCTTCTCTTCTACATAGTCTCTAATCTCATGGAATTTGGATAGGATGCCATTTGCATTCCAGGTGCATAGTTTTATGTTTTATCAATCCTTTCAAAGTATTGAATTTTACTGACTGGGATATCAGAGAATTGGAGAGTAATATAACTCTCAAAGATGTAGTATGCCGCGTCAGCACCAGATGGAGCCACTCTGAGCTGCGGTAAGGCGTTTTTTGAATGCCAGAAGTAATTTGCTGTGGTCAATACCAGGCTGATTGGAAATTTGAATAATAGCCAAAAGGATTTCGGTACAATTTAGTGTCGAATTAGCTCCTAAGGGGGCCGATAAATTTGGAATAATTTGTGGTGCAGCCTGTTGCATACCCGTAAGGGCAGCAGAGTATGAAACTCCAGGGCGAATATTATTTGCACTGGGAGTGTGTGTAGCCGGCAGTATTGGAAATGTATTATGTTGTAAGTTAAATTTGTTAGTGTTGTCAACGGTCTGACTGGGTTTGGTACTTGGCTTTGGAGGTTGTCTGTTTTTGGAGCCGGGAAACTTCGGGCAGGAACGCCAGTTTGCTGCATGGTTTCCTAAGCAATTTGCGCATTTGTTCGGCTCTTCGAAAGGTTTTGTACAATCCTTTGCTTGATGCGGTCCAGCACATCTGACACAACGTCTTGGTAAGGTGCAGACTTCGGACGAATGAAAAAATCCCTGGCAACGCCAGCATTGGGAGGGACCCTTCTGTCCTTTGAAGTGCTCCATGGAGACTTCAGTTCCAAGGAGTTCGGTTATTGAATATATTTCCTCAGCTTTTAGGCTATTGTAGATTTGCAAATAAAAGAGGGGCATCGGCATCTTCGTTTTCCACTTCTTCAGTTGAGAAATTTTATGAATTTTGAAGCCAAGCACTTCAACCGCAGTCTGTACAACGTTGAGTGGTGTACTGGAGGGTAATCCCCTAATGATAACTTTAAGTGGTCTATCTGCTTTTGAGTGTGTGTGACTTGAATTCAATGTTATTTTCTGTGAGGAATCTAACAACTGTTCTATAATCAGTTTCATTAGTGGTTGTGAGTTTAAGAAAGTCTATGTTTTGTTTGGAAAGAACAGTTGGTGCATGTCGGCGTAACTGATTGAGGAGAAAGAACCAATCAGCACGCGGTTTTATGAAAATTGGAGGTGGTGCTTGAGTGACAGCCGGCTGCTGAGTCGAGTGTTCAGTGTTATCAGAGTTTTGTATGTTTGTGAAAGAATTAGATGTTGTAATGTTTTCATTATCATTAGTGTTGGGTAATGGTTTTTTGGCAATTAGATGTTTAGGAGGAACTGCAAATCCTTCATTGTCTGTGGGTCTAGTTCGTTTTTTAGATTCGAGTTTAGAAGTATCTTTTGGAGGATTTTGATTGGCTGAGGATGAGGGTGGATTTGAATTTTGAGTTTTAGGATCAGAATCAGGTGTTTTAGTAGATTTTTTGCATTCTTTGAAGAATTCCTCTTCAGTGGCTGGGAGGGTAAATAAATTAATGCCTAGTTTAGTGCAGAGGGTATGCAAGGAAAATAAAACTTTCTCACCCTCATCCTGCAACTGCTTAATCATCAATTCCTTGTTAGGTGTCTCCGTTCTTTGAAGTCGCTGAATATCAAAAAGGAGGTCTGTGTGGCGAGTTTTCAGAGAATAAATTTGGATTGCGCTCTTCGACAGCTCAAGTGCAGAAGGAGAAGCAGGTGGAGTAGATGCAGTAATTTCCTTTTCAGTTTGGATCTGTAGAGGCGGAGGAGAAGTAGATTGTTTGCCCACTGGCGGCGCCGTATTCTGGATTCCGTTCACATTGACATTACGGAGCTCAGAGCTCGTACGTCCATTGCTCAAATTTTTCCTGAAACTTACTTCTTACGTGAATTTCAACTTCCCCAGCAGTATCATTTGGTAAAATATCATTATCATTATTTAAAACATTGCCATTCCATTCTTCTTTGTCACTAGCCTCTGCAATTTCTGGGGGAACAACAACATCAGTTTCTTTCTGGTCATTATTAACATTATCATCATCAGTTTCTTCATCAAAAAATCTTTGAAGGGTTTCTTTTAATGTAAGATACCTCGTTCTAGGCATTTTTAAACAACCAAAACATCGAAAGGAATGAGTGAAAAAGGGGATTGACTACCTGTTTCCTGCTGATGTTGTGTCAGCGCAACTCCTGTTTCCCTTCCTTCCCAACACAAATATAAACATCTGACTGATGTAATGTTCTGATAAACGGTGACCTTGACTAAAAATAGATCACTCATAAAGACGGTGATTCTTTCCTTAAATATTGTTAGCAAAAATACCTGGTCGAAAATTTTGCTTAAAGTATGCAATTAATTATTATAAACAAAATGATTGTTGAAGGCAAATATTTTTTTGCAGAAATAATCTTCATAATATTCCCTACACAAAATCATCTGCTGGTATAAAATATCTTAGGTAGTTATATTTATATACGCATTTATTTTGACCGTTGCGTCAACGCAACACCAGCGACTAATGGGTTAAGATGTGTGCAATGGACATTCAGATATCTTCAATTATTTGGGTATTCAAGCACCCATGGGTCTGTGTGATTGGTATCAATCATGTTGTTTGTATGTTGCAAAATATAGACTTCAGCAACCATTACTAGGGATAATTTATTGTTCCTTTCATCTAAGCTGATACATTATTACTGTAGAAATGAATGAAAGCTAATCTTTTGAGTACAAATCTTAGCAATGGATATTGAGTTTTCTAATTAGATAGGTATTGAAACACTAATAGTCAACGTGATTGATATAAATCGTGTCATTCAGTTGGAGAAAACTAGAAATTTCAGCATCTGAAATAAAGGATCATTCGCTTTTCCTTGCATGTTAGCTAATACAGTTAATATTCAATGCAGATTCGAATATCTGCAGTTTGATGGAATCCCAATACCCACGAGTCGATGTAATTGGTGTAAATCATGTTGTTTGTATGATGTAAAATAGAGACTTCAGCAGCCAGAATGAGGGATCAGTTATTGTTCCTTTCATGTTAGTTGATGCATGTACTACTATAGATTAGTGAATGAAAAAATTAAAAATTTAGTCATCTTGTTATGATTCATGTAATTCAGAATTTTTCAATTAAATAGTTACTCATGCACCCAATAGTCGGTGTGACTGGTATAAGTCATGCCGTCCAGATGGTGCGAAATGGAAATTTCAGCAGTTAAAATAAAGGTGCATTTGTTGTTCCTTATATATTAGCTGAAACATTTATTACTTTTTAATATTCAATAAATGAAATTTTGTTGCCAGTTAAGATGGGTACAGTGGGTATTCAAATCTCTTCAATTAGATAAGCATCCAAGCGCATATGAGTCTGTGTGATTGGTATAAATCATGTTGCTAATATGATGCCAAATAGATATTTCAGCAGCTATAATGAGAGATGATTTGTTATTTCTTTTATGTGAGCCAATATATTTATTACTGTTGATATTTAGTAAAAGAAAGTTATTCTTCAAGTTAAGATGTGTATGGTATTCAGGCATCTCTAGTTGGATAATAATAAGTAAGTAGTACTCATTGAGATAAGTACTCACAAGTTGTGAATGGTATGAATTAAATAATTTGTATGGTGCAAAATGTAGACTTCAGGAGCCAGTATCTTCCATTTCTCACATGTTAGCTGATTCATTATTGGATGTTTAATTAAAAATCTAAAATCTTATCTTTCATGAAAGGCTCAAGCAATGGATTCAGAGCTTTCCAATTACGTAATATCTATCACCCATTAGTTCCAAATTTAGTTTGGTGTAAGTCATGCTATTATGGTATTAATTAGATTGTATCATATTCGAAGTGGAGATGCTTTTAATACAGCACAAAGTCTGTAACCCGGATGTCCATTATTCGGAATGATCTATAATCCGGACCTTAAAGCCACAAACTTACGCATGCACATTTGATGTGCGCAAAGCCAGTAAAGCATTTACCCATACGCACTTCCGATAGTAAAGAAAATAACAGAGAATGTTATTGATAACGAAAAAATTTTGATTGACAAGTTAGTCGGTATTCTTGACACAGCAATTACAGGACTTGAACAGTGGAACTTTTTAACTGAACAAGAAATCATGTCTGTGTATAGAATTAAAGAGAAAGTATTAGCACAAAAAATGAAGCAACTTACATTGAAAGAAATATTTACTAAAGTAAACAAATAAATATTAAGCTTTTTTTTGTAAATTTTTGATACCCTTTAGATCATAACTCTTTATTTCATAAATTATGGTTTCATATTTTTAATTGTATAATTTCTGCATGCCATCTTATTAGATTTAAATTGATGATCTATAATCCGGAAAAAACCCTAATCAGGAATCGCCGAAGTCCCGACGAGTCCGGATTACGGACTTTGTACTGTATTTTCATAAGTGAATTTTGGTAATTAATGTTTGTAAGATATAAATTTTGTGAAAACAAATTTTAAAATTTAGGGACTTTTTCAAATACTATAAAGTAAATTTTAGACTGAGAATGTGAATATTATTTGCAAAAATTGCATTAACTAGAACGTTTTTAAAAATTCTTTTCAGAGATCTAGTCCACCGACAAACAGCCTGCGCTGCTATCCAACATATGGCATTAGGAGTTTATGGATTTGGCTGTGAAGATGCCCTTGTTCACCTCCTGAATTACGTCTGGCCAAATATTTTTGAGACATCTCCTCACTTAGTGCAAGCATTTATGGGAGCAGTAGAAGGTGTACGGGTGGCTCTTGGGCCAATAAAAATTTTACAGTACTGTTTACAGGTAGGCTGTTCAAATCTTTTTTTTAGTGATTGTCTGTAACTTTTGGAAAAATAATTTGATAAATCAAGTATATAAGAACCTTGGCTTTGGCAGTAATATTCTACAATTCTTCACATTTTAAAAATCAAGTATGTTGGGACTTTTTTTTTTGCTTTGGTGGCAATATTTTGCTATTCCCGAAATTTCTATATTAAAAAATTGAATATATTAAGTTATATATATGAAAGTTTTGTAACTGAGATATTAGAAAGCTGCATTTTGTCACTGCTATTTTTTTAAATTGCAGGACATTAGATATCTAAATTATCTGATATACGAAACATTTCTTATTCTTGCGTGGTTTATATTTTATCTAAATATTTTTCCTGCTGATAATTACTGATTAAAGAAACTTGCAGTAAAACAAACAATCTGTTTTATTTATTTGTAAAGATCAACAAGTATAAACAAAGTGTGTAACACAGAATTTTGCAATATCTTGAATAAAGTTTAGTAATCAATATGGCATTTAAAAGAAAGCTGTAAATTTCTTAAAACTGATTTGATATTTCTTAAAAATTGAAGTATTGTATTTATTACTTGTTACATTCCTTACATTTCAAAGTAGATTTTGAGACATTGATGAACAAAAGAAAAGCAGAAAATCAGTTTGTAGTATTTCATACTGGCATAAAAGAAACTGCAGTCTTGTCTATTTTAATTAAAAGCAGTAAAGCTTAACTCATTCATATAGTATCAGACTTCTTTGTGATTCATCTTTGATAAGTAGTATTTTCACTTACATATATTAATGTATATTTATAATTTAGCAGTTGAAGTAATTGATGTTTCTAATAATTTGTTTGTTTAATGAACAAATCATAATTCTTGATGTTTTATTTCTCTATAGGGTCTTTTCCATCCTGCAAGAAAAGTAAGAGATGTATATTGGAAAATATACAATACACTATACATTGGTGGACAAGATTCCTTGGTAATTGGATATCCTCGAGTGCCAGATGATTCGAGAAATACATTTACTCGACATGAACTGGATTTGATTTTATAGATGATAAAACTATATTGCTGTATAAATGTTCTGTATTTAAACTTGATATCTTGTAGTAAAATAAAAGTTTTTTTGCAATTTTTGAGATCTAGTTTCAAGATATTCTAAGTATAGGAATGAAGAACATTTATTTCTACCAGAGTATCTGGTGATTAATAAGCATTCCGACATTATTTTGTTTAGAAGAAGGAAGGAATTACTGCATCTGTTTGGTGTAGTTTACATTGCTCGACATTGAAAATGCAACACCAAGAAGTGGTCAGAAAGTGATGAAATTTGGAAGTGACAGCAAGCAGCAATAAGTGGTCTTTATTTCAAAATGATTAGTCAGAATACAGAGCAAGAACGGCGTCGGCTCAGTAGGATGTAGGACCACGGCGGACAGCAATGCATGAAGAAACACGTCTAGGTATAGAGTTAATAAGAGTGCAGATGGTGTCCTGAGGGATGGCTCTCCATTCCCTTTCAACTATTTGCCACAGTTCGTTTTCAGAATGAGGCAGGGGCAGAGCCTGCAAACGGCGTCCAATCACATGCCACACATGTTCGATTGGTGACAGGTCAGGAGAGTACGGTGGCCAGGAAAGCATCTGTATACCTTGCAGAGCATGTTGGCAGATGCGAGCACTGTGTGGTCGGGCATTATCCTGCTGAAAAATTGCATTAGGCAGCCCCTGAAGGTAGAGGATTGCCACCGGCCGCAGTACATTATCCGAGTATTGTTGGGCCATCATAGTGCCCTGAATACGAACTAGAGGTGATCTGGAATTGTAGAAATAGCACCCCAAACCATTATGCCACGTTGTAGTGTGGTGGGGCATTCCACAGTTACTGGCAGATTAGATCTGTCTCCACGTCGATGCCACACACGTATGCTGTGACTATCACTGGATAAACAGAAGCATGACTCATCTGAGAACACAACGTTTTACCATTCTGTCTTCCACATCGCTCCAGTCCGGCACCATTCTAAACATTGGCGTCTATGCTGTGGGGTCAATGGCAATCTTCTTAACGGACACCGTGAGTGAACCAATCGACAGGAATGGTTCTGGTCGGCACGGGAACATCCAGGGTGTCTTGCACATGCTCCAGAATCGTGGTACAAGTGACTTGCGGGATGAGTGCTGCACCTGCACCCCTCCTTCTTCTCACATTTCTTTGTTCCAACCATGTTCGCCCTAGCCGATGCACTGTGCCTCGCATCCATGTGGGTATCAGCTATTTGACGTAAGGACAAACCCGTCCTTCCCAGTCCGATCACCATACCCCTCGTAAAATCGTCTATCAGCTGGAAGTGCCTTCGTTGATGGTGGCCTGGCATTCCCTCGTTTTTATGCGCGTTATCATCTGAATAAAAAGTAATATCTAATCACTATAATTAAATTTGGTAAAAATATATCTATTTGAAATATGTTTCTTATTTCTTTTCAAAAAGGTTGAGCATGTTTGTTCTTAAATAAATACCTCAGTATTTTTATGTCAATTTATTTTAAAAAAGTACTGAGACACGAATATTGCCCATTCTGCACATTCCTTCCCTTATATCTTACTTCATGTGCGTCAGAGAGCTGCAAATTTCACATCATTTGCATAACTAAATGATGTATATCTACTCTAAAATCTGCATAAATTCCTGACCACTCCTTTTTGGTGTTGCATTTTCAATGTCAAGCAGTGTATTTCGTGCAACCTATGTCATTTTCCTTGTATTTTGTGCTAATGATTTCAAATCTTAGATCAGTTCACTTTTCCTTTTTTGGGGGTGGGATTTTTGCTTTATGCCAGAGATTAGCATAGTTGAACATGATATATACTATTTCTGGTGATTGGATTCAATTGTTTAATTATGGTTAGGCACATTAGCATTCTTTACCTAAGGGAAGGTATCGTATTTATGTCACAAAACATGGAGAAAAACATGTAAAGAGCCCACATTCAAATCCCAGGGAGTAAGCTGGCCAACTCATTCAACTGGGATTAGAGCAATTTTATTCCCTTAACCAGTCATGAGGCCCAGCAAAAAATTTTGGTACACTAATTTCTAAAAAAAATAAGGCTTTAAAATCGTAAGACTTCCTGAAAAGAACGAGAACTATTCATGGACTGTTTCAATAACAAGCTTAACTCATTGTAAACATGCATTAGGCCATTCATTTTTGTTATATAAGCAAAACTTCATTTGTGTCTGCAAAAAGTTAAAAGCAATCCAGCTTCCCTTCCCAAAAAAGTCAACATATGTTGACAACAATGAAATTGTGAAAATGTGCTATTACTCAACAGTTATGCTCTGTTAGTAAAAGTCTTTGCTTTGCAATAAGAATTTTAAGAAACATTCATGAAATGTCTATTTAGATCTGAAAGTGGCAGAAATTATGCAAAGTTGCAAGTGTTTTTGTGACTTGGATTTTTGTGCAATAGTAATGTAGTTGAAGTGCACATTATATTGTGCATGGACATCAGTAAATTCGTTGTGCCTTGTGCTGACAACCAATGCATGTGCTCATACCACACTGTAATGTTTCCCGCAAGATGCAATTTGAAACTAAAAGACTCGGCAGCAGAGTTTTGATAGGAGAGCAAAAAACTAGCTACTGATGTATATGTTTTGGTTATGCTAACTGATTAAGGCAAAGCAACTCAATGGGTATCCTATGGAGAGGATGATGGTGGTGAATTATTAGGTTTTATGTGCCAAATGTATGATCAATAACATTTCTTATTTGAGTTTGGTATAAAATTTCACAATATGTATATGGATATAATGATTATTTGCTATAAGAACATGAAACAGAATATAATTAAAACTATCTGAAACAAACTGATTGATATTACTTTCTGCTGGCATGAGAAGGTGCAAAAATTCTCAAGATGAAAATATAAAATTTGTTAAAAAATATATATATTTAAACAACAAAAACCAATCCAATGCTAATAGTCAAACAAATCAATATATTATTCACATCTTTTCCAATTAAAAAGTCTTAATCAGGACCATTAAAATATTTAAAACAAAGACTGCTAAAGTATGGACATTCAACCAAAATGTGTTATATCAACAGCAGAATATTACAGTTGGAGCACAATTGTTTCACTCTCAGCTTTAAGTAATTGTGCACTACTTGAGAGTGGCCATTTCTTAGGCAAGTTAATAAGACTTTCTGATTTCCATTTGATTTCCAATATTCCACACAAGGTTTTACAGTTCTCAGTTTATTTGCCTATTCCAGAGCAATTGCCACTAGTTCAAAACTTCACATTTGATGACCATTTCAATGTTACACAAGGGAACAAGCTGACTAGACTATTCAAAGTGGATTTGCTGTGTTATCTGCCAGCTTGTTACTTTTTATCCATATGTGTCCGGGAACCCAGCAGTAAAGGATCTGGTACTTGCAGCTCAGTAAGTTTAATAAGTTTAGATGTAAGACTTCTGTCACCACAGGATTCTTTGGATGTCAGAAAAACTTTTAGTGCAATAAGTGTGTCTGCGTTAATTATATACTTTTACTGGCTAAACTTAGATAAAAATTTAAGAGCCTAATACACCACAGTTACTTCAGTATTAAATATGGAATGCAACTGCCTATCCTGCACGTGATCTCCAGTCACAAATGATGTTCACATATGTCCAGCTGTTTTTGAGCAATCTGTGTATATCAGAATGTAACTGCTGCATTCATTTCGGTGCTCATGAAAAAGCTGTGTATATTTGTGCTTCCTTATCAAGGTGAAGACAGCTAGAAGCTAAATTTCTGCATTATCCCAGGTGGGATATGAAAGTGCCTTATTGCATGGGTCTTCACATCAGATACTGAATATTTTTTTTTTTTTTTTTTTTATCAAAGGCCAAGCTCTTACGAAGAACAAAGGAATGGAGAGAGTTTATGCTGCAAATAAACAGCTACAGCAATCATCAGAATGCAGATGCATGAATGGTTAGGTTGGGACATTATATGAAAATAATGATGAAGGAACAATTGCATTGATTCTACACAATAGACATATAGGAGGTACAGAAGATGTTCTAAAGGTAAAGGTTCCAGTGCAAACTTGCAGAGCTTGATGATGAATTGGATTAAGTTTCAATAATGCAGAAGACTGAGCTGTCTATAAACTATTGAGCCATATTCCAGTTTAGAAGTTTAGAGTCCCCTATAAATGCACAGCAGCGATGCCCAAAAGTTCTGCAACCCAGGAGGTGTTTGCAAGGACTTGATCAAAAGTTCTGAAACATTTCTTCCTTGGATACATGATATGTGGAAAGAAATTCACTTCAGGTGCAAATAGAATTAATGAATCTTCAAGGTAAAGCTCGGGCTCAAGATGGAGATTTCGCTTTCAGTAAAAGTACATGCAAACAATCTTCTGTTATGAAAATACAAATCCATTTTTCTTTGACCATGCCTGGATCCAATTAAGAGACGCCTGTAATTGCCTCTTTCACATACCATATATCTGCAACTTGTCAACTAATTTGGAGGTCATCAATGTACAATGACCCTGAAATGGTAGGAGGAAGTTTCTTTAAGATAGTTTATTTTTAGGCTGAATAAAGTAATACTTAATGCAACCTTGAGGCATTTTGCCTTGTTCAGATTTGTCAGAAAAACAGAGCCAATTCTAACTTGAAAGGTTTTAGTCCGAATGATAACTGGTAGGTTGTAACATAAACCACTAGTGTGATGATGCAATGTGCCTTACTTCCATGTCTGAGCTTTTGTAATGTCAAAAAGAATACAGACATGGTGGTTTTTTTTTTTTTTTTTTTTTTTTTTTTTTTTTTTTTTTTTTTTTTACAAAGGCTTTACAAGTGGAAGTTTGCAAAAGGAGCAAATTATTGATTGTTGTTCTTCCTTTGCGGGAACCACTTTCATATGGTGAAATCAGGTTGTTTTTTCTCAGGTAATAGACAAAGTGGCAGTTTACCATTTTTTCAAACAGACACAACTCATAGGTGTAGCATGATGATAGTTAGAGGGATTCTTTGAGTCTTTCCCCAGCTTAGCTGTTAGAATAACAAAAGTTTTCTTCCATGCTTTGGGAAAGATATGCTTCTTCCACACTCGACTGTAAAGAGTGAGAAGGACAATCAATGACTTATAGGACAGATGCTTCAGTATTTCATTACTCATGCCACCTAGACTTGGACTAAACTTCTGTGTCTGTAACAAAGCTTTTTTTAACTCAAGCATTGTTATATTAAGCATTGTCTCTATTATAAAGCTCGCACCTGGACAGAAAGAAATGTAGGTGAATAATTTCTGCTGGAAGAAATGGTAATTACTAAAATGCAACTAATTGTAAAATAATCTTATTTTTTTATTATCATAGATAGAACTTAATGTTATGTGCAACAGATTAATTCAGTACCATCCAAAATGCTTATTAATCACTATTTTAAAAAAAGGACGTTCCAAGAAGTATTGAAAACAAAAATATTAGAATTTTATTTTATCACTAACTGCAGCAATTTATATCAAAATATATATTATACTGTAGAGGCAGTAGGTAATTTTGAAGCATGAGACATGAAAAATGAGCAATGCCCTTGCGGGACTCAAATCTGGACCTCTCGAATGCGAGCAGAGGGTGCTACCATTACACCACGAGGCATGTAGAAAGGAGGGAGAAAATACCTTACAATACTTATACCAAACAGTAAACTTACTGAATTTTTTGCAAAAATTAAAAGGCCAGTTACTCAAAACCATTGCCCAACTGAAGAATTTCATTATCACATATGTAATCTGAACCAAAAATGTTACAAAGTTTGGCATTTGAAAGTCTTTAACTGCTATGGCTTGTGATCAACTACTTGTCTTGACCCGCAACTTAAGTTAACAATTCTCAAATTTTCATTTGCTTAAGTGAGTGTAACAACTGCTAACATTCCTTTCACACCTCTCTGATAAGAAAATCAATAAGCCAGATATGCTAGCCATTTATTTATTTAAAGTTACACTGTGTGAAAGAGTAACTGTCTCTTGTTTTATGATAATGGTGCATTTTATGATTAATTTCAAACAATGGTATTTTTTCAGTCTAAGTACAAAACTCGCTGGTCTTCGAAACTAAAAAAAAAAAAAAAATTACAGCTAAATAGATTTCAACAGCTTATATCTCTGGTCCTGTTTTGCTTCTGATGCATAATGTTATTTTATCAAATCTGCTAAAAGCAGGAATACTTGATCTAATAAATAAGTTATGCACACAATAATCTGAAAACTGCTCACCAATGACCAAACATTAAGACTGCTGCAATCTTTCTATAGCTTTCAAAGATGGAAATTTTTCATTTGCTACTTTTGAACATCAAAGGCATCAATGTTTCTAGTGAACAGAATTATTGCATATATTGGCTTATTTACCTAAGTAAGTACATATATTATTTCAATAAGTAAATCTGATAAACATGGAAGAGATAGTTCTAAGAAATACACATTTCATAAAAGTGTGCGCACTATACCTTATGTATTAAGTTTTGTTTATAATTTTAAAAGAAAAGAACCATCTGAAGTCCACCTTCTGATTTTAATTTAATCTTTTGAATGCATCCATTTTCCTCCTTTATTCATTAGAAAAAAATTTAATGTATAAAAACAACTGAAACAGCTCTTCAGGCAGAAATAATTTAATGTTAACAGCAGAGAGTACAAAAAATTCATTGATCAGTATACCTGATCTAAAAAATTAATCTATACAATAAAATAAAACGAGAAATTAGCAATGAAAAATGATTTGGTCACACTATTTAAGAAACAAAGCAGTAATCTATGTTTACATGTAAAATAACATAATGGTAGAAATAACTTAAAAATCACAGAAGATAGTTTAAATAAATTCTTTGGTCAAATTTTATGTAACATTCATTTTGCAGGATTAACTATTTTACACAAATTTCTTTTAATATTTTTTCTAAATGATTCCCTTTATAGTGTATCCTTTTGAAATATACCAGCACATTAAAATTTTTAGTTGATTTTAAAAATGAATTCCCTTAAAATATCTTTATAATGAATATGAGAATAAGCCATAAACTGCAACTGAAAGTTAAAACTAAATTTGTTTACCTTTTAACTCTTAGCTGAATGGCACAGTTAAAACTTGTTATTTGCTCTAAAAGTTATATCTATAATTAACTGGCAAAATGTCTTGATTTATTACCAGCATAATTATAACACAAAATAAGTTTCATACATAAAACATTGTGACATAAAATTTCATACAAGCTTAGAGATTCCTTTAACACTTTTATACAAATTAATGATGAACAATGTTTTATAAACATTCTTAACAGTCTGGAAATAGTTATAGCTTTGTAATTTTTCCTCTAAAATTTTTCTTAAAATTGGGTAAAAGTTTTATGAGTAGCCTTTTTTTTTGTTTTGTTATGATGAATACTACTAAGAAAAGCATAAAATATTTCAGTATAATTTAATACAGCATATTAGCCAGTTTTTTCAGTAGAAATAAAAAATAATATATATACATTTTTTAGTTTCTTATTTTCCCCATTTTTTCTTGCAATCAAACTAATCTTGCTTCCCTCCCCATTTCTTTAAAGAGTATCACATATATCATTTTGACATTCAGTTAAACTGCAATTCAAAATTGTTTTGTAATATCCAAAGTGTAAATTAAACTATAATATAAAAACAATATTTTAAAGTAGCACTTTTAAATTAACAAAACACATTGGGCAAAATATTGTATTAAAATGTCTTTTCATATAACAAAGACACACACACACAATTTAAGATAGATGTCAGTTGAAGCTGCCAAATGCCAAGCACAGTTAGGATTCATTAAAAAAAGGAAAATTTCTGCTATGAAGACTTTAGTAGAAAAATCCTTCTATTATATAAAAATACCTTACTTCGGAACATACATTTTTCAACAAAGATTTTGAAAATCTAAAAACTCTTCAGAGGTTTAAGGATTGTGATATTTTTCCCATTTTTTTTAACAGTAACTTCATTAGATTATTGAATACAAAGTGGTAATTGATTTAAAATTAACTACTTGTTGGGAGAAATTAGCACAATCTATATAGCACCAGTAAGTCATACCAAATATATACTGGTAATATAAAATTTGGAAGGGGAAACTGTGTTATTAAAATAAGCCACATTTGGTCAGAGTCACTCAAACATGAATTACTTCTTACAGATAATACAGAAGATATTTACAATTACTAAATCACTATCAGCCACAGATTAGGAATCAAAGCATTGAACAGAATTACACTAATTACAAATAATAAAGAAAATAAGTTAATCTGAAAGCTAAGAGATTATTCTGTCTCATCTATTATGACCCATCTGGTCAAAGCAGACAGGCAACACATACCATAATAGTGAGATCCCACTATATCTTTTTAATAACATCACCAACCAAATTATAAAATAACCTACACACATTCATTATACAACAAAATAATACAGACAAAACACTAAGAACACAGAAGCTGTACATAAAAATATGAAAAATCTATTTCAAATCAAAGTAATATTATTTAAAAAAGACACAATTTTTGAAATTGCTATAATTATAGATTTCCTGTGCCTCTGATGATTATCATATTTTAATTTACTTTAACACAAATATAGTTGAAATAAAAGAAAAAAATTACTATCCATAGCTATTCTCCATTTTATTTTTTTATGGATTGTTTGTAGTATTTTAAATTATGTTGTAATGAAAAACACTTCAGGAGAATAATTTTTGTACTGCCAAATTTACAATATCTTTTCCCTTGCACAATCATAAAATATTTTTAAATGTGATTATTAACATTTATGTCAAACAACATGTGATATATACATTGCACATGGACAACCTGAAACCCATTGCCTATATTAAATTCAAGCTTCAGAACTTGCATGCTTTTACACAGTATGATGAGTTTAATAGTTATTTTATTTAAATTATGTTTGATATTTCAATAATACTTTTTGAAATTAAAAAAGTACCAAAATACTATAAGCCACTGGTTGGTGTACTTCTATCCCTCAAATATTAAGCAAAAATTGAAAGACGAGAAGCCCTGAATATCAGGAAAGATTGAACATATATAAGCAGAGGAAAAGAAAAAAATTGCAAAAAACATAATTAACAGCCTTATTGCAGTTTATCTCCACAGAAGTTTGCATTTTATAAGTTTGCAGACTGGATGGTGGTCCTAGTACGTCGCCACAAAACTTCAGCATAGCTCTTTTGTTTAACAGCGTTACAGCATTAACTTTCCTCTAAAAAAAATATAAAACAGCTGTAAAACATTCATGGGAAGTATATGAACACATATCCATATAAGGAAAGCAAATGGAATAACAAGCAATACATGTGGTAAAAACGACATTATAATTTTAAGATAAGATATGTGCGACCATGGATAGTGGCTATCCTGACTAGCATTTTGTCAAAATACTTAAGATTTGTCCAATATTGACTAGAACAGGTTGATATTAAGACTAGAATGGGTTGGCAGTCTGGGACTATAAAAGATATTAGAATGTGTTTTTAATTAAACATACTCTCTGACCACAGGCTAATTATCTGATTTCTTTGAATTTAGTCTGATTGATTTCTCCCACACTCAGCACGTTCAAAATAGATGAAATGTAATGGTTGGAATCACACCTATCTGTTATATTTAATAAATAAATTGATACAAAATTCACATGCTTGTTTGGTGACTGCAGACAAACTATCCATGGTCAGACAATATACTAATCCTAATATATATAGTATATCACATGATAAAATTCACTATATTTTATGATGCCTGAGTACAATGATTATGGTACTTAAAATGCTAATTTAAGAAGTTTCAAATGGTTTTCAACCATCTGTTTGAGTGTGTGTATTAAATGTTAAATTTAAAATGAAATTTAGAAAATTTTATAGGTTGTACCTCATAAATGTGAGATTAAATAATCAGCAGAAGATGATACCAGGAAAATATTTTTCATTGATTTAAAGTATTGTTCACTACTTTGTTATAAATTAAACTGTATCTGAGACAGAGTATATGTGACTGCTATCAGCACAAAATCAGTCACTATTTCAAATGCATAATTTGGGTGCTGCAACCTCCCAACTTTTTCATGTGCAGTACAAAATTTTGGATGGAAAATGGAGTAAAACTATGATCATTTTTACAAATACAGCACATTAATGGATTTATGATCATTCTCCTTAATAAGTGCAACAAAATCAATTATATATATTTATCTTTTCAATTATTTCACAAATACTTTGTCTTTTCTTACTTTGATTCAATGTTTTACTGAGATTTGAAGACCATTTCCCCCTTCATATTACAAGAATTGTTTCATTTATTTTATACTTTATGATCTCGTTTTCAAAAATCTATATTGTTTGAGTAAATAATCATTTTTCAGTAAGTTGCTTGTTAAACATTTAGCCCAGGAAAACTTAATTAAATTACATACTTTAAATAGCTTAATTAATTAAATGCTGCATGAAAAATAACATATATAATAAATTACTGATTTTCAGTCAATTATTCACTTATTTTGACATTTGCTATATTTGTAATTTTAAAAATGAGGACAAACTATGACAGCTAAAAGTGGTAGAAACAATCCTCTTTTGAGTGGTCTTTTATGAAAATGTCTTCAGCAATTTAAAAAAATCTTTTACTAATTAAAATTTCAGAACTTGATTCTTGAGTAAATGACTGCAGAATATTTTAAAATTTCATCACAAAAATTTGTTTTAATAATATTTAATAAATAACATTAAATATACTAACTTTTCTAGTACTATACGGTAGTTTTAAATCTGAAGTTGCTTTAACTCATTGTCATATGTACATGGATGAAAATGCACTTAAAAAAGGAGCATTTGTGATTATTTGTCCCCAAATTTACAACACTGAAACTCCCCTGTTTTCTATAGTGGGGCAAACTCTTCTGTAGTTTACTTCTTATAGCCATATGTCATCATAATCAGAAGATAAATGCCAAATGATGCTAAAAAAATTTCATGTCCATCACTTAAATTCATATTTTTCATTTTGTTTATCAAAATATGATAATTTTAATATATTTTCAAAAATTTCATCATTAGCATGACCATTATCCTTACTACAGTTTTTTTTCACTGATCACTTGAATTTATTATGCATCATTTTCCCTTTACCTGCTATTATACCTGTATTTCTATGCTATTTTTAAACCTTTAAATAAAAATAATTCTTAGAAACATCCTTCATAAACTTACATAAAATAAACAACATACTGTATTAACTCATATATTCCCCCTTTCTTTTACTAATCTTATTGTATAAAAATTGAAAGGAGAAAATTATGGAAATAATTCATTCCATGATAGATCATATTCATAGAAGACACGGTTACAGTACGAACATAACTAAGAAAAAGTATTCATGGATAAATTACCACTAGTTACAAGATTATTTTATTGAAAAGAAATCTGCTTTCCAATAAGAATACATTGTAATATCTAATGAGATAACTTCATTTCTGTATCTTAAATCTCATCCACTCTTACTATTGTTCGTTGCTGCTCCCTAGGCCTCAAATCATTTATACTGCTGAAACTTCTGTTTTTATCATCTGCAACAGCTTGCAAGTTATTGCAATTGTTATTGTTACCATTGTCTTCATCACAAGTCAGTCTGTCTTCCCATGTGCAATGACCTTCAGAATCATCAAGCATATTACATATCTTCATTTTCTTGAAGCACTACACTATTATAGTTTCATCAATCCTGCCCATGAACCTCCAAATCCATGAGTAAATCATTTAATAAGATGTAAATGATCACTATGTGGATGAATTTATTTTAAAACTTAGGGAAGGTTGTTCTATGAACGTCTTGGGGAAATGCAAAAATTATGTGAATACTTAAAATGTTTTCAGAATCTTAGGCTAAAAAAGCTAGGGAAGAGAAGAAATATGTAAGTAAGTATGTATTTCATCTGGGATATCTAATAGCAATGTCTGAACATAAGCAAGATACAATGAAAGCACCTAAAACACTTAACAATTTCTTTTTGACTATAAGTTCACAGCATTTACAATTTAAACTGCCATTTACATTCTAAGCATAACAGCATTACTTTGAAATCACACAACAGTTCCAGTAATTAAGAATTTTATAAATTAAATTTCATGTTTTTAGTAACAAATATGAAATTATTTCTTCTCCATAAGAATCAACTTCATAATAATTTAATTTTAAATATTTTGAATTCTGTTAGAATACATACCTTTGACATTCTTATGAGTGTTAGTTGTAATTTTTCGGCCACCTTTAATTGCTGTAGGATCTAGAAAATAGGTCAAAATTTTCAAATATACTATTAAGCTTCATAGTATATATTAGTTATTATTTTTATAGAAGAAATTTATCAAACACTGTCTTTTTGGATGTTATCAATTGTTAAGTAAACACTACTTTTCACATATAGAATTCTAAATCTTTTATCTTAATGTATAATATGTTCCTATTGCTGCAAAATTTTTATAATGGAAGAACTGAATGGAATTTTTGAAATAAATACTAAATTGATTTTAAAAAATGAAGTATTTAAAGTGGGTAATATTTAATGCATAATACACTATGTTACAAAAAGAATATACGTATTACAAAGTGTTATTTAGTCCAAACTATCGATCACTGCGCCTCAGCTTGGCTATTGGTGAAACAAATACATAGTCTAGTTTATATTAATAGCTGCTAGATGTCAGTTGTCCTCTGCTTTGCTTGGTAACCGTCACATGTTTAATACGGCTACTCCGCAGCAGAAATCATTTTCTGTTCTCGAGATTGCGAAGCGCAATTCCGCGATTACAGTGCAAAGATGTTTCAAGTTGAGGTAGCAAAGTGATCCTCCGAATGGGTGGAATATTCGCAGATGGTATCGACAGTTTGTAAATACAGGATGTGTATGTAAAGGAAAGAGTCCTGGCCGCCCTCATATTTCCGACGAAAATGTTGCACAAATTCAAACTGTTTTCCAACGTAGTCCTTCAAAATCAGCTCGTCATACCAGTCGGGTGTTACAACTGGCCTACAACAACAATTTGGTGTGTTTTGAGATGTCGGTTGGTTAAGAAGCCATACAAGTTACATTTGTGACAGGCTCTGCATCCTGATGACAAACGCAAACACATTTTGTAACAAAATTATTGATGCTATTGACAATGATAACACTTTCGCACAACGCATCATGTGCAGTGATGAAGTGACGTTTCATGTTAGTGGTCATGTAAACAAACACAATGTTCAAACTTGGGGCCTACAGAACCCACATGCAGCCTTTGAACATGTATGAGATTCGCCCAAAATCAATGTGCTTTATGAGATATCCTGATCATCTGTTCACGGCCCGTTCTTCTTTGATGGAAACATGGTTAACAGTCAGCAGTATCTCACTACTATGTTACAAAACTGGTTGTTTCCGAGGCTGCACGAAGACAACTTCATTTTTCAACAAGACGGGGCACCCCCCTCACTGGTGTCGCCAAGTGCATGATTATCTGAATGAAACTTTACCAAACTGTTGGATTGATCGTTAAGGAGCTGGTGACTTAGCAAGTCTCAGCTGGCATAGACGGTCACTGGATTTGACACCCTGTGACTTCTTCCTGTGGTGTTTTATTAAAGACAACGTTTATATACCACCACTCCCACAGAACCTGAAAGAGGTGAAGAACCAGATCTGTACTGTCATAACATTACCGACGACAGACATGCTTGCCTGAGTATGGGAGGAATTTGAGTATCGATGTGATATTGTTCATGTCACTGATGGAAGACATATTGAACATCTGTAACAGCAGTAATCTGAACTTGAGAGGTTTGTACATATGTGTGTAATGTTTCATATTCGTATGTCATACTGTTTAATAAATATATGCATTCGAAATACATATATTCTTTTTGAAACACGCTGTATAAGTAACTATAATAACAACTGATGATATCATTGTCACCATGTAAGCATGATGATATCATAGCTTAGGCAAACAACAATGAATATACATGTAATAATAGCTCAGTTCTCTTTAGAGAAGGGCCCACCAGCGGCCGAGCGGTAAAGTTGCTAAACACTGGTAGTTTGGTCCGAGGTTCGGGCTGGCTGCATGGGTGTTTTCGTGGTTTTCCCCATATGTAACGTGTATACGAGCTAATTTCCCTTAGAAAATCTTCCACAAAGGCATTCCTCCTATTAGGCAGATAGCTCTCAAGGCTTTGCCGTAAACACACATACACGCACGCTCTCTAGAGAAGAAAAATTCTGCACTTGTACACTACTTTGTTATAATCCATTTTTTTTTTAACTATAAATGTCTACTAAAATGAGAACATTATTAACTTTTAATACTAGAAATTATGTTTAAAACAAAATATACTTCTGAGCAAAATGCAATCCACATGGCATGTCAGAATAACAAATTCAGCCGTTTAAAAATCTTATCTTTAAAAATACTTTATTATTTTTATGGCAACAAAACTAATATTTAATTAAACTGAATGGTAATTTTGACATCAATATTAATTTTGTTGCCATCAAAAAAACAACTTCAGGTGTGTTTACTTTTACCCATACCCAAATGATAATTTAAAAACATTAGTTACATTATAAACACTTATGTCTAGTGAAATTAAGCAAAATGTTTCTTACATAATATATTACATACCTCAGCTGCAAAATTTCCATCAGATTCTCTGACTTATATATAATAATTAACAATAAAAATAAAGTTTAATTAAGAATATATAGTCTGTAATAAGGGCTAATATATGCTAAGACTAGCTGCAAATTCTTCTCTTTCTTATTTTCAATTAAACAGTAAAAATATGCCATTTACTGCCAAAAAGTCAATATAATCTTTGTTTAAATGAAAAACAAAACATTTGTATAATTTCCTGATTTTCATTTCAGCTATTTTATTTAGTTCTACTCCAGGAATTTAAAGTGTATGCTTTCTTACTCAAATTCCTATTTCTAAAACATCTTACTCTAGTATGACAAAACTTCTTTGAGATATTTAAGGTGCAAGATTATGCTCACAGGTTACACAAATTGAAGAGTAGTATAGCTGCACTTGTATGTAGCTAAAAATGAAATATCTGTCCAGAAAAAGCTCTGATGTTAATAGATTAAACGATACAGACTACTGATCAATTTAATTTTTTTCTAAAAGATGTTATTTTCAAAATCTTGAGGAAAAGAATGTCAGCTGTAGTAAACACAATGGCAGATTTGAGTATTGGCCTGCAGCCATCTTTTAATATTATTTGCATAAATTAAAAACAAAAAATATTTCTAGTGTAATGAATTTTTTTGTATGGTTATCAGATTACAACTGTGGAGTAATAAAACTGTAAGAGAATATTAACATTCTAAAACCGGGCCAAAATTCTCATAATATAGCCTTCAGACCGGCGCAATCCGAAACAGTTTTGCCCCCTCTTTGACATTTTCCTAATGAGAAAAGTCATTAGTCCCCCTCCATGGATGCAGTAAAATTTACATGTTTGTCGGGCGCTTACGTACCATAGTAGAGGGGTTGCTAGACTTGCGATTTTTTCGATGATTATTTTGCTTTCATTTAAATGAAGTTCTAAATAAATAGTGCATAAATAAATATGCATATACAGTGCAGTATTTATTTAGAACAAAATGTATGCAATGCTTATATTTCACTCACTATTTCTGATCAATCTCGTAAATAATTTGTGAATTTTTTAACTTTGTTTTCCACTCTTCATTTATATTCACGTATTTTCGTATTAGAAATTAGAAAACGAGAACAAAATTTTACAAAATATAATAAATACGAACTAGCTTTGTAAGTCTGCAGGCTGGAATGCGATTTTTAATAACATATTTTCATTAACAAAATAATGGTAATGACTAATTTAATGAAATAATAATAATAATATTTATTACCATTAGATGATTAGAATGAGATTCAATACAATTAGATTTTGAGATGAACTTACAGCAATAATAAAGCTTTACATAACAATAACAGAGCTTTAAATCTGCTTTTTTCGATAATTTTGTTATTATAATATAAAAAAGAAAATCCGAGATACATTGGTTGCGTTTCATCATTTAACTTTAACAAATATTACATTGGACTATCAGGCAAACGAAGTATATCATTAACGAGAATTTTTCTTTGTAAAATTGGCTTTTGTTTATGTTAGCAGAGAAAAAAAATCCGTGACCTATACATGCAATCTTCAAAAGTATTTTTCAGAACAGTTTTAAATGTTTATGAAGAATTAATTATACGTCAATTTCTTTTCATAGGTAGAAATTTCGTCTAAAACCATCATTATATCCAAAGGTTGAAGTCTATTTCATTTTCAACGAATATTCTATTTGCACATAATATATTTTCTAATTTATTTTAGAAAGAGTATCTTTCAAGTTTTCAAAAGAATAAGGACATACTGGGTGTTGACACAATGTAGTAAATCTGTTTTTCATATTTCTTCCAGTAATGAAAACAATTACCCTGGAATATTTTCAAAGCAAAATTAAGAAAACTGTTTACGATAAATTTTGCATAAAGTATCATCTTGTGCACTTTTTTATTTAAAGTGTGAAATTTTCTCTTTGAAAATATAAAAATCATGAATGGAGCAAAATTAATTCATGAGAAATAACTTTGAAATGCAATAATTCAATCGTAATATGAAATAGTGGAGAAAAGTGCAATAGAGTTTATTTATTCACAAATAATCCCCTCATATGTGTAATTTATGTACTGTCGATTGAGAAATATAGATTAGTAAATTAAACCGGTTATTTCAATACTTTTCCTTTATCAATTTTTTTCCAGGCTCTTCAGTAGAACGGTAAAGGTGGCTGAACATTTGTAGCTCGCTCGGGTTTGAATCCCGGCTAAAGGGTTGAATTCATGGTTTTTGTGTAACGTAAATGCAAGCCAGCTTCCTTTAGAAAGTCCTCTGTGAAGACATCCCTCTCCTTATACAGGTAATTGTTGTGTGCTTTGATGTAATTCAGTAAGCGTACAAAATTAATCCAACCAACCCGAAGAACAGGTTGATTACAGGTGGAGTTTTCCACCAGGAACGTAAATGCAAGCAATTTTCCCTTTAAAAGGTTTTCACGAAAACATCCATCCCCTTAAGCAGATAGCGTTTGCGTGCTTTTCCGTAATCCAATCCCAATTCTCATACATTTAATAGTAAGTTGACACACACCTTATTACAGACAAAATAACAACCTTTTTTAACCAATTTTATTAACTTGTTTGAATTCCCTTTATCTCTTGAGGAGTATAAGAATTTCAGCAAATAAAACTGGCCGAAATTTACTACAATGTAACTGATGTTTAGATTCAATTCAGAAGTAACGTGAGCTTTACTGTTATTTAAATACTTTTTGGCAGATCTCATCCTAAAAGAGGGTCTACGGATAAATTGATTTTATTTAATTTACAATCAATGAAAATCATTGAAAGCAGTCATTGAATGAATGAAAATCACAAAAACTATTATGCATACAATTGTTTCTTATTTATCTCCTGATAAATCAGACAAAATTTCCTACATAATAGAAGCACTTTGAAAGAATAATTCTTAAGGGTTTTATGCACTCCCCCCCCCAAAAAAAATGTTAAAATAAAATCTTATTATTCATAAGTATAAAAAGGAAGTAAACAATAAAAGCGGTTTTAGCTATTTTCTAGAAGGGCATTAAATCAAAAAAATGAATCTATTCTTATTTGCTATGATTAAAAAGCATTAAATCTGGTAAGCTTAAACAGCGTGCAAAATCACTGACGTTTTAATCATAGCAAAAGTCAGTACTAAAAAAATTAGAGATGGCCTCTATTTGATTTTCAAGTATATTGGCGCGAGACGAAACCAGCGGTTTTTGCCAAAATGTAGCCAAACTGATAAGAAGAGGGACAGCGACAATGGACCACCGCGAGATCTACAGATAGGCGATTCTCTAAAATAGGGAGGGAATGCTGGTACTACAGTTGTACCATAGCCAGCGTTAGAGGAAGTCATTTTTCTGGTACAACTGCTGTACCAGCTGGCTTCAGAAAGTTAATAATGTATTTTTTTGAATTTGAAAACTTTATAAAGACCTTATTTTGTAGTAATTGATTATTTTTTAATTTAAGAAACTTTCCTTTCTCTACTGATTTAAATTTCCAGAATGCAAATTTAAATAACCCATAGACAAATCTCAATGAGTTCAGAAATAGTATTAAAGTAGCAGAATTTAAGAGTTCACAAAAGAAGAGTTAGTTACAAGTACAGCGGGTTATGGCGAGAACGAGTTATACTGAGTGTTTGCAAGCAGTTCTGTAGTTGTTGAATATTTGTTTTAGCCGCTTACTTTAAACTGTATTGATAATTTAGACTCGGCTTTGCTGTGTGCAGCCGATAAAGCTGATTTAGATTTAAGTAGGTGCCAGTTGTGTAGTTAGAAGTTAACTCATTCTGATTGTACATACTATTTTTGTCTTATGTTACATAGCCACAAGTGTGGATTAGTTGTAATGTGCATGTTCTGTTCAGTTTAGTTAAAACAAAACGGTTGTTCAGCAAGAATTTTTTATTTCCTCTTCAGTAGGGTCTACATTTTATGTTCCCAAAAAGAGTGCGACTCTACAACTTATAAATTATTGCATGCCTTTTTGCATACCAAAATTATAAATTAAAGAATGTTATGTATTAGTATATCAGAAAAAAATATCATTGAATGAAAAATCAAATTTGAATATCCTCCTTTATTTTTTTAACCCACTCCTCAAGCAAACTGAAAAAGTATGGCAAACATCCTAAAATTTGAAATTAAATACAGTAGTAAATTTTTGCAACATAGGAATTAAACTTTTTTTTTTTTTTTTTTTTTGTCTTTTAATAAATTTTTACAAATTACAACTGAACAGAACAAGGGGACTGGTATAAAAAAGTTAGATTTGCCAATTTTAATAAAATTGATTTACTAAATAAATTTTAAAATGCAAAATACATGAATATTTTATATCTTGGGAGTATATGTCTATGATCAACAGCAGCAAAATTAAAGGCTATAAAATAACTTTTATGGAGTATATATTTCCTTACGTACACTAATACATGAGAAAAAATACTTCTCCAGGGTTCGTAGCCACATTTTAGTTAAAAAAACAAGCACATTTTAAGGAAAAAATAAGCACCTGTCTAATTACATTATACACAACTGCATAACCTTAAAAGAAAAATTAGACTTGTAATTTAAAATATGAGCAATGCAATATTTATTAAGAGAATGAGCATTACCTCAACCATGCAAAACAATTATTTTTTTTTTAAAATTTTAAATGACAGTTCAATTTACAGAATTAGTTTACAATGAGAGGGAAAAAAAAAAAAAACTATGCAGAATTAAACTATATTACAAGATTTAATGATGAAATTTCAGTTCAAAATATAGAAAATAAATAATAATAAGCCATATTAATTGTATTTGTTTGGCACCAAATAATAAATACAATTTATTTTTCCACTCATATTAATATTTAAATAATTTAACTTAAATCAAAATTCTGAACATTTTCTAAATTTTTATTGCATAACAGTTTTCCCTTAACATATATTTAAAGCAAAGTAATTTAAATAAAAAAGAGGCACATTTCTGAAATCATAAGACGGGAAATTGCTTCATGCAGTCATCTTTTAACAGTAAAAGCTTAACTAACCCGCATACTCGGAAATTGCCGAATATTCCGGATAGTAACTGGAAAAAGAGAAGTGAGGGAGATTGTAGCTGTTCTTTAGATTTCTCGGCTAAATAAATGATTTTGACATTTCAATATGCGCATCATATAAAAATAGACCTTTGGAACTGAGAAATATTCTGCTTAGATAGCACAGTAAGACTCTTTAAAGTGTTCATAAACAAATCTCAGACTGAACATCAAAATTAATTATCTCTGCAAAATACCGCAAACGTTATTGCGCATTACATGCGGCGTAATTCTTCCACATGTGATATTATACAATTGGAATCAACAGCTACCGGTATTCGGAGAATAAAGAACTAAATAAAGGAAAAGGAAGACTTACTAATCTGGGGTGTTTCTGATTCTAATTTTCAACAGACTGCGTTAAATTTCCGGAATACAGTCAATCTTCGCTTGGGTTTGGTAGACCACAAAAATTTTTAGTCTTATTCAATCCAGTTTGGACAGTGACAAAAAAAAAAAGTCTGCTGCTTCAATATTAGAGATTTTGCAGAGAAAGAGGAGAACCTCCCACCCTCCGTACTGTATAACGTATTGGGAAAAAAAGAAATTATTTTGACTATTCCATTACTTTCCTTTTATTTAAGCCATTCCGAATATTATTCCTTAGAAAGCTAATCTGTGTAAAACACACCCATTTTTGGAAGTTTATCTATACTTGAACAGTTACTGCAACTATATTATTATAAGTATTCACGCATATGCTCATAATAAACACGAATATGAACTGACCACGCGGAACGAGAATGCAAATTATTAAAAATCTTGATAGAAATTCAAACGTGTGTGGTATTTGGGTGGGAGGAAAAGAATACCGAACGTACCAGAATTTTCTACCACTTTCACAATTCTTTGACCAATAGAACGATGTGCACCTGTCTGTACTCTCGCACGCACTATAGGTTACGTTAATGCAGAGAGGGGGGGGAAAGCAATTTCCGGGAGTATGATTCACCATCTGACGTTGCATATAAGGAAGAAAAGTTGTTTATTTAGTTTTGGCTTTGGTACGGGGAAAAAATGCGCGTTCATTACAAAAAAAAAAAAAAAAAAAAAAAAAAAAAAAAATAATAATAATAATAATAAATAAATAAATAAATAAATAAAAAATAAGGGCTTTAAAGAAAAAGGAAGCACCTACAAGGACCTTTATATTTTATTTTCAAATATAAGGATTTATAAGCACTTATAAGGACCGCTACAAACCCTGTTCTCTATTATTTAAAGGGGGGGGGAACCCTTCCCATGAACTTGCAAGTTTCAAGCCACAAGAATAACACTTCTTTACAACTTTTAGATAATATGCAGGAAACCAAAAATTCTTTTTTTCCTTTGTTCCTTTTTAAAATGTCATAATAACAATGCCGCAAATTTTCCTCCTGGTTGCAAACAACAGAATGGCATAAAATATACACAGAAGGTACAAGAAAAACACTAAATAAATTATAGAATAGAAAAATTCTGGTGCTGGGTTTAGACTGAAGAGAAATTTAGATTAAAATTATCGAAAATAACACATAAGTACAAAAAACGTAGATATTTTAGGGATATAAATCATGTTCATAGGGTGTTTCCCAAGTTCTAGGAACTGAGCTTTAATTCAATTCCTAGAGTTTACAAGCAATTCTATCAGGCAGATACAAGTCTTGACATGTTTATGCAGCTATCTATGAAATATTGCTGTGTTTTCAGGTTTGCAAGGTGTTCAGTTTGGGAGTTATTATCAAGGTGAATTGAAGAGACACCGGAAAATTTCATTGAGGACAACTTAGTTTTTGTTGAGAGAAGTGAATTCAAGCAAATGAGAATTATGTTGAAAAACTGCACTGCAATATTGATGAAATAAAAAATTATACCTACATTCCTAGAACATTGGAATCATCCCACATATATATAAAAATCATACTAAATTGTACCTTTAATTAAATAATAAATAAAATATTCAATCAAACATGATGTGACACTGATATGCCTCTCAAAAGTTGTAATATTAAAATTATTAGTAATATTCTACATACAGGAATCTTGTTGCTGCAAATAATTCACTCACCTCCACTGTTTCTGAAAAGAAAGAAAAAAAAAAAAAAAAAAAAAAAGCCCTTAGTATGTCATGTTCTCATTATATTTCTGAATATCTTAAGCCATATCTGTAAAATAATACTATAGAATAGAACAAACAATTATTTTAAAAATCTTGTACAGATATTAAAGAAGTTTATAAATCGGAATGTTATGAAAAAGACCAAAAACTTTTCAAAACCAATGGTTTGTAATGTGGAAACTGATAAAAAAGCAAATCCATTGTAAATTTCTATCTATATATCCACACATCCTACCTACATCTGATAAAAACACAAATTTCAATAATTGTCACAGAAAATATGACTATAGCTTTCACTGACACAGCTAAATCAAATAATTCATTCATTCAAATAATACATAATTACTGTAACTTTACTGAAAATTGACAGCAACATATATCATTTAAGTACCAGGGGAGGAGTCATAAATCATTTATTATGATATCAGAGCACCTCCATTTAATAGCTTTTTTTCTGTGACAGAAAGTCAAGGTTTTATCAATGACAAAATTTTAAAAAAAGATGTCTAATTAAATTATATAAAAGAATAAAATTTTTGCATAATTCATTACATCCAATGGTATAATATAAAATTACTTTTTATTTCCTCATGAAGAAATAATTTTGTTCAGAAAAGTGTACTCTAATATCACATTTGACTGTTTCGATATTTACTATCATCCATGCAATGCAAAAGTGTTTCGAACTAATAAACTTAAATTTTCGAGAGCACTATACTACTCATATTTTTTAATATCAATATGCTATTAGCAAGAAAGATAAGTCACTAATTCTCATCAGCACTTTCCATTTTTACTGCACATTTATATTACAGCTGACATTGAGTGCTCATTACTCACATACAAAATATTTACAAAAATTTTATATAACTTTCCATTAGATTTTTCTTCCTTAATTTATATCATTATAATTAATACTACATGTATGCATACTATATACATATAATATTTTGAAGCACAAATGAGGAATTAGCTTGCACTCATTGAGGCTTATGGTGAAGGCTTACAGATAACAACAACTTGAAGAAATTCCAGTCCTTATTTCCATGCATATAAAACCATCTCCGTAGATGTAGATATTTCTCCAATCATAATGAAATTCGATACATTTCTATGATTCAATCATAAAGAAATATGATAGATTGCTATGTACATTGGTTTCTTAAAATTAAGATGCAGGCATTTTACAGAAGCAAAGCAAGGAGATATTAGCAGGGTAGAAGCTAGCAGAATAAACAATGTAATTAGTTCACCAGAGGTATTTATACCAATTTAGGTGCGATTCTAGAAAGAAGCTATGGATGGTTAAGATTAGTTTTAGTTGCCCTTTCCCAGTAGCGTTACATAGAAAAGTCTCAAATTTGGGAGAACAAATGAATTTAGGGGAAGAGCACCAAATCTAGAATGTTAATTTTGAGATCAGTAATTATTTTTAAAATAGCTATCACATATTGCTGTTTCTTAGACAGGGCTCGTAGCCACATTTTAGTTAAAAAAATAAGCACCTATAAGCACTTTTCAAGCACATTTTAAGGAAAAAAATAAGCACCTGTTTAATTACATTATGTACAACCGCATAAATGTAAAAGAAAAATTGGACTTGTAATTTAAAACATGAGCAATTCAGTATTTATTAAGAGAGAATAAGCATTACTCAACCATTGAAAACAATTACATTCTTTTTTTTAAATTTTAAATAACAGTTCAATTTACAGAACTAGTTTACAATGAGAGGGGGGAAAACTATGCAGAACTAAATTCTATTACAAGATTTAATGATGAAATTTCAGTTCAAAATAGAGAAAATAAATAATAATAAGCCACATTTATTATATTCACATGGAACATAAAATAAATACAATTTATTTTTCCACTCATATTAATATTTAAATAATTTTAACTTAAATTCTGAACATTCTCTAAATTTACATTGAATAACAGTTATCCCTTAACAGATATTGCACGCAACATAATTTAAGCAAAAATAAGTAAAAAAAGGAACTTTTCTGAAATCAGAAGACAGGAAATTGCTTCATGCAGTCATCCTTTAACAGTAAAAGCTTAACTAGCCGGCATACTCAGAAATTGCCGAATATCTGAAAATTCTGGATAGTCGAGTGTAACTGGTAAAAGAGGAAGGAGGGGTTAGATTGTAGCCGTTCTTTAGATTTTTCAGCTAAATAATGCTTTAGACATTACGATATGAGCATCATATAAAAAACAGCCCGATGGAACTGAAAAATAATCTGCCTAGCAGGCACAATAAAACTCTTTTATCACTGCGAAATATCGCAAATGTTATTGCGCAATATGTAGCTTAAATTCTTCCGGACGTGATATTACGCAATCAGAATCAACAGCTGCCGGTATTCGGAGAATAAGTAACTCAATAAAGGAAAATGCCCTTTTGCTTCGTCCGGTTTTCACTCTCATGCCCCATGTGGCATATTTATCATTGAGCAGGACACGTTGTGCTCCGCGCGATATGCCTGCAAAATATGTCAATATGGCGAACAAGTAAAATTATTTCATTACTGTAAGGGATGTTGAATGTGAAACTTCCTTTAAAAAAGCGGTAAAACATATGACAGTTTTAGGTTTAGTTTAGTTTTGTTGGAACTCAACTCTTGCTGAGATCCGATAGCTGAGTGACGTCATCTTGAACTATGAATTCTCGCTTAGAGATAATCAGAACTTGGAACAATAAAGAGATTTACCAATCTGGGGTGTTTTTCATTCTAATTTTGAACAGACTGCATTAAATTTCCGGAACAGAATCATTGTTCGCTTGGGTCGGAAGACCACAAAACTTTTAGTCCTATTCAATCCTGGTTGGTAAGTGACCAAAAAAAAGTTCGTTGCTTTGCTGCGAACTGTAACGGTTTCAATATTCAAGATTTTGGGGAGAAAAGGGAGAACCCCCCTCCAACTTCCGTACTGTATAATGCATTGGGAGAAAAAATATATTTTGACTATTTGATTACTTTCACTTTATTTATGCCATTCCAAATATTCCTTAGAAAAGATAGATTGCTTAGAAAAATAAAATGTGTTAAAACACACCCATTTTTGAAGTCTATCTAAACTTCAGCAGTTACTGCAAATATATTATTATAAATATTCATACATATGCTCATAACATAAGCATACCGATCATAATAAACGCGAATATGAACTGACCATGCGGAACGAGAATGTACGTTATTAAAATCTTGATAGAAATTCAAACGTGTGTAGTATTGGGTGGGACCAAAAGAATATGGAATGTTTATAACAATATATTTGCAGTAACTGCTGAATAAGGAATTTTCTACTGCTTTTGCAATTCTTTGACCAATAGAACGACGTGCACCTGTCTGTACTCGCACACGCCAAAGGTTATGTTAATGCAGAGAAAGGGGCGAAAATCTATTACTAGGAGTATGATTCACCATCTGACATTCCATATAAGGAAGAAAAGTTGTTTATTTAGTTTTGGCTTTGGTACGGGGAAAAAAATGTGCATTCGTTAAAAAAAAAAAAAAACTGATGTGTACACCACACGACTTCCTTGTACGGAATATTAAATTATATGTATTTTTCTTGCATTTCATTTAAACTTATTGGATTGAATTAAATCTACTTCGTCGACAGTGCATAAACCACAATAGAATAAATGCATTCTTTAAAATTCATTCTAGTATTTGGTTACCATAGCGACACTTTGGCGCTAGATTCACTTAACAGTATTATATTTCATTCATATTATAACTCAGAATGCACAAAATTTATATCATTTAAAGAATAGAATTATCTAATCGTTGCCACATGTTCTATTCAAATACTATAATAAAGCTAGAATGATGTATAAAAGAAATTAAGCAAACAAAACAAAAAAGAAACACTTTTTCACAGACGATTGAGTATTTCTCATTCAATTAATTCAGTTCTCACTTGGCAAGAAGGCAAAAATACATAAAAACTCAAAATATCTATATTAAAAATTACGAAGTAAATCTTAAACACTTATTTCCCCGAAAAAATTCCAGAAAGGATTAAACATGATTTAATTTGCAATAATAAATGAATGCGTTATCTTTGTTGTTGCGAAGCTAAATTTCTCTAGATTGGCAACAGATCCACTAGTCTCCTGTTTCAAATGTAAACATCAATGGCCGCCATTAAAAAAAGGCTTAGCGGCACTTATACAACTTTAAAATTGTTGATAATCCTAAAAATATTGCATACAGATTTACTAAAGGCATAAAAACCTTAACAGAAGATAAAAACAACATAATACAATCATTTTTAAAGCAAAAAATGTACAATTTACAAACATATAAGAGTAAAGAAACTGAGATCACTGAGCCGATTGCAACCAAAATATGAGGTGCACATCTACATGTTATAGCAGTCCTATATAATACAAAATAATACAAAATTTCAACGTTCTGAGGCTACTCGTTTTTGAGTTATGTGAGATACGTACGTACGTACGTACATGCGTTCGTACAGACGCCACGGAAAATTCTCTTCAGAATTAATTTTAAAGCAGTTCTATAATTTTTTTTTTTTGAGGAAACAAGTCTTTTATTCTGTCCTTACGTACAGATATCATGCAAAAACATCGTTAAATTGCATTCAATAATGGTCAAAATGGATATTTTCGTTGAAATATGCTGCCGGAAACTTTTCGCAATTACAATACTTCCTTTTTACGTCATACAAGGAAGTAAAAAAGCACCAAAAGAGAAAAATAAACACTAGAAACAAATATAAGGACTTAAATAACAGGGACTGCTACGAACCCTGTTAAATACATACAGGACAAAATTATGCAACACCTGTGAAAAAGTATGACGTATTTCACACCTGCAGTACAACCGTGCAACCTACATCAGAAATCTGCCACCTAGTGAGCGTGAATAGGAAGGTATCAGTCTCTCAATAGCAGTCACCTGCCTTGCATGCTTTGATTGAACTGTCTGTGAGAAGTTGAAATGCCAGACCAGTCAGAATTCCAAAGAGGAATGATAGTTGGAGCGCGTTTAAGTGGAGAATCAGTTACGGAAACAGCAAACTTTGTGGTGGTGTGCAAGGAGTAGGGTAGCAGCCCTTATGATAACATACATGAAAAAGGATAAGACGGCGTCTTCAGAGCACAACAGTGGCCGAAAGTCAAAGTTGGCTGATAGGGATAGACGGGTCTTGAAGTGCATAGTAGCCCGAAAGCACAAGCAATCGTTATCCGAGATAACATGCGAAATGAACGGTCATCTCCAAGACCCTTTTTCAACAAAAACTGTCAAAAGGAAACTTCATGCTGCGAGCATTTATGGCAGAGTGGCAATTCGTAAGCCCTTGGTGACAGCAACTAATGCTTTCAAGTGATGCCAATGGTGCAGAGATCACAAATGCTGGCCTCCACAGCAGTGGCAACAAGTAATATAGTCAGATGAATTGTCATTCACTCTATTTCAGACGACCGGATACGTTTATGTCTGGAGAACGCCCAAAGAAGAGTTTCATTCTGACTACCTCTTGCCGACTGTGAAGCATGGGGATGGCGCCATTATGGTATGCGGTGCGATATCTTGGCACGGTCTCGGGCCACTTGTTATTCTGCATGGGAGGATCACATACAATCACTATCTAAGCATTCTAGGGGATCATGTCTATCCTTTTGTCCAGAGTGTATTCCCTGGGGAGCAACCGCTTTTTCAAGATGACAACGCCTCTATCCACATTGCTAGGTGTATTCAAGAATGGTTCAAAGAGCACGACAATGCAGTTGAACATCTCGCTTGACCCCCTCAGTCTCCGAATTTGAATATTGAACATTTATGGGCATATTTGGACTCTAAACTTCGTTCCGGATTTCCACCACCATCCAGACTTTCGGAATTAGAGACCGCTCTGTAGGAGGAATGGCTTAATATTTCTTTAAATATTGTCCATGACCTTTGTGCATCTATCGCACGTCGCATTCAATCAGTACTTCAGTCAAAGGGTGGTCCAACTCCCTATCAATAAAGATTTTCCATTATTTCACAGGTGTTCGTATTATTTTGACCTCCATCTGTATATATGTACAATTATTATTTAGGCAGGAAACCGAGCAAACATTTATTCAATTTAAAAAAAAAATAATGCTTGCGAGCGGTATTTATACCTAGCAGATGCAGAAAGTGCTTTAAGTTGTGATTGGTTAGCTTTAGGCTGTTATGTAACATGGAAAGATCTTGAATTTGGGAGAACAGATGAATTTCAGGGAGAGAATACCAAATATAGAATAGTTAATTTTGGGGTCATCAATTATTTCTTAAAGCAGCCATCGTATTTTGTTATATCTTACAAATTCCGCTCCCCCTCAAAAGAAAGGTCAGGAGAGCAGGGTGGCAGAAAAGCATTGATGAATTAGCAAAGCAAGGGAAAGTTTAGTATATAAGGAAAGACATGAAGTAGCATTAAGGTCATAGCCGCTAGGTTTGCCAATGTCCTGTTAATGTGAACCTAAAAAAGAAATATGAATTTTAAATCATTACATATCAAAGATTGTGGGGCATATGAAACTTACACATTTGATCCAGCATTCTGGAACTGTGAAGGCCTGATCCCTGGGTTGCCACTACCACCATGAGGTTGACCAGCTCGAATGGGCTTAGCTGTAAGAGAAAAAGCACATTAACAGGTACTATGTAGAATACTTTTTACAAGGGTAACTCAAAAGCATACATAATCATGTAAACTTATTAAAAATTTGAATGATGGTTAATAATAATTATGAATATTTCTGAATAGTGAGAGAAAATGTGTAATAATAACTAGAGATTTTTAATACAAGGTAAATATACCTTATTTAGTAGCCAGTGTTCGTACTAACTTAAGAGTTAATATCATTAACATTATATAAATTTTCTCTATCGATCAACAGAAAAATCAAATTCTCAAAAAAATGTTTTTAATTTGAGGGAAAAAATTAAATGCATGTTACATTTCACTCCAAGTACTAACATACGGCCAAACCGTGCTGCCGTTTCTTATTATAATAAGTAAAAGAAAAAATTCAAAACATTGCATCAAATAATTATAATTATGTAAAGCATAAGAAACTATATTAGTAATTATATTTTCTAATTTTGAATATTTCTAAAACAAAATAATTATTTACATTTATTACAGCTCAGATTTTAGGAAGTAAGTTATTTCTCGATTAGAATTAATTTTGAAAATTATTTATTTTCAGAGAAAAAAGTCATGCATTTTGCATTGCTGATTTCTTTTAAATTTCTTACTGTGAAAACCACAGGAAATATCAAACATCAAATACTTAACATCAAATACTAAATACTAAATATAAACATCAAATACTAAAACTACTAGTTAGCATTACATTCACTAAAATCAAAATAACACCTCAGTAAATTTTTAATGACCTTCCACTAATTAAATTAAAGAATGCATAGAAAAAAATGAATATACGAAAAAGATATTATTAGTGAATAAGTATGTTAAATATGAATAACAATATTTATTTTTCCAAATCCACCAAGTGGCACTGTGACAACAACATTCCTATATAAAACTGTATTGTTCAGCAATGAATAATTTTTGCTGGCTCCATAAAGTAATAATCTACGATTAAAGTTAATATAATAATAATTATAATCCAATTTTAGACTTATTTTTCTGGGTTCAGTCACTTATGCAGACTGAGGAGCAGTTCATATTTCAAGCCAATGACGAAGAACCCTGATTTCACATCAAGTTCCCAAACAAGGACTGCAGAAACTTAACTCTCTCTTAACAATTTTTTTTTTTTTCCCCCCTCAAACTAAATGGTAATGAAATCAAATAACTATAGATAGAGAATTGGTAAAATTACAACTATAACTGATTTTCAGCAAATGGTTAAGCACGTTTTAGAACTAAGAATAATGAATAGCAGAATGTACAATATTCTACATTGCTCCATTTCTACTTTCTACTGTAATTAATGCGAAAATGTCTCACAAAATATTCTAGCATGCTTTACACATCACTAGAGATTGCATTCGGTAGACGAGTGATGCGTTTACACATTTTAAGCTGGAACGTTTTTCTGAAGACCACTAGATGGCATCTTATGTCCATTATTTTTTAAATGAACACTGTTTTAGGTTCCTGACCTTGAGTTTGATATATTGTGCCTGACTTTGGGATTTTACTCATCAACTGTTGCGAAGGTTGGAGGGGATGCGTAAACAGAGGTGGGCTCTTTATCTTTAAATCACGGCATGCTAATATAAACATTTGCATGTCTCATTTATATCCAATTCCTTTTTTTATTCAATTTTTTCCTCTACTATGTATGGTCTTTTAGGGTTACTATGTGGAGCTCTATTACATTTTGCATTGCCCTCAGACATATTTTGGGTTCTTCTCTTTTTATTTCGGAAAGTCTATTATGGCGTGAAGGCGCTATTTTTCAGAGGAAGAATACACTTGTATGGTTAATAAACCATTTACTAACACAGATGAGAGTGATGATTCATTTTCTAAAGAGTTAAAAAGTGATACTTCTCTGTGCTTCAAGAGTCTTCATTTTAAATTCTTTTGCTTCTTACTGTAAATAGTCTTTATTGTATTATTTTATTAATTTTAAACTTTATTGATGGATTTTATCAATTAAAACTTTGGAATAATTTGAATACCGCTTCCGAAAATTATTTTACAAAATAAGCAATTTTTTAAATATATTTTCATGTAAAATAAAGAAACAAGGATTATTAAATGCTAATTTTAACATATATAAGAGCTCAAGTAATAATCTAAAACCCCTGCTTTGTATGGTGACTGCCTTCGATTCCCTTCTGTCCCGCACGGGCATCTTAAACAAAGGTGCGCCGTCGCGAAAGGGTTATGTACAGTTAGTTAGACATTCTACGCATTCCCCTTAATAAGTAGGCCTCTTCCTCCCTTTCAAAAATTTCTAATTTAAATTGCTAAACTTTTTTACAGCCCTTGCATTTCAGTTATGCACTATAGTGGGCACAAACAGCTTAGTTTTACAAATTTACAGCTGAAAGACATCATGCAAATTTGGTACAAAAGACTTGCCTAAAATCGCAACTGCTGAAGGGTTAACAAACAAGAATAGTGCTAACACATAGATAAACTCCAAGATGAATACATAAAATTAATATCATACCTTTAGCTAAAAAAATTATAAAACTTTCATCTTATTTTATAAACATTATGTGACTTTTTAAGTAATGAAAAGAAATAAGTTATACCAATGTGAGCCATATTTCCTCTTCTTGCTAAATTCTTCTGCCTTACTGCTTCTTTAATTCGATCAACTTCATGTTGGTATCTGTACAGGAGTTTTAAAACAAAAGTCACAGTCATGTTTTTTTTTTAAATTAATGAAATAATTTAAATGCTAACTTTCTAAATTAATCTAGCAATTAAGAAACTTCATTAGCTTAAAGAAAGGACACCCAAAAGAAAAATGGCCTGAATAATTAGTATTAGCCTGAATAATGTTGTCCTGTTTTTCCCTCTAAGATCTTTCACAAAAGTGGAAAGGGGGGAGGTCATGATGGTGACTTACATGTAAGACTGCTTGCATACATCAGCTACTAGATTTGTTGAAGGTGCTTGCAAAGAAAAATAATTCAAAATTTAAATACCATAATTTGTGATAAATTAAATAAAAATGCTATTCCTTAAGCTAGAGAATAAGTGACAATTATTTTAAGCATCATTTTTTGATTGTCAGACTTCATATACAAAACATATACAGTCAAAAGTCGTTAATTCAGACACCCATAATCCGGACCTCAAAGCTAAAAATTTTCTGCGCATGCGCCGTGTTCACACATGCGCATAGGCGTTTACGCGTGAGCATAAGACCTTTACGACTGCGCATATGCATGTGCACAAGTGCAGAATACATTTTCACGTGCGCGTTTAATGTATAACGGATGGTATAAGCTAAAATTATCTAATTATCTATTTCAGTTAATGTTGATAATTGCATTGTTCCTTAATATTCGAACTGGGTCCGGCTTATTACTTTTTTCAGACTGTAAGAGCAATTTTATAAAAGTAAACTTGAACTTTCGATTATGTCAAATAGAACTTCCGATGCTGGAGCTCCCAAAGGATCTACAGTACGAAAGTATGTTTCGATGTCTATCAAACAAAAATTGGAATTGCTGCAAAAAATGGATAAAGACATGAAGAAGGTGACAGAGAGGTTAGTGAAAACGAAAAAACTTTGATTGACAAGTTAGTCGGTATTCTTGGCACACAGCAATTTACGGACTTGAACTTGAACAGCGGAACTTTGTAACTGAACAAGAAATTATGTCTGTTTATAGAATTTTAAGAGAAAGTATTATCACATAAAACGAAGCAACTTAAACAACTTACATTGAAAGAAGTGTTTAATAAAGTAAACAAATAAATATTAAGCTTTTTTTTTTTTGTAAATTTTGATACCCTTTAGATCATAATTGTTCTTTATTTCATAAATTATGCTTTCATATTTTTAATTTTAGAATTTCTGCACGCCATTTTACGAGATTTAAACTGATGACCTATAATCCGGAAAAATCGGTAATCCGGAATCGCCGAAGTCCGGATTAACGACTTTTGACTGTACTACCTTCGAAAGGTTGTTTTAAAAGAAGAGGCGAGTTTAATTTTTAGAAAAAAAAAAAAGAATTAATTTTCAAAATAAAGGACAATATATTTTCTTTAGTAAATAACTAATTGTTCCTTTTCTAATTCATAATGCATGATTAAAATTTTATGAACTATGAAATCATAGAAATCATAACAAAATCAATTCATTATTTTTTTATGTAACTATGTACAGTGGTACCTCGGTGTATGTCATTAATCTGTTCACACTTACACTTGGAAACTTGGATGTATATCAAACGAACTTTTCCATTAAGAAATAAAGGGAAAATAATTAATATGTTCTTATAAATATTGCAACACTGTTTAATCTGAAAAAAAAAAAAAAAAAAGATGTAATGGGTGAAATATAAACTGCACATAAATGAAGTACTACATGACATTACTCGTAACTTTTTTCCTGTAATCCAAATCAAAAGCAATTTTTCAACATGCTCAACATCTGTGATCTTTGTCTGGTAATTGTTTTCACCCCCTTTGCAACGTTAGCTAAGTTAATAGCATATTTGGCTTCCACAATCACAGACACTAACGTACTCAGCGTACTGTATGCAACAGCTAAGTCCCACATATGCATGCCATCTTCATACTTTTCAACTTCCATCCTAAAAGTAACTGTTAATGAATTTACAAAAATTTACCCCCCCAAATCACTTGAACATTGAAAATTATAGTGCAGGTTGTTTACTGAATAGTAGCAATAGGCGAACCGATGCTCAGAGGGAGCCATAACATTGTCTCAAAAGAAGTGAACAAGTGTAGTATAGACAGTTGCGATTCATTGAACTCGAGTTTCATTCTAAATAAATGTCATACACCAAACTAAATTTTCACATCCAAACAAAATGTGTACCAAATTGAATGTGCACCAAAGTACCACTGTAATTATCCTCCCCCCCAAAAAAAACAGATTAAGCGGAGTATCAGTGCATTATGCATAAATCATATTTTAAGAACTATGAATGGATGCCTTAATTTATAAAATTAATTACATAATAATACTAATGCATTATATTAAACCTATAACTGTCAAAAAATTTTTTAACTAAATGATATCTTTAAATTACATGCAGTAGAATTTCAAAAATTTATATTTTGGTTGACTGATTCCTGCAACCTTCTTCATAAAAAACTTTTCTTCTTATTTATCCCTTCTCTCTCCATTACATTTCCCCCCTTTACTGAAATTGTTTTATGGGTATATAAATAAGTGTACGTAAATATATATATTCTGTATTTAGAAAATCTAATAGTTTTTGCATTCTATAAATCTGGAGTAAGTAATTCTGAAAGTATGGTACATATTGGTAATTAATTATGTGAAAATAATCAAAATTTAATATAACATTAAAATAGCTGAAATATAAATAAAACTCAGAAAGATATAACTTAATAATAAACTTTGAAATTTTTTAAACCACATGATTCTTGGGTCTAGATATGTAAATTAACTGCAATCAACTGTATTTGAATATAAATTAGCACCTAAAATATTTTTGGGAATAAATTAACTGACTTCTGAACAAACAAACAAAGCAAAACAAAAAAATTCAATTTATATTTTAATTTTCTTCTCGAAAAATCTGTTTTAAATGGAAATTACAGTGAAATATGATATACCGTTTTCTGTCTCGCATTGCACTTTCTTTGGCTTCTTTCAAAGCTTGTTCCAAAGCTTTTACTCTTTCCATTGTAGCCCTGAGTCTTTTTTCTAATTTAGGTAATTCACATCGCAAATCAGCATTATCTCTCACCAACTGAAAAGCAAAATATAATTTATTAACTATAATTACTTCAGAAATACGAAGCATATATTGTAACAATTCTAAAATTTATATGGCAAATAAAATTGAAATGAATCATATTTCTACATCCAATTAATAAATGAGTTTCATTTCATTGAACGTAGGGTTTAAAATTACAAATGCAGATAAACAAATATTTCACGGCATTCAGAAAATATAATAACATCCAAAAAAAAAAAAAAAATTATTTTTTGTTTTGAAGAAGTTAAAATGAGAGCAAATGTTAGCAATATTTCATTAATTTGCTTTATAAGTCTACTTGAAAATTTAACATAAAAAGTCTGATGTGAACACCACACGACTTCCTTTTCAATCTACTTTGTCGATAATGCATAAACCACAATAAAATAAATGCACTCTTTAATTTTCACTTGCTCTTTATAGTTTTACCATAGCTATATTTAACACAAAAATATCTGCTGCTAGGTTCATTTAAGTGTTGCATCTCATTCATTTTATAACACAGAATTCGCAAAAATTATATCATTTGAAGAATTACGTTGCCAAATCGTTGTTCATTCAACTATATTCTAAAAGACTATAAACAAAACTAAAAAATCTTAATGATAAATAAAAAAAAAACAAATTAAATAACAAGTATTTTAAAACAAAAAAATCCAGGTTGATTAAAAAAATTTTCAAATTTTGCATTACACCCAAAGGGGCTTTTTCTTAAAGTTTTGTTATTACCTTTATTTATCAAATATCATGTTCTTCGTACTTAAACCATAAAATTCAGTTCAACAGCAATATCGCAAAATAACTTTAAAATGAGCATATCTTTAGAATTTCCCATACACAGTTCCATGCACTGGAGATAAAAATGTCCCCCCCTGTGTACAGTGTTGCCATTGCTCACTTTGAAATCATTGAGTTTGTTAATCACAAATTAGTTAAAGGCTTATAAAATATGAAATTGATAATAAACATATTTCAAATTCTCAATTTCCAAATGCATCAGTGCAAGATGCCCGTTGCAGATTCAAACGTGATGGATGTATCGTTATTTAATCACAATGCGAGATTGAACATTTATTCAGTCAAAAGTTGTTAATGACCCATATCCTCAGAATGATCTATATCTTGACATCAAATACAAGTTCGGGCTATCGAGCGTATCATGAAAATGTTCACAATGCGTGTTAATCCGGAACGGGCATAATCCAGAATGATCTTATCAAAAGGCCTCAAACTATACAGTGCCATTCAAAGTCAACTGTATATGCGCATCACGTGCAAAGATACGCATGCTGTTGGGCAATTATCTTATACTCCGTGTTCGGAATGTTGCATAAGTTTAAGGCGCATGTGAATTAAACAAGACAGGTATTATCTAAGTTAAATTTCTAATTTCAGCAGTTAATGTTGCAGATGCGTTTGTTAATTCTTTCGTTGTTGATCCGGATCTTGCTTATTATTTTTTGCAGACTGTTAGAGCAATTTTATAAAAGTAAGCTTGAACTTTTGATTATGTCAAATAGAATTTCCGATTCTGGAGCTGCCAAAAGATCTATCTACAATGTGAAAGCATCTTTCGATGTCCATCAAACAAAAACTGGAATTGCTGCAAAAAATGGATAAAGGCACATCCTTTGTTTTTCTAACCATTCCGAAATTTGTTTATCAATTTCACGCTGCTCTGCCGGGGGGGAGGGAAACATCGTGGCGCACAATGAACTGGAAGTTGATCTGTCAGCACTATCCTCATCTTCAGGGCAGATGTCTTTATTTTATGCGGCTTATAATTCCTTACTAAATGTGGTGTTTCCTCTCGATGTACTCCGATATGATTTAAATCAATTTCTCGTCATTATAAATATCAGGAATACACATCAAATAGTTTTCTGGTTGCAATTTTCTAATTTCGACTACGCATAATGTATGCTTTACGCATGCACGCGTTGAAAGAAATATTTAATAAAGTAAACAAATAAATATTAAGCTTTTTTTTTTTTTTTTTTTTTTGTAAATTTTGATACCCTTTAGATCATAATTGCTCTTTATTTCATAAATTACGGTTTCATATCTTTAATTTTATAATTTCTACATGCCATCTTACCAGATTCAAACTGATGATCTATAATCCGGAATCGCCGAAGTCCCGATGAGTCCAGATTAAAGACTTTTGACTGTATACATTTATGCAGATTCTTCATTATTTAATTTCTTTAAATATAACACAGGGGGATAATATTTGGTGGCAACAATTTGAAAAGTGAAATGAACATTTAAAGTTAAATGCCAAAACAAAATTAACAGCCCTTCAGGCTAAAAAAGAAACAGTTTTTCACAAATGATTTAGTGTCGATTACCTAATGCATATGCACTGCTCATCAACATTTTCCTCTGTCCCAAACAGACTGGCGACAACATTTGTAGCTAATACGAAACACTTATTTCCTCGAATTTCATTAGAGATATATTTCTCAGTCAATTCAGTTCTCAATAAATTGAAAATAAAAAATTGAAAGATATAAAAAATAACATACTACATACAGCTTAAAAAAAAAAAAAAAAAAAAAAAAAAAAAAAAACAATTAAAATTAGAGCTTCTGCGTAAAAACAAGCAATTCAGACAGCAGGAAAAAGGACAGATTTTTAGATGCACAGAAAAGTTCCCTTTTGGTTCCACTCAGCAAAAAGACACTGAAGTTGCAGCGAGATTTAATTCACCGTTCTTTAAATTTTCAAATGTAGAGAAATATGGCTGCTATGGTAAGAAAAACTGAGCTTAGTTGCACTTAAACAACTTTTAAATTGTTGATATATCTACAACCATTGCGTGCAAATTAACTAAAGGCATAAAAACCTTAACCAGAAGATAAGAACAACATAATTTAATCATTTTTTAAATAAAAAGATTCACACTTTACCAACATGCAAGAATAAAAAAAATAAGCTTGCAGAGCCGAGTAACAGAGTGTATATATATACATATATATATCTTTGGTGTGGCTGATTGCAACGAAAATGGGAAGTGCACATCTACATGTTATAGCAGTCCCACGTACAAAATTTCAATGTTCTGAGGCTATTCATTTTTGAGTTATGCAAGATATATACATACATTCATACATACAGAGGCCGTGTGAATCCATGTGAAATCAGTTTTAGAATTTGGATTATTGGATTATTCAGTTATGGCAAAGCACACGAGGGCTATCTGCCTAAAGGGAGGGATGTCTTTCGTGGAGGACTTTCTAAGGGAAACTGGCTCGTATACACATGGGAAAAACCACGAAAACACCCATGCAGCCAGCCCGTTCACGGGATTCGAACCTCAGACCGAACTACCAGTATTCAGCGTCTTTACCGCTCGGCCGCTGGTGGGCAATTAGTTTGAGGAAAAAGAGTCCTTTATTCTGTCCTTATGTACAGATGCCACGTGAAAACATCATTATATTGCATTCAAAAACCGTCAAAACGGATATTTTTGTCAAAATATGATACTTTGAATCTTTCGTGATTACAATACTTCCTTTACTTCGTACAAGGAAGTAAAAAGGAGAAAAGGACTTAATATCCAATTATTAGTTAGACAATAATTTAAATAATAAATAGATTCACGGAAATGTACTTTCAAGTATTCGTTTTGTAATATCTAAACTGATAAGACTCAGGTTTTTTTAAAAGTACATGCATTGTGACTGAAGAAAATGTTAATAATTTAAAGTCTCTCAGTAAACCACAATCAGCACAAAATTTTAAATAGTTGGTCAATACAACTTTAGTTTTACTTTACATAGTTTTTACTTTTATTAGACATATATGGTGCAAATATATTTAAAAAGGGGAGAGAAGAAGAAAATCTGAAATAATTCAGATTGTATGGGATTATACTGTTGAGATTTTCATGTTTAACCAGAAAGTTTTCTTAGTAAGATGTTGTAACATCTCCCCTTTTTTTAATCCTCTAAACTTTATTTATTAAATATCACTTTCTTCATACTTAATCTAAATAAAACTCAACAGTATAATCCCATACAATTAAAAAATAGAATACATTAAGAATTCTTGATAGTGTTAGGTGTTGCCATAATTTTTTAATATATGCCTTATTATTATTTTTTAAATAATGCATCACAATAACATAATAAAATTCTTTTATTTGAAAAGAGAGATACAAAATTGAGGATCAAGACTAACAGAACCTCAGGTACTAAAAATGTTAGAAATGTTGCAACCATATTTTCATAATTTGGAAAAGAGTTACCTTGCAACAATTTCTGTATATTATTATCAAAAATTAAACAAGCAATATATACCTGTTTGTGAACTTTTGTAAGTTGATCTAAGTTGTTTTCTAGAAAAGAGATCTTTTGTTTCTGAGCTAGACTTCCGCCATTATCTTCACTATCGTCTCCAACGGCTGACTTTTTGACACGGCTTTGAAGATCTTGAACAAAGAGCTTTCTGAGGTTATGTAATGTCTGAAGTTCTTTTGCCTTTAAATAGGAATATTAATTAAATTATAGCCATTATATTTAAAGAATAATCAATTTTTTCAAATAGAGATGCCAGTATAAATTAAATACTAAAATTATCATGTTAGTAAATACATACAACAGTTTCTTCTAATCCTTTCAGATCTTGTCGAGCTTGTTCTCTACGATCACTCATCAGCCTAAAATAATAATAAGAAATGTAATAACAATAAAAATAAAATTCAAAGCTAGAGATCATCTTTATCAACTAAAAACAGAGGAAGGAAATAGATATTGTCCAGACTTACGTTAATTCTTGCAATTTCTGAGTTTTCTCCTGTTCTTCTTGTTTCAGCTTATCATAATCTAACTGCAGTCTTTCTTGTGCCAGTGACAATTTTTGATTGACACTAAAATTTGACAGATGCAATTAGTTAATATTTTATTAATAACTCAAATATATGACTTAAAGTTTGAAAAATAACACATATTTCTGTAAACATTAAATTTAATGCTTCAGTTATTTAAACACTCAAACAAAATATGAAAGTCGAATAAAATGTTTGAATATTTAGATAAGCTCCAAATATGTAATAAATTAAAATATATATAATAAATTAAAAACCACATCAAGAACATAAAGAAAAGTACAAGAAATACTCAGTTTGGATGTATCGAGTCATTTGGAAAATTCTAAACAGAAAAAAATTATCTTCAAATTAGTTTGTTTCTGTTGATAAAGAATGATTTTGATCATAGTGATCTTTAAAAAAATGGTCTTTTCAGCTTACATTTGCATAATTCTATGTAGTGGCATAATTTTTATTTCAGCACAATGCTAAGAATAAAGAACCCAAAGTTCATTTCTGTTGTATTATGCTCTTTTACTTTAAAAAAGGAAAAAATGCTAGTCAGACTGCTCATAAAATTTGTGCTGTACATGGATAAAGTGTACATGATTAAATTTCAGTTTCTGATGCTACAGTTTGAAACATTTATGTGTGCAAATTTCAGCCTTGAAGATGTTACCCACTGGGGACCACCATCCTCTGTAAATAAAGACCCACCGAAAGAAGCTATCACTGAATATCCATGTTATATAATCCATGTTATTAATCAGTACATGCATGTTATACCATCAGACAGAATAAATATTTCAAAAAGTACAATACATGATCATTTGAAGAAGACTGTGCATGTATGCTGCTGTGGTGCATGAGTGCCCCATATTTTAACTGGGCAGAATATGCTTGCTTGAGTTTCGGAATGTGTTTTTCTTTTCCTGAATGCTACTCTTTTGAAACAGCTCATTATTGCAAATGAGAAGTGGACACTATACAATAGTGTCACAAGAAACAGGTCATGGAGTTTGCCAAAAGAATCTCTTTTTAAGTAACATCAAGACTGCGGCTGCATCCTAAAACAGTAATGCTTATTCCAGCTGGACCAGAATTGGAAATAATGTCACAGAATAAAACTCAGCTTAAATGATTCAATGAAAATATTTTAATGTTTTGCTTTTTTTGCTGCTTTGTTTGTATTTATCATTTAAAAAAAATGTAGAATTTTCCAGATGATCCAATGCATTATTTAAACATAACAAAAATTCATGTAAACATTAAATGAAATGTTTTAGCTACTTAGAGTTAAGTATTTGAATATTCAAACAAAATATAGCTATTCTTAATTTCAATAAATAAAACCCTTCCATGTTGATGAAATCTATATGATCAATAATTTGTAGGGTCTGTACCCACTTTTTCACTCGGAATACATCTTAAATCTGAATATTCTACTATTCATCACTGATTTTACATCTACTGAATAACTTTTATTTGTGAAGCTAACTTAGCACTTTTTTTTTTTTTTTTCTTTCTTCCCGTTTTGTTTTGTTTGTTTGTTATTTTTTGCTTTCATCACTGCACGATTATCAATTCATGGCAGCTTGATAAGTGATTCACGCACTGGAGTCTAAAACATTTCTTTTTCTAAATATAAGTAACTGAATATTAAACAGCATGGTAACCTTTTATACTGACATTACGCTTGCCGACAATTGCAAACTTCAGCCATGTTGACAGAGTGAAATTTAACAGAAATTTCTTTCCATATGTAAAAAATAGATTATGTAAATGATTACATTTCGAGCTGTTTGAACTAACTCATTTGTTATTTATATAAGGCTTAAGTATGTGCAGAATTCATTTATTAGTGACTCAGATAAGTCTTATGCATATTTGAGAGATAGATGTAATTATAATAAACTAGCAGCTGGCTTTTAAATGTACCGGAAAAAAGGCTAAAGGAAACACCAAATGTTAAATTTAAAAACTGCGTCGAATTTTACTCTGCAGAACAACTTCATAAAAAAAAGTTATTATGTATAACAAAATTACAATGAAATAAGCAATACCCCTTAATACAAATAATAATTATCCTAATAAATAAATTAACCAACTTCCCTTTGCAAAATCTTAAGAACTCAAATGGTATAAAGGAGGTTAAGAACTTTGTTTCCTAAAAAAATCACTCAAAACTTTTCAATATGTTAAAAACGGTGAAATGAGCAATAATTATAATAAATAACTGAACTAACATGATTCAGGCTTAATTTTCGCAAAGCTTGTGAGAAGCATGATAAAATTTAGTGGAGCAACAAGGTTTTAATTGGCAATATTCCAATACATTGCAAATAGTATATAGTGGATGCTAGTTAAGCATTAAGCTATGCTAAAATGAGACACGTGAAATTTGTTGAATGGTTTTAAATGTAGAAAATACAGTACAAAGTCAAAATCCGGACGTCCATTATACAGAATGATCTAAAATCCAGACCACAAAGCCACAATTTTTTTTTTAAAATTATTATTAATGCTTTATGCATGCACATTTGATTTTTCCTTCCATAATAAAACGTATGGAGATTTTCAATTAAAATTCCGATTCTTAATTTCACTTAGGCACTAAATAAAATACCTCGTTATGGAAAAACAATTATGTAAGCATAAATTTGTGAGATTAATAATTTGCCACCGTAGCTGATATCTACTTGGCATGCATCTCAAACCGAAACATTCACCTTTTTTTATATCCCTGACGCTGACCTGGCGAGTCATTATTTATTATATTTTGCTTTCATCACCGCATGTTTATCAATACATGACAGCTTCAGTAATAGCTCATGCTGTGATGTCTAAACTTTTTTATATTAGTAATTGAATAGCAAGAGTACAGCAACCTTTTATGCTAACATTACGCTTGGCGATGATTATAGAGTTTTAGATGCTCTAAGAAATCTTAACGAGGAAAAATTCAACAAAAATTTCTTTTCATATGCTAAAATTAGATTTTGTTAATGAAACTCCAAAAAATTACATTTACTGCTATTTTAATTAAGAATAACTGATATGTTATTCACCATAAACCCAAAAGTGGGGGCAGAATATATTGGCATCGGACAGCAGAATTTAGGGAAGACAGAACTTTTGGAATTTGGAGAAGCACCGAGCGGCAAAATTAAGGGATGAGAAGTTTTTTCGATTTAGGGAAAGCACTGGGATCCAAAGTTTAGGCATGGTGAAAATTTATAATTTAGGAAAGCATTTTGTAACAGAATTTAGGACCCGTAGAGACTGCACCAGGCGGTATCGAGAGGCGGTCCTCGATAAAGCCTTAAGTATATGTGGGAGTTTATTTATTCAGGACTTGGATTAGTTTTAAGCATGAGCAAGAAATAAACATAGGTATAGTAAATAACTAATACAATTCAGGCTTAATTCAATACGCAATAGGGGCAAGACAAATTTTAGCAAAACAACTTGGCTTCCATGGCCAATCTTGTGATACACAGCCAATAATGTATAACGGACGCTATTAAGCTAGGCTAAAATTATCTTTACAGATTATAAGGCATTTCAATTAATGTAGCAGACTGCGCTGCTCCCTGATCTTCTAATTTGATCTAGCTTATTATTTTTTGCAGACTGTTATTATTACGGCAATTTTATAAAAACTACGCTTGAACTTTCAATTATGTTGAAAAGAGTTTCCAATTCTGGAGTTGCCAAAGGATTTACAAAGCAAAACCATGTTTCAATGTCCATTAGACAAAAAGTGGAATTGCTGCAAACAATGGATAAAGGCATATTCATCTCAAAATTATGCGAGGAGTATGGCATTGGAAAGTCCACTGTATATGAAAAAAAAAAAAAAAAAAAAAAAAGAAGAAGAAGAAGAAGAAAAGAAAGAAAAAGGAACTTCTGAATTTTTTGTGGAAGCATCTTAAACTTCTTACATTGAAAGAAATGCTTAATAAAGTAAAAAAAAAAAAAATAAATATTAAGTTTTTTTTTGTACATTTTGATACCCTTTAGATCATAATTGTTCTTTATTTCATAAATTACGATTTCATATTTTTAATTGTATAATTTCTGCATGCCATTTTACCAGATTTAAATTGATGATCGATTATCTGGAAAAATCCCAAATCCGGAATCTCCGAAGTCCCGACTTCGGACTTTGTACTGTATTACTACTGACAGTGAAAAAAATTGGCAAAGATGTTACGGAGTACAAAAAATTTGTTATCGATAATTTAGTGGGAATTCTCAAATCGGAAACTACAGCATGTGAACAATGGGAATTTATAACCAAAATCAACACAGATAGCTTAAATTGAAAAACATACATGTAATTAAAAAATAATAATAACAATTAAAGATAAATAAATAAATAAAAATAAATATTGAGCTATTCTAAATTTTGATTCCTTTAAGACCATTAATGCTTCGCTGTTTCATAGGCAACTGTTTTGAATTTTTAATTTTATAATTGAAGGGCTTGCAGTAAGAAGGATTCAGCTCCACTTTTAGTAGATTTTGTGATCATAGGCCTTTTCTGCTAAAAAAAATGGTTCCTGCATTACAGTAAAAAGGGCTCATCTCCGAGCAGAAGTTTCTGAAAATCTCCAAGAGATGAAGCTGATATTTTTGTAAGCTTGTAAGGGCTTAGTTCCAAGTAATAGTTTCCAAAAAATCTCAAGAGATGGAGCGAGTTGTACAGCTGAGTTTAACTACTACAGGGTACAGTTTTGTTTACTTGGTGTTATATTTCATGTTGCACTGTTCTTAATCATTTTAAGTGTAAGAAGGACTGTTAATGTTATTGTGATTTCCTGTTCTTTCACATATGTGACAAAATTTCAAAAGATCCTGAACCTATCAGGTCAGGCTCATCTGATGAACATTATACAAATGAATGCAAGGACAGCAACAATGAATGATCAAGGAAGAGACGAAAAGCAATGAATTGGGATTTGTGGAAAAAAGAAGACAAAAGAAAAATGAGATGCAATGAAGGTGAGAGTTATATTTCAACTCAATTAAATGTTATTCCTTCTAGAAAAACTGGTTCCACTTGTAAATACAAGTTCAAATGCTTTTCTAAGATTTGTAATGCCGAGGAAAAAAAAAATTACTGCAGAAGTTCAACAAACTTTTACAAAGTACATGCAAGATGTGCATTTAGCAGGCCTTATTACTGTTGGATATGTTGAAAGGAAAAGGTCAAAAACTGGTATCCAAACTCAATGAACATTTTTGATGGTATATACAATTTGATTGGAAAAATCTGAAAAGTTAAGTTTGTTGAAACGCATTCACTGCTCTTAATGGTATAGGTGTGAAAAGGATACGTTTGATAGTGGAGCCAAAGTTAAAATTACGGAACACTACACAGTAATAGGCCAAACAAAATCCCTAAACATAATTCATTAACATATTGAGTAGTTTTCTAACTCGCGAATCTCATTATAGCAGAAAGGACAACATAAATATTTGCCTGCTGAACTGAGGATTACAGAAATGCACTGAATCTTCTTGGCAAAACATCCTGAACATGAATCTGTTTCGCATGATTGTTACTTCATACCATTTACCATCATTTATTATTTAAGATACTTCAAGGATAATTTAAATTTTCAGTTCAGCCCTGCTCATTCAGATATGTGCCAGACATATGATAATTTTGCAAATCAACTGAAATCTGCTCTTTCAAATAAACATAAAGAGTTGGAGTGAGCTCGAAACATTCACCAAATTAATGCCAATACGTTCTATGAAGACATCACTGAAAAGTCCCAACTAGTTAATGATGCTGCTGGCACTGAAGCTCTGTTCTTTGACTATAAACAAAATACACTAGTCCCAAAAGTTCCATCGGGAGACGCTTTTTACAAAAGACATGTCTGGGTACATAACTTTGCCATATCTTCAGCAAAGACTGGAAAACATCAACTTTAAATTAGCCTATAAGTTTTTTTACATCATTATGTGAATAACCTTTTAGAATGAAGCATAAAAATGGTGTACTTGTTTTCAGACAGCTGTGTGTCACAGAACAAGAATCATGCTTTGACTCAATTCCTTTACTAATTCATCAAAAGAGGATGGTTTAATAAAATCATCCATAGGTATCCTGAACATGGACACAGCATCATGCTCTGTCATCAAGTATTTGGATGTACAGGTGGAAAAAAAAATCAGAAAAGCTGATCAAGTCTTCCTCTCTACGAAGTACATCACGCTGAAGAAGCAGAAAGTTTTCAGGAATACATGTTGACAATCGCACAATTCTCAGCTTTAAATATTTTGAAAGAGTTCTACTTAAAGAACCCATGTTATTTCAGGTGGTAATAAAAAAGACAAATTTGCCATTAAGTCTTTAGCCAGTTTATGGGTCATCTTTTTGCCAGCAGGCAAGTAAGCATAAAGATGCATTTTGTCAGAAAATATGTTTTTAACAACCTGACAGCAGACAACTTCACAAGCAGTGATGATGGAGAAAATGAAGGTGAATTCTACAATGAATAATGAAGAGTACCTATATAATCTTCATTGAGTTAATTGATTTTACATAATATTGATGAGAATATGTGCTGAAATGAACTTTTCCGAACTACAAACTTGTAAACCCCTTTTTTCCATATTATATTGTTTTACTTTTTCATTTGTTAATAAGCCCTCTCTCACAGGCATAATTTTTATCACACAAAAATAGGCAATTTAACTACTGGGACAATAAGGGCTCATAAATTTAAATAATAATGTAGTCTGACTGTATTCCCATTCTACTAGTAATAGTTGTAAAAAATCTTTTTTACTAGAACTTTTAATGAGTAGAAATACTTATAACACAAATAAAATTTACAATTTCCCAAAAATTGCAAAATGTGGTGCTGGGCCCTTCTTCAGCAGGCCCTGCAATTTCTGCATGACATCTTACTAGATTTAAACTGATGACCTAAAATTTGGAAAATGCCCAAATCTGGATTTGCCGAAGTCCAAATTTTTGACTTTTTACTGTATGATAGTCATCTGGAATTCTGGAATATTTAAATGAGCTCCAAATATATAATAAATTAAAAATTCATAACACAAATATAAACAAAAATATAAATTATGAATGTATAGTTAGATATTACACAGAAAGGAGCTGAATTCTGTAAGGAAACTAAATTGTTAAAATAATTAGAGCATTAAATGTAATGGGAATTAATAGCAATCCATGATGGTTACAAATTTTCTAGCAATTTTAAGTTCTCCAACCTAAATTTGTTGTTACTCTAATGAATTCAAAAGATAAAAAATGACAGATTTCCTAAAAATAAAATTGCAAGCACCTAGTGAGTAAAAGATCTCTGTCTTTCTCTCTCTATATATATATAAATAGAGAAGTTAAAGGTTAAAACTTTATATAAAGCATTAAATTTTTAAACAATTTTAGCAAAGAGGGAAAAAATTCTTAATTTTAAAAAATTGCTTACAACTTTTTTAATAGTTTAAACTCAAATTTTGTTCAATTATTCTTAAATTCATAAAAATTATTCATCATAAATAGTGAATGCACTAAGCACAGCAATCAATGATAAAAATATTATAACAAAGGTAAAATTAATAAAACTGCAACAAACAATATATCCAATGTACTATTTACAGTATATTACCAAAAACAAGATGACAGAATATTAAGATATATGGAAATAAAAGTTGACAGAAAGCAATCTTACTCTTTAAGCTGGTCAATTTGCGATTGTTTCTCCGAGATTTCATCCCTTAACTGTGCCAACTGTTTTTGGTGAGCTTCTCTGTGTTTTTCGATCTGTTGCTCAAGAGCTTCTTTCATCTTTTCAGCACTATCCTTTTCTTTCTCTTTTTCTTTTGAAGCCATAATATGCATTTCCTCTAAAAAAAGAAATATGATATTTATAAATAATTCCAATTAAAAAATATTCTAAACCTGAAAGCATTTTTAAGTCATTTGCATAATAAAAAGTAAAATGAAAATCAGTTTTCACACATGACATTTTTAAAAGTACTTATACAACAGCCATTTTTTTTAACTTATTATATCTGAAAATTAGTGCACAGAAGTCTCAGTTTTATAATATAAAGTGGTTTAAAATTTTATAAACATGCTACCATTTTTACTCCATACAAATTTTAAATTTAAAATGAATATAAAATTAGCACACACATAACAGAAGGTAGCAATACAATGGTATGCCAAATAAAATTGATATAGTGTAATAAAAATTTGAGTGCACATTATAGCAAACCTACCTGCAATGTCATAGGTATGCTAAAAAAGTCGTCATGGATGTTTAAGCATAAATCAGACATGCATTTTAAAATATCAATTCATCAATACAGCAAAATACTGAACCCAGTAACGGGTTGGTTTACTTTATAATGCTAAAGCACCAAAGGATATTCACCAATGAAAAGAGATACCTTTAAAGAAATTCTACAAAAACTGATCCATAATCCCGTTGTACAACAGGAATATTGCAAAACCCTCATACAGCCAGCCTGCTTAACCAATATTTTGCAGCTTTAGCCATTAAGCCTAGAAAGTTTATGATTAAGTTTCTAAATATCTACTTTATGTTAATTCACTGGCCTATTACCCTCATTTCCATTTTCCTGCCAGAATGTAAATTTCTAGCTTGTGTGACATTCAAATGAGGTAGAAAGGAGAGATGATTTATTAGAGGTTAAATTCAGAGTGTGTGTTCTGCCTGCTTGAAGGCCACGTTACTAATTTGATTCTCTTGAAAATAGTATTCTGCAATATTGAGTTATTCTTGCCATGAGCCTTGTTACGCCAACCTTAGTTCACAAACCAGCTTGCACTTTATTCCAGTTGTAAAGTTGTTAGGTTAAATCACTTTCCTAGTTTTAGTTAATCTATTATCTTTCATTTAAGCCATAAGTGTTGGCTTCCATAAGCATGAGATGGCATCGCCTGTTAAACTTTTATTTGATTCAAACAAAAGTTTCCTTTACACCCTTTCTCTATCTTTGTGGTACTTAAAAGACATAGTGATAATTCACCACTAGTCTTAACAAGAGTTCATCTAGTTTATGCTACCTAAGAAGACCAAACTCTATAAACCTTTAAGATCTAATGCTCTACTACTTAACTCTCATGCACATTCACTAGAAAATTATGTCATACCTCAGTTAACTAATATTTGCAGTTACACAATCAGAAAATCATAAAACTCTTATGTAGCTAGTTTATTTAACAGCATGGTGAAATATCAATGTTTTGCAGTTTTAGCCACCGAGGCAAATCATAGGTGTAGGTCCCTTTAACATACAGGTAAATGTCTATCTCGTGAAATTGGCAAGATAGCATCAAACTAATGGTGGTTGTGAAAACTAGAGATGGTTTTCACAAATAATTTTTGTAGCCAAATTTGGAGAGAAAGCAAAAGAAGTTGCCAAACTTGGTGATCATTTGGGTCCAATCTTTACATAACAGTAACTGGTCTTATCTCTATATGTAATTGTAACCATATATGGTTTCAAGTAATTTCTAGAAATGGATTGGATTGGATTGGATTATTGTAAATTTGGCACAAAACCTGTCAAGGTTATCTGCACCAGACAAATGGTAACAATGCAATTAGTCATTTGTAAAAACTTCCAGCTTAGGTAAGAGACAGATTACAGTCTATGATAAGAGCTGATATCTTTTTAAAAAAAACAGGTTAAAATCTATTATAAAAGCCAATATCTTTTAAAAACAGAAACAAATTACGATGATGTGCTTTTCCAATTAAATTTTTTAAGTCCAGTTCTGAACTATTAAAATGTTTTTGGCGAAAATAATTAAAACTCTGGCATTCCACCAAGATTTGTAGAAATGGAAGGTGCTGAAAATTTCTCGGCAGCTGGGGTGAAAACTATATAAGATCAGTGTTGACAGTTGACTTCAGAGTATCAACAGATTTCTATGCAAGCTTCATTCTTTATATAAGCTTTGCATCACACTGAGTTTAACTCTCTTAATGTAACATGAGCTAAACGTTCTTAGTAGTTTGAAGTGATAATTAATGATTATGCTCTATCATACGGAGAACAGATGAATGAGTACTTTTGGGAAATTTCCAGAATTGCAAACTGTGTCTTTCGGGGAAACATTTTTCTATCACACTATCATCAATTCCGTGCAGATTCAATCCATTATGAATACGTACACATGTAACAATTTTTGGTGTCAGAAGTGAAATTAAATGCTGGTAACAAGAGCAACGAAGCAGCAACTTAGACAACTGTTGACAGCCTTTGCTGCATTTAATGAAAAGATTGAAGCAGGTCAAGAGGAAATTAAAAAAGAAATTACTGCAATAATAGGAAACAAGTTTTATGCTATGGAAGGCAGAACAGACATGGTTGAAAATAGAGTTGATAAAATTCAAAAAACAGTTCCCGCTGTCGAACAACAAATCCGTGACAAGTTTTTGCTGCTGTCGCCAAGGGAGTTGACAGCTTGAAGAAATCCATAATGATAGCTGGACACCTTTCTGATGCCTTTAAATTTGTATTTATGTGTTCCCAATCCTCTCTAAACCTATTAATGTATGATAGAAAGACCTTCTGACAACTGTACAAGACTCAGATCTCTATAGTGGGAAATGCAAATGGAGAGGATTCCGAAACTAAGGTCTACCACCTCACTGCTTCTTTGAGAGCAGATACAGCAAATATCCTTCAAATTCTACTCCAAAAATAAACAATAGATTTCAAAGAGTTCTTTCCAGCATGTTGCAACTTGCAAATCTTGCTAACACAATTCAGAAGCTCACCACAGATGTTGAAAGCCCATCCTATTGGACCGCCCATAAAAAATAAGGGAAAATCCTGTCACTGCAGTATTTCATCAATGGTATCTGAGATCCCGAGATACGAAAAGCCCTGTGAATAGCTGATTTAAAAAATACTTTAGTATATGCAATGAAAGTTGAGGCAGCTAAGCAAGCAGCTTGTAGAGACCGCAATCCAATGAGAGCTGCTCATATCAAAGAGCCAGTTGATCAACTGATTGCTCATATAGAACTTTTAACAAAGCAAATAAATGGCTTCAGGCAGAACATGACTGGCAACAAGCCGATTCCAATGTGCTGGAACTGCAAGTGGTGAAGGCCATGTACAAAGGAACTGCAGAACACTCCAAGGCTTGGAAGGTAAGATCGCGGCCCAGCAAGCGGGCAGGAAACAAATTAGTGGCCATTTTTTGGAGTGGAGGTTGCCAGATATTGACTTGCCTCATTTAAAGCACTTCAGATTTCTGTTATGTGTGTTAGCAGTAATGGATTTTTCTTTATGTGACAAATGGATTATTGATACAGGAGTCAATGACAAATGGACTATTGATACAGGAGTCAATGTTACCATCATCTGGAAAAGATCTGACTCAATAACTGGAAGGTAAATTTATCTGGACACTGCACTGTGTAACACTTCAGACTGTGTACAGGGATAAAGCCAACATCAATGGATAATTAAATGCTAACATGACATTTGGAAGTGCCCCCTACCACCCCATAGCATATGTGGCAAATATTATAGATCTGTACATACTTTATTTACTTTCTAAGGACACACAACTTTCCTTGGACTTTGCCTCTGAGGACATAACCTTACTTTGAATTAAAGTTGAAGGAGTTCAATCCATCCACCAAATAATAGCTGAAAACGATATTAGAGTACCAGCAAGAACATAATTTTTACTGCCTGAATCCATAGCTGAAAACAGAAATTTCCTGTATGGCATACTGGAATATACCTGTAACAGCCTGAAAGGAGTACTGGTAGCCTCAGAACTCATCAACCTATCTAGAACCATCATCTTGTTGAGTTGCCAATCTAAGTGATAAAGTGAAAGACATTATAGTGATTGGAATACATATTCCAGCTACTTGCATTAAATGAGCATGTAATCCGCCAATCTCTGTTTCTTCAGATCCTAATATTGGAGTTTTTGCAGAATGTACAACAAAGCGTTGAAGAGAGGAATGCTGCAGAGCAAGCCATTTACAAATTTAAATTTCAAGATGTTTTCTCCCACTTATCTTCTGACATAGGTCAAACCAGTCTGGCACAGCTTAGAACTGATACAATGGATCATATCAATCAAACAACATCTAAGACATCTACCAATTGCTAAACAGGAAGAGTTAGGAACACTTCTAAAGGACATAGAAGAAAGTGATGTTATCAAGCCTTCAGCAAGTCCTTGAGACTCTCCCATCATCCTAGCCAGAAAGAAGGAAGGTTCAAGCAGATTTTGCATTGACTACAGCTCTCTGAACAATATATGATAAAAAGACAACTAACGTCTTCCTACAATTGACAGCATTCTGAACATGAAATTGCAACTTCTGACAGCAGGTAGTTTTCAATGCTTGATTTAAAGAATGGATATTGGCAAGTAGAAATACACATTGATGATTGTGAAAAGATAGCATTTATTACAGGACAAGGACTTGATAGTTCAAGGTGATGCCGTATGGATTATGTAATGTACCAGCAGCATTTGAACGCTTTACGCAGACCCTATTGAGAGGTCTTTCCTACAAAGCCTGTCTGATATCATTATCATCGTTAAAAGTTTTGAAGAACATTTGCAAAATATTAGAAATTCGCTTCGGAAATTAATGGAAGCCAATCTCAAGTTAAGCCCTGTTAAATGTAAAATGTTCAGATAGAAAGTGACTTATCTCAGATGTCTAGAAGTCCCTTCTAGAAAGTTGCCAATATTACTCAAGGGTTGAAAAGAAATACAAGCTGCTATTCTGGTCGTACATCAAGTTACAATTTCAAAACTGTCTGCCTTGACCCAAGGAGTCACGAAGAAGTCGGGAAAGACCAGTTGGAAAGATGCCAACATTAAACACATATATGACTTATTGAGTCTTCAAACAGGACACATACCTCGGAGGATATTTTGATTTACACTCCTATGACAAAACGATACTGGGCTCTCTGGGATTAACTCCATATTACAAACAGCGTCGTGCACCAGAATTTCGAATTAAATGATGGAAAGGCATTCTGATGGCAGCTGATACTTCCAAGATCCTGGACGTCTTTAAAGAATTACACAGCAATCAAACAGGAGGCTACCTCAGAACAATGACTTTGTAAAGAGTACGAGAGTGCTTATACTGGAGGAATGCAAGTGATTCAATGAAAAAGACTTTCTACTAAACTACAGTCATCCTGGAACAGTCTTCAGACAGCCCTAGACAGGCTGAACAATGTCGTAGTTTGGATCTGTTAGTCATCGAATTCTAAGCCTAAAGTAGCTCATTTTGAGAGGCTAGCCCCTTACTTTAGCCATAGCACATAGTTCCCATATTGTATATAGTGTAAAAGTATACTATGATCTTGGTCTTATGTGTATATTAATTTGTACATTTATGCATTTATTGATTGAGCATTTAATGTTTTCTATATTATTTACTGAAGTTATTATTTTAATATTCTATTTATTTTCCTCAGTTCTAAGTATATCCTTCCTGTAAAGAGACTGTACTCCCCAGGAGATGCAGTTCTTGGAAAGAGGCAATATTACGAGTTTTGTCTATACATAATTTTAGCGAAATTATATGTAAAACTGTATAATGTAACATGAAACGCCTAAAAAATGTGAAACTCCATTGGAAAAAATTATAGCAGCATGTCCATTTAACATTGAGGTAAATAACTATCTTGTGAAATTGTCAAGATAGTGGCAAGTTGGTTTTGGGAACTAACTTTTGTCGCTCGCGAAAAGTCACCAAACTTGGCAACCATTTAGTGACATTTTGATCCAATCCCTATACGTAACTACAACTGTATATGTCTTCCAGTAATTTCGAGAAATGAAAGGTACTGGATAGTTCTCAGTGGCTAGGAGAAAATTATATAACACCTGAGAGATCATCAGTTCTCAGATTTTAGATCAGAGTATTGAGTACTCTCTGTGCAAGCTTTGCTGTTTACGCTTTGTACTGCATTGAGTTTAACATTCTTGGTAATTTGAAGTAGTAACTACTGGTTGTGCTCTGCCATACTGAGAAGGGCTGTACAAGTACTTTTGTGGAAAGCTCCAGAACTGTAAAGTGTTTCTTTTGGAAAAGTAAATTTTATCAAGCTATCATAGGTTCTGCACGTATTTAATTCATTATGAACCCATATGCACGCAACAATACTTATTTAAATAAAAAGAACAATAACCATACAAGTAATAAATTTAATGTGAGGTGCTTATCAAAGAAATAAAAACTGATTATTAAAAGACAGTACAGAATACATCTATATTTTCATTTGGTTTTATGTTTTATATAATAAACAGAACTTAGACATTTATAATACTAAATGGAAATACATAAAACTTATAGCACTACCTATTTATATAACATGTTAAATACCAAGTCTATCATTGCTTGGTGTGCCAGTCCCTATGGAAAAACGCAGAGTTTAACTTATCAAAATAATTCCTGAAAACATTTGATACAAATAACATTGACTATATGAGTTGATTTTGGAACAGTTAAACCATTAACAATTAAAAAAAATCGCATTCATTGCAGAAGTTGATTTAACTGCATGCAACACATCATAGCTGCTAATTTTAAGAGATGAAAAACCAGGAGTTTCCGAGTTTTTTTTTTTTTTTCAATGGTATTTCAAAATAACTCTAAACTCAAACCATAAATACACTTTATTATGTATGATTTAGGTTACTGAAATATTTATGATAATATTAGATATTTTAAATTTCATGTTCTTCGGCTAATTTCATTCTAGAGGCTTCTTACACTTTTATTCTGAGAAAATCCTGTAAAGAAAGCCTAATCCAAGTAATTTTAAATATTGTTGCATGCACATGGGTTCATAATGGACTAATGGGCACACAGAACTGATGGCAGTTTAATAAAATTAATTTTACCAAGAGACACACTTCATAGTTCTGACCTTTCCAGAAAAGTACTAGCATAACTCTTCTCAGTATCACAGACTACAATCAGTAGTTACACTTCAAACTACTAAGAATGTTAAACACAGCACAACTAAAAAGGTAAAATGCATATGGAAATCTCTCAATAATCCAAACTCACGCTAAACTAAATAACTGGAAAAAAAAAAAAAAAAAAAAAACAGAGACCTTAAAAATTTTCTCCCAGCTGTTGAGAAATTTCTAGTACCTTCTACTCCTTGAAATTACAGGAATGCATATGATGGCCAGATATGGTTACAGTTACATAGACAGATCAATTACAATATTAACTACAGTTATATCAAAATGTTGCCAAATGCTTAGTGCGGCAATTTTTTGCAATTTCCTGCCTAATTTAGCAATAAAAATTAGTTGCCCAATATCGCTCCAATTTAGTGAGATAACTATTTACTCAACATTAAATAGCCTTGCCCCTATATTCGTATTTTGTCAGCAGAGCTTCGTCTCTTTCAGACATTTCATGTTACATTTTACAAAAAATAATATTGTTTCACTAAAATTATTTATATCTGTATAAAATCACAACAATATGATAAAAATAAAATTAATAATAAATGTACAAAGTATTATGCGGATAAACTTAGCAATGTATCAATATATTTATGTATAAACAATTAAATACAGATATTAATTGATTAAACACTGCTTGAATCAGTAAATACTTCTATATATGGTTAATGATAATTCAGATCAAATAAAATTTAGTATGAAATATTATGCTAAAATCATTAATATTAAGAGAATGGAATTTATGTGATTTAAGTTTCATTAATTCAATGAATTTCTTCATTTCTGGGAATATTTTCCGTAGCAAAAGTGAAAAATTTAATACTAGGAGGCCTGTAGATGTACTGAAATACCAGAACATTTGGCAGTTATGAATGCATCTTTCAGTTGTTTCCAGTTTACAATCCTTAGGTCTTTTTCATAGCATTAAATTCTTCGTTGTCAGTCCAAAATTTATCATATTAATTCTCCTAGGTATCTCTATGGGATAAATTTAATTGATTTTTGAAAAAATACTTTTGTATTAGATGCATTTCACCTTCATTTAGTCTGAATTAGGATTATTTAGCTGCTTTAAGAAAGATTAAACTTCCTTTCATTACTTTTTATATGGAAACCTACACTTTATTTTAATTTATGAAGTGATACAATACTACTGAATCCTTTGTTTCTCACACTGTTAATTTCTTTCAGAAGTAAACAAGTACATGTCTTGATTTATTTGTCTTTTCTAAATCGGCAAACAAAAATTTCAGCTCTCTTCCTCAGTTAATAACTATAATCTTTACTACTTAAACATCTGACAATTATTTAAAAGTTAAAATATTTATCACTATATTAACATTTGTTTATGAAAATATATTGAAATTAATTTTAAAGAGATTATTAATATTTTTTCCCAAAAATTTCTTTTCCACTAGAAGACCTTTTAGAAAATGAAAATAAAATTTGCAAACAAGTTTTAAAAAATTCTTACTCCAGAGCATTATTTTGTCTGACAATTTTGCATAAACAAATAGACATTTAAAATTAAAGGCTGTCAAAAATATTTTAATCAATTGTCAAACCTATCAGACTATTATATACAACTAAAAATCTCTAATACAAAAGGAAAAAGGTGAGGGAAATGAAACTTACTTGCTGATTTTAGTTTAGCACATTCTTCAGTTAAAGCATCAACCTCTTCTTCCAAACTTCGCTTTTTGTTTTCATTGTCTCTAATAGTTTCTTGTAGAGATTTCATCTTTGCTTCATACTAGAGATAAACTATACATTATTATTTAAAACTTTAAATTTTTAATGAGGCAAAAAATATATGCAAGGTACAAATTTAAAATTCAGGCTAAAATATAGGCATATAAATACAACAAAAATTAATCTCCATGAATGAACTAGCTCAAAATTTATTAACTTTTTTATTAAAAAAAATTCAGTATTTTACACAGTTATTAAAAATACCTGGCTGATAAGTAATCGACATTCAGCAAGTTCTTTTTCATAGCTCTCAACTTTCTTATTGCTGTCAACTTGAAAGCTTTCCAACTGACTGCAGCGCTGTGCAGAAAATAAAATTAAAATTAAAAAAAAAAAAAAAAGATAAATAAAAATGAGAGTATATTTATAATCAGGCTTCAGATAATTTTAGATACATTTTTATTCATATTTATTCACATTCATTTAACAATTTTCTAAAATTAATTTTATTGTTTCGTAATTTCATTAAATTTCCATGCATAACAATCTCAAAAATTCAGTTTCTAGTCAGAAATGAACATAAAAATATATATTAAAACTGAGAAACATAAGATGAAAAACATAATACTGTACTAAAACACTAATCATTAATTTGCCTTTAAAAATGTTATAATACACTATAAAATAATAGTTATACCTGAGAAAGTGCCTTTACTTCAGACTTCATTTTACTAATGTATAGTCTAACAACTGTAAATTCTTCATCAACTTTACCAGATAAGTCACCAGCAGCCTATTAAAAAAACACTTTAAAATAATTTTCAAAAGAAAAATTTGTTGTTATACCTATATTTATGCATATACACATTATTTCTTTTAGCTTTTATTATTATTTATACTCTACTTCAATCTTGTAGCAATAAAATGAATTATTAACAATAAAAAGAGGGATAGAATAAGAAAAATAATTATAAATTTTCTGATTAATACACAGGATTCCAATATTACTTAATTTATTATTATTATTATTATACTTAATCTGAAATGTCTGCAATACAGTTTGTTTACATTTGCACCAGATTCCTTTATTTATTTTTTTTCCAACCCTGAGTTGAAGAATAAATCGCATAGACAATAATCATCGGCACTTAAATTTGCTCAATACTGATTACTTAAGTTCTAGTAATAACAGCATTATCCTACCAGCTATATCCCATTTTGGATTCAAAACATCTCCCATGGGTTCAAGGTTTTTGTACACACTTTGCCAATCATAACTTCTATTAAAGACTTTCTCACTGATCGATTTTAATCTTCCAAGAGTTCTGGACATAAAATTTTGCACAGAAAGATAGCTTTCCCATTTGTTACGAAACTTTCTGCCAGTTCTTGGTGTATCTGATTTCATACTGTATGCATTTTGGAAGAAATGGTGTGAAACTACAAAGGAAGACGTTCATTTTTGAATTATAATCAAGAAAATACCACTTATTTGCAACATTCTGAAATTTCAAAGCAAAACTTTTAAAATTTGGATTAACTATAACCACCTATATTTATGCCTTATCTGAGATTTGAACATTCAGCATGACAATTGCCAGTAACGTATATGCAAAAAGAGCTAAGTATGCCATATTAGTTCACACTAAAGTATTGTACAGTTTTGGTTTTTAACCAATTATAAAATCACTAAATATTCATTCAAGAAACTAAAATGAAAAACAAAGATTCCTCTCTAAGTTAGAACATTATATAAAACATGATCAGAATGGTGGTTTTCAGAAATCCCTTTTCTCCAGTTAAATTATTTGCAATACCTCTTTTAATTTTTCAAAGTTTCACATCCTTTACAAAGTATGCTGCAGAAAGATTTGATACCAGTTAGATCAAATGAATGAAACGAAAAGACAATCAGCTCATATTATCCACTGAAACGTTACAAAAATGATTGTCACCCTCCATATCCTAATCAAAATGTTATTAGGAACACACAGATTTCAGTCGATGTAAAAAATAAATGAATACAAAAGTTAATAATTGCATGCAAGGTATATTAATGTTTTACAAAGCAATAAAAATGACAGCTTAAAATAATTATTTCATCAGTCATTTTTGTCTGATTATTCCTTCACAACTTATAAAAATGCTTTTTTTATTTCTGGAAAATGATAGAAGGTATTTTATCTGAATTAAAATGATCACTAATTATAGGAAGATGCTTGTTATTTTCTGTTAAATATAGAAAATCGAAAATCGTGAGAATGTTCTTGTTGATAATAATATCTCAATATACAATTGCAAACACAGGTTTAAGACAAATTATAAAAGAACAAATTAAGGGGGAATGCAGTAACTTATCTCCAAAACTGTGTTGCAGTATTTTGAAGGAGCATAATTTCCCTTTTGTAACATTTTGAAAATCTGAATATTTATGATTTTTCAAAACATCTGAATTCAGACATAATGAATAAGCATTATGGTGAAAGAATACACCTTGTTCTTTGACTCTCATTCTAACCAAGCTGAAATGCATACATGTATATCTCTATGTGGTATATACATTTGTATTAATAAAACATGTACATAATGCTGGAAAGTATCTTCCTCATTTGCCTCATAATAAATAAATAATAATAAAACATGAATATTTAAAATATATCCATTTAGGCACAGAAACCAGACTTTTTTGCTTAAATGATGCATGCAGCTTGATATTACTGCTTAAATGATAAACACAATCTGTTGATTTAAACACATTCTACACAATTTAATTCAAATTATAAATAACTCTGGAATCATATACACAAACAGTTGTTTCTCACCCTAATGTCAGAAACATTGCCACCTAAAACCAGACCAATTTCTCCAAGGTCTTTCAGAAGATTAGTTAGCATTTCTGTCATCCTTTTCTTCTGGTGAATGGTACTATCTTTTAGTTGCTGCAACTCATTCATAGCATTATTCAGGTTTGACTAGAAACAGGAAAGAGACATAGAAAAGCAAACAATTACTTAAAATGTAAATAATAAAATTTTAAGCATTAATGATTTTGTTCAGCATCTCAAATTACATTAAACATTACTTACTACCCTTCTAAGCAAGTCCCATTCTACGAAGAGAGAGAGAAAAAATGGCAAACTAAAAACAGTTTCACTTTTTCAGATCAAAAGCAGCAAGACTGTAGTGAATTAATAAAATATGACTTATGAGTTTAATTATATTTATCAGTATTTATAATCCTAGAAAATACTTTCATGTACATAAAATATTTTCTTTTCAGGGCAAACAAAATGTCACAACTGGCATCTTGATAAAACTTACCCACTTCTTAGTCTGAATACATATTGGTGTGAAAAGTTGAAGAAACTATTCAAAAAATTCTGTAAATTAAATGATTTTTCAACACAAGATCCTTTATTTTGCATTGCATGGCATACCTTCAAAAAACAAAATTTTACAAAAAATAACCTCTGCAAGTAATAAATTTAAAAGGAAAACACAATATTGGGAGGCATAAAATTAATTTTATAGAGAAAACTGATGCATATTCTGACAATTCTGAAACAATTACATGGGGAAAATTCTTACCATGAAAAGAATTAAAAGGAAGAAATTTTAAATTAATTACATAGCTATATAATGCTTTTGCTATGAATTGTTTTGTAAAGTGTGTTTTATAGCATTTATTACCTTGTTTATTTTTCAGATTCAAAATACTGTATAAATCGCCAAAACGGAAAATAATGTCACTTTATAATATGACCACAAAAAATATAAATATTTTATTTTAATGTTATGCCTTAAATATAATTTCAATATATTACCATTATTTTAGTTAAATTTATCAATGTTATAATGTTAAAAAAAAAAAAAAAAAAAAAAAAAAAAAAAAAAAAAAAAAAAAAAAAAAAAAAAAAAAAAAAAAAAAAATCGAAAAATTTCCAGCTTTTCAAAATTAAAAATTTTCTACAGAAACTGATCCAATGAATAGCACCTTGCAGCTTCTGGGCGGCACAAGGTGCTATTCATTGTGTGTGGCACAGTGGGGTTTGCAGCACCCCAGTGTGTACCACATACATTCTATCAAATTTAAATCCAGAGAATATACTGGGTCACTCTACTGGATTTCTTTGCCCTCAAGATAATTGGTCATTAGTGCAGTGCAAGGGAGATGAGCCATTCATTAAGAGGAATTACTGACGACTGCTGCCAAACAACTTGATGTATGGTTAAAGAAACCACTCTTTACATATTTCAGCATTTACAATTGCAGTGGTAAAAATGTGTAGGTCAGTGCATCCATTCAAAATGATGCTCTCTCATATCATGAATCAGCTACCATTGAACTGATGCCTAAAAAAAAAAAAAGACTAATAAGTCAAGAGAACTCAGGTTCAGACCTTGGTACTTTAATGACTGCAACTAGGTGCATTTTGCAGCTCAAGTCAGTGAAATGAATATGTACAATTTTCTGCAAATGAATGCAACTATTGGGATCACCCAGTGACTGAAACTTTCTTTGCCTGTCTTTTACCCAATTCTGGGGAGGCACTGTCTCTACAAACTACACACAATTCAGAGGTGAAGAAATTGACATCAAAAGACAGCTGGCTGTGTGCTACCCATTTGGAAGCATAGGACCCTTTAAAGATAACAAGAATCAGGTCGTTTTTAACTTGACCTGGTTAGCTGCATACATCCTTTAGTACCTTTAAACCGCTTCCAGATGCTTGACAAAATATGGCTACTTAAAAACATAATTACAAATTTGTGTTAATGCCTGCCCTGCCTTAGTTCTTTCAATCACACCTCACTTCTCACAATCCATCAAATGCTTTCGCAAGGATCTGTTCCACCCTATACATATGAAAATTTCATCCAAATTTTCATGCAACCTTGAAATGAGACCATGAATACGGCTTGCACTCCTTTTCACACACACCAAAGGAATGGGTGCAAAAATCTGCATATTTCTATACAGTAAAAGTGAATCTCGTAACACTGAGATATAATACTGACACTGAGCTTACAACTATTTTTCATCCAGTTTAACAGAATTAATATAAATAACCTTTTTAAAAAATGTTCCTTTAATTTTACAACCAGTGTATTTCCAAACAGGATCAAATATCCTTGCATCTCCTTTTAACTAGAGGAAAGGAATCAGGTTGAATTTAGAATATCAATGAGAACTTTTATTTTGCCTTTTATGAGTGTTACTTTAAACTGACTCTAATGTAAGGGATTTCTACCAAAATGGAAATGAACCTGGTAAACTTAAGAGTTGCAATTAAATGTAAGATTACTATCAAAGGTCATGCCAAATTTGTCTCAATTATATTTTATTTCTTAATGAGTTGGATGCCTTTTATGGGCTAGATGATTTAATTTAATGTTTTCAAACAGATTAGATAACAGATTTTGTCAGAAGAAAACAAATAATTACTGTTTAAAAATTAAATTAAGCACAAATTACATGCTAAATTCCCTTAGTTTAAGGATAATATCCTACACCACTATTGCTGTATTTAGATGATTCAGAACATATGTTGCAAGGGAAAAAAAAACATATAATAAATTTGTGCCACAAGCTGCGAGATTTGGATAATGACAAAGCACTCGAGTGGAAAGCTGCAGGAAAGAAAAGCAAATGGCCATAAACATCTCAAAATGATATTCACATCTCTTGATTTACAGCATGTCATTCTTCACAATGGGGGACTGCATAGAAGATTACCTACTAGATAAATATCTGATGTATACAACAAGAAAAACAAAAATTTAAAAAAAAAATTAATAATATGTAAATGCATACAGAGTAGCAAAAAATCTCATGACTGGATAAAAGAAGTTGTGCCACTCACAGGGTTAAAGAAGTGTAAGTAAAAAATACTTTATTAAATTACAAATCAAAATTCATCCCATAAGTTGCTTACTAATTTTTGACTGTGTTCTTCACTTAGCTGCTCATATTCTCTGTTCTTGTTATCAACTTCCTGAGATTTCTGGTCATAATTCACAGCTAATTCTTCAAGAGCTTGCAAAACTTCTTTTACTTCCTCTTTGGCAGATTCATTTTCTTGCTGGAGACGAGACATCTCTTGCTGAACCAATTCATAATCCCTTCGAGTTGATGTAATTAGCTTTAAGCAAAATGTGAAAACATTAATAATTGTGAATGTAAGTGACATTTCAGTACATACTTTTTTCCTTGGAAGTATAAAGAAGATTACAAATTTTATTACATATACCGAAAAATCAAGAATACAACATCAACTTTTAAATATATTAGCTAGACAGTTTAAAGTATAAGTCATATTTTATATTATAAAATGGTAATTAAAAAGTCTTTACTTTTTAACACTGAAATTGTACATATGGTGTGAACCGGACTTACAGTTAATTAGTTTTAAATACCATGACTGAGCCATATGAAGGGTAAAACATTCTATTCTAAAGCAGTAACTGTATTCAAATGTTCAATGAACATATGGTATAGATAATGGTGGTTTTATTACAGCCAAGGAAGAATACTGCATAAATATTTTACTCTGGTTATTAAACATGTAAAATTGGTGGATGTTTATTCTGTTTTAGTTTTTCACTTGCAATCTGCAGTCAAGAAAAAAGTATTAGGAAGTTCTGCAAAGAAATTATCAAACAGCATGAGAAAGTTCCCTATTGTGCATTTGACTTGAAGAAAATGGATGCCCTTATAGAACAAACCCTAACTCTTACATCCAAAACTTAATGGCGAAGTGGATGATAGTTTCCCCATATGCAATGTGAATACAAACCAGTTTCTTCTATAAAGGCATCTCTGCTCTTACACAGATAGCCCTTGTATGTTTTATCTTAGTTAACTTAATCACCTATGATTGTAAGGTCACCTATGAACTCTCATTATTATTGTGAGGTGCATTTTTCTTCCACTTTTTATGAAGTCTCTGAAAGGATTTGTAGTTGGATGATACTGTGAAGATATTTCATTGGACTTCTCTATGTACAATTCACAGATATTTTGTAGAAAAGAATCTTTAATTAGGCTCTTAAATGGGGCAAGTACCTTAATGCCAACAAATACTTTCTGTGAGTACAGATGATTAATGAGGTTTAACCAAAAACACTGATCATTGCTTACACTGCAATTTCTATGCAAACTAAGATAAGAAAGTCATGTATTTCAACTAATCTACAAACAGTTATTATCAAAACAGACGACTATTTTGTTTTAGAAGAGAAAAGAAGAGAATGATTCCTACACTTTTTCTGTCTACAATAGAAACAGATAAATATTACAGATACTGAAATACATAATCAAATTTAGGTATGAGGAGGAATGAAAACTGCTGGATAAAAAAATACCGTTATTACTATTAAGGCCTGAAGCTGAGACTTTGATTTCAGTGGTCAAGCAAGATGAAAAGTCCTACAATGTTGTGATTTATGAATGATAAATTACCACAAGCTTTTTTAGTTTGGTACAATATCTTGGGTAAAAATGTCAATCTTTTGCATTTTCTAGAGTTGTGAGCAATTCAATGGTTGTATAAATGCACTTTTTCCTTAAAATTATTTTTCATGTTTTTGACAGAATTGTATTTTATGCTTAGAATATTAAATAGAATGGTAGCAATGTGCCACTTTTTTTTACTGAGGGGGACAGCCTGCTTTACTGTAATTACTTATTCCTTTTTAAAATTTTTTACAGGAGAATCAACTGAATGAATGATATTCAGATAAGTCTCAAAACATGGTGATCAAAACGACATAATTATTTTAATGGGATGTTTATTACTAACTAGAATTACATACTATTTTGAAAATGGAACTGTTTGTTACCCCTCCTCCAAAATAAGAGCTAATTTTATGAACTATTTTCATGGTTTATTAAAATGAGATAATGTTAAAGAAGATAATATTACTTATTTATGTAGAATTTATTCTCAGCTCAAAAAAGAATCTCTTTATTACTAGAAGATGAAGATGATAAAAAATATTAAAATGAGTATGCGATAATGGAAGAATGTAACACACATTTCATAAAAGCAAGAGTAAACATAGAAATGTATTTTATCAGAATTTTTAAAGTAAAAAAGTCCTGTTAATTCTTCATCCGTTCAAAAACAAAAGTTAAACCAAAGATTGAACTTTTTAATTTTGATTGGGAAAAAAAGACTGGCTTGCTTTTTGGACCCAATTAAAAAAAAAAAAATACATGAAGATGATTATTACCGCCACCCTCTATTTACTGTAAAAAGCATTTGCTTAAAGTCTGAATGTTGATTTTAACTATAGTGAATAAGTTTGATTTTGACTTTCGACAAAGCTCTCAAGCATAAGTTTGTTGTTAATTATGAATAACTTTACATGAATTTCAAGCTTCGAATTTCTTCTTCTTTTCGTCAAGTTAGTTGATGTTGAAATTTTCGCCACCATGAAAACTTTCTATTCATTTAAAGCATTCTAAAAGACTGTGATGAAACTTGAACTGTTGGCAACGGATTATTTGCATTGAATTTTGCAAAACACAGATAGTAGCCACTTAATAATGTTTTGATAATGTTATCTTAGAGAATTAAAATTTATTCAAAACTATAATGGAATTTTGTTGGATACTTCTAAATTTAAAGAATTCTTTTGAGAAATGTACGCACATATGAAATTGAGAGTAATAAAGTGAAAATTCTGGTAATTATTATTGGATTGTTTCACATGACTATTAAGATTAAGTTAAAGAAGCTATGGACTTAAAAAGAATTCTAAGCATCGATTAAGTAGGATTGACACTTCAACTGTTTTATTTTTAATCAAGAATGAAGATCATTGGAGAACATTCTTAAATAACCAAGTGAAAGAAATAAGAAGTTTAACATCAAAGAAGCAATGCTAGCATATCTGTTAAAATCCAGCTAACCTCCATTCTAGAGACTGTTCCGATGAAGTTTTCCTCAGATCTAGATGGTGGAAAGTCTCAACATGGCTTAAAAAGTCTGAAGAAAATTGGCCTGTTTCTGAGTTTCAATTAAATGTAGAAGTTTCTAAAGAAAGAAAACGGTGAATAAGGTCCTTCGTTACCTCAGTTACTCCTAAAGAAATAGTACTTGCATCGTTTTCTAAATATTTGTGAATTATTCAACTGACAGCTTGGATACTGCAACTTTTTAGAATTCTGGAAGATCAGACCATAAACTGAAAGAATTATTTGTTCAGGAAGTAGGAACAGCTGAGAAAAAGGCTTTTGTTTCTTGCTCAGAAAGAATATTTCAACAAGAAACTATCTTACCTTCTGATCATCAAGTTGTGAAAAACTATTTTAACACTTAGGTGTATTACCTGCTGCCTGTTTTATTTGATTACTTAGGTGAATTGCCTGCTTTATTTGATTGGTTAGGTAGACTACCTGCTTTATTTGATTGCTTAGGTGGATTGCCAGCTTTATTTCATTACTTAGGTGCATTGCCTGCTGTCAGTTTTATTCTGATTACTTAAGTGGGCTGCCTATATTATTTTAATATTTAGCTTGGACTGTCCATTCAGTCCAGGTTATTGAACTGTTTAAGAGTCACGATTATTGTGTTAACGTCGCAAAGGTGAAAACAGTTGCGTGTGAATGGCTCCATCCTGTGCAATGACTGTATCGTCTAAAAGGGGCGGAGGATGAGAGCTCGTTTTTTCTACACTTACTAGCATGGATATTAAAAACAATTTAATATTCATGATAGTAAAGACATTAACTTTAAGGTTCCTTATAAGACAGTTAAAATTAAATGTGGTAGGTAGAACAACCGTAAAATCATGAAGTTATGGCTTTTTTTGGACATAACTGTATTGTTTAGTTTTGTATAACTGTCTTGTTAAGTATTACAATATATTTAACCAGGAGACTAAAAGATATACTTAGTAAATACTAAGTATTGCATATTGTTAGTCTAGTTGTTTAGTATATTGTATTTTGATATATGTTCCACCCACCATAAATTCAAAAGGTGGGAGGAGATATCACGAGCAAATCAATGGTTTGTAAACATACTTTTTCCTTGAAGTAATTTTATGCTTTGGCAACACTATTTAGTTTATGTTTAGAATATTACAAGGACTGGCGGAAATGTGGCATGTTTTTCATACTGAGGTGGACTGCCGTTTTATGATTACTTAGGTGGACTGCCTACTTTATTTTGATTACTTATTCCTTTTTTATGTTTTTTAACAAAAAGAGACTGAATGAATGAAATTTAGATAGAGACCCATAACATCTAGCAATCTGAAGTATTTCACTAACAATCACAATGCCCACTCCTCCAACGATTAATCATTTGATTTCTCCTAATTCTACTAACTTAATATAATTACAAAATGCAAACCCAAACAATTATCTAATTCACATAGACAGAAAAACTTTAAAGGTAGGAAAATCATTTTTACCTCCTCCTGTTCAAGCATTTGTTCTTTCAGTTTCTCAATCAACTGACTTTGCCTATCAATTTCATCATCTTTCTCATCTAACTGGGCATACAATCTCATACGTTCTTCCTCGAATTTAACCCTCTCATCATTACCCACAGGTTCAGAGGATACCTGTGGTATTGCGGCAGGAATATTTGTGACAGATGAAGTATCGCTAAGAGATAAGGTGCTGGCTTCGAGATCTTTAGTAAGTAGCTGTTCATCTTGTGGAACAGACTCACCTAAAAATATACATTTTCATTATAGTAAAACTAATACCAATCAAGGATAATAGTCAAAAATTAAACTTAAAAAAAAAAAAAAAAAAAAAAAAAAAAAAAAAAAAACAAGTACAGGAAAAAAAAAATACTGCCCGGGAAGTTAAATAATAAACATAGATTTTGGAAATGCATATCAAATATCCAAATCTGACTATTCAAATATTTAAAGAAAATCAAATGAGATATGAAGAAAAATTATCAGTGTCTAAAATTTGCATATTCAGCTTACTGAATATGATGAAAAAGGTTGTCCCATAAAAGATAAAAGTTAAACAAACCTATTTTTATACTTTTAATACCAACAGAAATATAAATATGGCTAAAAATTTGCATTCAGCCCTATAAACATGTTTAGTTTAAAGCAGGAATAAAAATATTAAAATGTAAACTTTTATAGACAACATTTACTCTTCCTGTATCCACATACCATTTCCTGCATCAGTATTATAGTGTTGGCACATACTGGTCCAAAAATAAATCAGCATACACTGTAGAGAAATTAGGTATTTTTGGAAGCAGGCAAGATAAAAAATTAGCAGATGCCTTTGCCGGGAATTGAAACTTCTGGAATACAGGCCCAGTGTGCAGAACCACATCACAAACGCACGCCAAGAAGGTGGGAGAAATACCTTATATACTCCCCCTTTGAAAAGGCGACTGGGGTTTTTTTTTAGGGGACCCAATCACCAAATCCTGTGTGTGGAGAGTCATCATCCACAACCCTTTTACTTTGGGCGTCACTGCAGAGAAATTAAGTATTTTTGGAAGCAGACAAGATGAAAAACTAGCAAACGCCTTCGATTCGAACCACGAAATTTTTCGATTCGATTCGAAAAACGATTCGAACCACGGACCTCTGGAATACCGGCCCAGTGTGCAGAACCACTATACCATGAAGGCATACCAAGAAGGTGGGGGAAATAACCTTATAACATTTCAGAACCAAAAAATAGCATTTTGTGATACAGGCTTATCTATCCAAGAAAACACATTTTCAGCAGAAGTAACCAGTTTTATAGAAAATTTTGCTTTCTTCCATTAATGCTATTCTACCTGGCACTTTTTTGTTATTGCATATTTCCTTGCCAACAAGTCTTGCAGTTTGGTTTGGCTTTTTTCTTGCCAATATTCTTTTATAATACCATTCATACAGCTATTTTTTTCACCTAATCATACTCCCCACTCCGTGCAATGGATTTCATAATAAATCATTCATTTAATTTTGTTCATCAATATATTACATGTCATACATAATCTGTTAAGTCTTTTTGGAATAGTGAGAAATAGGCTATAAATACCAAAGCACAACCTACTAACATTTAGATTCTGATTTAATTCAATCTGTCACTTGCATTCCAAAGGGAAAATGTTATGCTAAGAGCCACTTTAAATTTTATATCTGTTTTTTAGTGCAATGTTAATTTAATTAATTTTTAATTTTAGCACTACAGGTGCTAGTAATCTTAATCCTTACTTTTTTGTTTACACCAGTTTTCAAATAAAACGATGTTGTCATCAAATGTATTATTTTAAAAAAATAACACAGTCAAAAAAAAAAAAAAAAAAAAAAAAAAAAAAATCGCAACACAGATAAAAGGATGTTGCCACCAATTGTTAATGCTATGTAGTATTTTAAAGAATTAGTGCAGTGAACATAAAAAAAGTTATGGCAACCTTTAACACTCTATCAAGAATTTTAAAGATAAGGTATTTTGAAATATTCGTGATTTAACTGTTGAATTTTATGTGTGAAGAAAATGATGTTTAATAAACTGAGTTAAAAAGACGAAAAGGTAATAACAGAAAGGTAAAAAAAAGTTGCATAACTCTTAATAACAAAACTGAACATTGATAGGATAAACTGAGAAAAGGCTGAAAAAAATTTAATGGCAGCACTTAGCATAGCTTTAGGAATCCTAATCATACGCTGTTTTGCTACTGAGTTTTCTGTGGCATATGAATGAAAGTGATGTTTAGTAATAAAGTTAAATAGACACACACACACACACACACACACACACACACACAAAAAAAAAAAAAAAAGTGGTGCAGATCATCTTGTTAAGAAAACTGAACAGAACATATTTTGATGAACTGAGAAAAGACTGGAAAAAAACTATGGCAACACTTTATTAGGAATTCTAAAAATTTTGCGATTTTACTGTTGAATGTTATGTGGCATAAGTGCAACAAAAATATATTTAATAATAAAGTTAAAAATACAAAAATGTTGCATTAGCAGGAGTGAATCCAAGAGCAGATTGATTAACTGACAAGTAAACCTTCTCTCCTTTGATACCATTTTCCGGAAATCCATATATTTTCTGAAAGTTTATATCACAAGAAAAAAACCTATAAAGTCTTAGGGGCAGAGGGACAAGCATTTAGGAGCTATAGAACCCACAAAAGTATCACTGAAGTGTGTATAAATGGGCATATTTCCGTAATGGCGTTTCTATTTCTTGTACGTTCATGGATTGTCTGCTTCCAAAGGACCTGATGGTAAAGTCCTACAAAAAGAACTGGTACCTGAAGGATTTACATGAAAGATCCAGCCTCTGGATATTCATTTTTCAGATACTACAAATCTTTTGTTTGTTACATAACGGGCACAATCATTATCGAGACACAGGAGCACATTTGGCATTGCAATAGTTTTCTGGCCCTGCTGTCCTTTTAACTATATTAATTCAGTGCTTCTTGTTTTAAGAACTTGATTAAGTATGATTTTTATAAGGGTAGATACTTGGACAACAAACCTGGAATGCGGACTGCACCAATGGATTACTGCTTCGATTCGTTAACAAATAACGAATATGCAAAGTGTGAGGCTTTAGCTTTTGTAAAATGTGCCCAATGTGAACTGTCTCTGCCTGTCTCACTGTTTATTTGATGAATTGCACACTGATTGTCTCTTGTAATAGATTTTGCTTGAAGTCAATAACAAGTCACATTTTTAACATCCCAACGTATAATGTTTCTTTTCAACGAGTTGTTCCCCTTTAAATTGAGATCCCAACCTTCTTACCATATTATTATTATTAGTTCATATAAATATGTGAAACGAGCATTTTAGAGACTTTTGATGTCATGTTTAGAACACTTTCTGATACTTTGTGGGTCCTATAACTCCTAAATGCTTGTCCCTCTGCCCCTAAGATTTAACAATTTTTCTACTTGTGACATGAGCTTTCAGGAAATATATGGTTTTTGCAAGAAACCGGTATCAAAGCTCAGCGAGCACATTACTTACCATTACAGCAGGAACCTTAATAATACCTCTCACGTGACATTTAAAATTGAATCCTTTTAGATTTTCTTTCTTTCTTTTTCAATTTTTATATTTCAGATAGCAATTTACAAAGCAATAAATATACCAACCTTTCTTCTGAATTCTCGCCCCCCCCCCCTCCTTTTCTGAAGAGGGTTATTCAGGAATAAAACTAACAGAAATCAATGGAGAGGGATGACCACCTGAAAAGGGGAGAACCTGGAGGGAAGGGATTGTTTATTATCAAGCCAAAAGCAAGGAGGAAGTCAAAATATGCTAATATGATGCCGAAAATACAAAGTACAGCTGTATCCCCTTTCAAGATTCTATACTTCTGTTTAAGATGTTCCTTCAGGATGGATGGGAATGGAAAGGAATCATTCCATAGGACGGAGTTTTTGCGCCTCTAAGCTTAATTTCAGGAAACAAAATCACACACACACACACACAAAAAAAAAAAAAAAAAAAAAAAAAAAAAAAAAAAAAAAATTTAAGTTCATCATAAATTTTGGCTTCATTTTAGATTATTACTTAAGCTATCTTGTAATTAGCATTTAATAATCTTTTTCCTTTATTTTACATGAAAATATACAAAAATAATGCTTGAGAAATTATTTTCTGAAAAAATATTCAAATTATTCCAAAGTTTTAATGGACAAAATACATTAATACACTTTAATAAAAAAATATGAGAAAGACTATTTACAAGAAGTAATAGAAGCTTTCACAGGAAGTGGAAGGCAGACACTTGGTGAGTTCAGTCTCTGATAAAATATCCGTATCAGAATCACTAGAAATAGCCTAACTCTTTAGAGAATGAATCACCACTCTCATCCATGTCGGCTCATTTACCATGTGGGTACATCCTTCCTCTGATAGACACTGCTTGCTAACCATAATAAATGGAAGTCAAGGCTTTCCGAAATAAAAAGGGAAGTACATGAAATGTAAGCGATAAAGGCAATGCAAAGTGTAATAGAACTCCATATATAGTAACCCTAAAAGACCCTACAGAATAGCAAAAAAGAATGAAAAAAAGATTCAAAGGGCTATCAGAAACACAAATGCTTCTACTATCACGTGGCAAGTTAAGAGTTCAGATCTGTTTGTTTATATTATGCTTTCCCTACTCCCCCACAAAAGCTGACTCCAAAGTTGCACAGAATGTAATCAAACTACAGGTCAAGATCCTAAAACTACCGTTGGATTCAAAAGTAATGGATACATGATGCCATCTGGTGGTCTTTAAAAAATGGTTCACCCATCCCTTGGCTCACTTTCCAGTGATGCATGGGTGGGATGCCTGACTGTGAGAGACGTTCATAGGGAAAGCATAGCAGAAAATTACCATGTAATATTTTTGGCTGTCGTACCCTTTTACAACAGACATAATTCTAAAAGCCCCCAGGGCCCACCAGCGGCCGAGCGGTAAAGTCGCTGAACACTGGTAGTTTGGTCCGAGGTTCGAATCCCGCGAACGGGCTGGCTGCATGGGCATTTTCGTGATTTTCCCCATGTGTAACATGTACACGAGCCAGTTTCCCTTAGAAAGTCCTCCACGAAGGCATCCCTCCTCTTAGGCAGATAGCCCTCATGTGCTTTGCCATAACTCAACACCCGTAACCCATAACCTAAAAGCCCCCAAGAAGTTCGTAAAAACAGGAAAAAGGATACAAGACCATTGGATTTTATTACCTAATGCCTTCTCATTCAGTATCCGAATGGGACCATCGAAAGGTATACAGTATTGGAAAGGGACTATCAAAAAGTATATTATCAGTTTAGTGTTCAACACTCTATAGTGTACCATCACAGCTTGATAACATGCAGATTTCTTTGTGTTGAATTTTAAGAATTTTGAACAAATCCAACATAAGCTCACGCAAATAAAATTAAAGATCATTAAATATATTCCAAAAAAATTACCAAATAACACCTGAAACAAACATGCATAAATAAACACATCATTATGATGCAATCTATTAATAATTATTTATATTATACCTGCAAAATTAAAAGGCATAGTAGATTTCATTTTTTAAGTTATGAAGTTTCTGATACACACACCTAAAAAATATTCATCTTGAGAAAAAGCTAGAAAATATTTATAAATACAATGCTCACTCACTGTCTATAGACAAAATCATTGAGAGTGTTTTAAATCGAATGCAAAATAATTCTAATGGTGACAACGACTTAAAAAATACTGTTTAATGATGGAGGAAAACATTTGAAATTTGTGGAACAATAAAACTGTATAACTGATCAATAAGTAATTAACTGTATTTAAGTTTTAAAACAAAACTTCTACACAATGTATGGTTGAAAAATGTTAAAAAATTTTTTCTTTTAAATATTTTTGTATGTGAGAAGATCAATTTCTTTCTTTCATTTCTTTTTTACATGCCTTATTTTGCTGTAAAAATATCAAAAAAGAAAATCACTTTAAATGCTTTACTTAATTTACTCTTTTTTTAATCTATTTTTATGACTTCAAATGCATGAAATTCTAAATTCCACACATAAAAAATTCCATCAAAATAACTAATTTTTATCCATACATAAAAGAATACATACCTTTGAAGCCTGAAATTCTGAAAAATTTTAATCTACATGTCTCATGTACATTTTTAATATATATATACATATAAAATAAAAAGAAATTATACTAACCATTTCGCCACCGGTTAAGTTCAGCTTCTGCTCTTGACAACTGACTTTTAAGTTTTGAAACCTTCTCTTTCTCTTTCTCCCACCTTCGTTTCCATTCTTCTGCGGTAAGCTCTTCATTCACAATCACAGTGTTCTTGATTGTCTTTGCTCTAAAGAAATCATCATTGTATGATGTAAATTCATTTCTCATTAATAATCCAGTTACTGTAATATGTGGTAAGATACAATTCTTCATTTTATAAGCAACAACTATATCAAAACATATTTTAAAAATATGAATGTCTTACAAATTCAAAATCTCATTAAACTGCAATGGATAAAGATATTTTGTCTATTACTGCACATCTTAATACCACTTTCACAAATGCCAGCTAAGATGTGAAAATATAAAAATTCAAGGAAATTAATAAATTTGGAATCCTCTTAATTTCACAGATTATAGTTTTAGCTTAAAGGGAGCTTCTTCTTTTTAAAAAAATATTTATATAACCCAAACTGTAGTATTTGAGGAAATTTTAAGCATTATGTGATTAGTGAGCTCTTAATAAGCCATACTTATCAAAAATATTAAAATTAATGAAAATGCTGTATGCAATTTGTTGGTGATGGTTGCAAATGAATTCTTAACATTTAAATTTTGTAACTACAAACCAGTGGGAAAACAAATTACAAGAAGCTCTAGTCATCAAAGATAGGACTGCATAAATAGTGATTTTAACACTATTAAAATTATCAAATGGAAAGCTTTAGCTAATAGAACAGCGAAGCAGAAGAGGACCTTAAGGACAGCCATGGCTCACCCCAAACGGTGATTCTAATAGAAGAAGAAGCCACAAGATGGTTAAAAATGCTCTGAAGGCTTATTATAGCTTATTCAGATACAACTTTAAAATGAAAAGCCTTTGTCACCTTATACAAAAGTTTTTTTTAGAAAATGTATTTTAGTTTCATGATACTGTTTATTCTCTTTCTTTCTGCCTCTTTTATGCTATTAACCGTATACGATACCTTAAATTTATCTTTTTACTTTGCAAATAGATTTCTCATTGCTTTTTTAAATATGAGGAAAATGCAAACCTGATGCTACACTATTTTTCCTACAGAATTTATACCTCATTTTGCTGACATATACTTATTAAAATTGCTATAACTACGTAATTATTATCAAAACTTCTTCTAACCGACATCCTGTTGCTCCAAAATAATTAAAAACAAACTATTAAAATGCAAAGAAATATAAAATATAATTTGCAAAAAAACTACCTAAAATTTAAGAAATCATTTTAAAGAGTCCCCCCCCATCATTTATCCTTTTATTTATTTGACATTAATTCATTTTAGAAACAAAAATATGCTTTATAAACCATACTGTAAACTTCACATTCTTAAATAATTGAAAAGCAAATACTATGATGCAAAGAAATCTAAAATGTAATTAAGAAGAAAACTACATAAAATTTAAGAAATCATTTTAAGAAGAATTCTTTCATCCTTCATTCTTTTATTTATTTCATGTTCATTCTAAAAACAAAAATATGCTTTATAAACAATAATGTAGATCACATTCTTAAATATATGGTACTTTCCCTTATAAGCAGATCAGGTCAATGATATTCATTTGTAGTCAACAAGGAGAAAGCATCACTTGTCATTCGCTAAATCTTTCAGCAACATATAGCTAATTAATACTACTTTTGTCCAGCTATATTCCAATTTTGATCTAAAACACCAAGGCATGGAAGTCAAGGATCTCATACTTCTCTTCCCTTACCAACAGCCTCTCCAGGACATTTCTGTCTGACTGGATTTTAAATGCTCCCATGTGCATGCACCATATTCTTAAGTTTAACAACCAGCAATTAAACAATTTGAAGTTTGCAAAAAGAATTTAACAAATATTATGGGCAGCTGTACAGATTTTAAAGAAAAACGCTCACTTCATTTGAAAAGGCTATCAAAGTCTGTTTCTATTCATAAGTAGCACTCTTAAAATAAAATGGCTCTTTAAAAAGAAATTAGTAAGGTAAACTGGAAACTGGATAAAGTTAAACTTTATATGAATATTCACTAGAATATTATGAATTATTTTAAGAAATTTCTAAAATAAGAAAATTCACAACTCTTTATGCTTCTCCTTAAAGAAGGCTGAAAAATATATAAGCAGATAGAATTCATCTGGTTTTAGGCAGTCAACAGAAAATACATTATGATTACATTTATCTAAGCCCACAGCAACACATCAGTGGAATGTATGCTTATCCAATTGGTTTACAAAACATTACTAGCTATATTCAGACTTCATACTAATTTTCGTTTTCATTTCCTATCTTTATCTTATATAATTCAACTTTAAATAAAACTCCAATACTTTCAATAGAATGTAACCTTCATAATGATTTCATAAAAAGAGGGGGAGAAGCAAACTGAGAAGACAGGCATTTTAAAAAAGCAAAATATAAATGTAAAAAAAAAAAAAAAAAAAGCAGTGTGTAACTAAGTACCCCCCTTCCCTGAGGGAAAAAAAAAATACATGAGCTGCTTCTCTTTGCATACAAATATTTCATTTGAAAATCACTGCATATAATTTAAAAAATTTTAGCAAGACAGGTTAATGCTTCTTATAAGTATTTATGCTTTTCATTCAAAAATGACTTCAACACATACCTTCTTCCAAATTCCAAAGTAGATTTTGTTTCTGATTCGTTATAGGAAGCAGGAGAACAACAAATGATAATTGTTGTGCGAGAATTACCACCTAAACTTTCTTGCAGTATACGTGTCAGTTTGCTATCTCGATAAGGTATATGACTTTTCTAAAGAAAATAATAAAAAATAAATTATTAAAAACAAATATTATAAATTGTAGCTTAGATAAAAGACAACAAAATTGATATGCTATCATACAGTGCTTATTCAGGAACAAAAAACCATACCATACAAAAAAGTTAACCTGTCATATATTACCAACTTTACTATTGAAAATATGTATGTATAAACATGCATTTATACACTTTAACATCATTAAAATCAACAGATAGCATACTAAGTGGAGACATAAAAATGGAACAAAAAATATACACAAATAATTCAATACCATACAATGTAAAATATTTAACCCACAGATCTGTTTTCAAACAAATCTGCATCATCTGTGAATAATGTTTCACAGTGTTACAAATTGGGTAAAAATAGTTTCACAAATATATACTTGATTGCAGAAGAGAAAGGCATATGCTTTATAAATACTCCAGTTAGGAAATTATTCAATTTCTTAATCCTTTTCAGATATGCATTCCCATATATACATTCCAGGCATCCCACATACGCATTGCCTCTGAACATCTCTCACAGCCAGGTGCCCCACTCATGCATCAGTGGAGAATGTGCTTGCGTATATGCATATTAAGGTGAACCATTATTTCAAGACCATTAGATGGTATTATGTGTCCATTACTTTTGAAATGAACATAGTTTTAGGATCCTTTGACCAATCTGATCATGTTCTGCCTAACTTTGATATCAGCTGTTGCGAGGAAGGATGAGAAGCATAATGTAAATGAACACAATTTGGTTCTTTAACTCACCATGTGATATAAACAATTGCATTTCTGACATCCCATTGAATCCTTTTTTTCATTCATTTTTTTTTTTTTTTGTTACTAGGTAGTCTTTTTAGGATTACTATGTGGGGTTCTGTTATGCCTTGCATTACTTTTATTGCTTATATTTCGCGTACTTCCTTTTTTATTTTCAAAAGACTTGACTTCAATTTATTATGTTGACTAAACATTATTTATCAGAGGAAGGATATATTAGTATGATAAATGAGTCAACTGGCAACATAAATGAGAGTGATGATTCATTTTCTAAAGAGTTAAGAGAGCAATATTTGTAGTGATCCTGATACGGTCATTTTACCAGAGACTGAGCCTTCCACTTTCGGTAAAAGATTTCGTTACTTCTTGGAAATAGTCTTTCTTGTACTTTTTTTATTAACTATAGAGTTTATTTTATTTTGTCAACTAAAACTTTGGAATATTTTGAATATTGCTTTAGAAAACTATTTTTCAAAGTAACCGTTTTTTCATATATTTTCATGTACAATAAAGCAAAAAGATTACTAAATGTTAATTTTCATTTACATGGTAGTAATAATCTAAAAAAGTATCAAAAATTATGACATTAGGACTCAAACTTTTTTTTTTTTTTTTTTTTTTTTGCGACTTTTTTCCTAAAGCTGGGCTTGGTGACACAAAACCCCTGTCCTGTGGATGATTCCTTTCAACTCCCCTGTGTCCCAAGGGAACATCTTAAAGTCATGCTGTCTCAAAAAGGCTACGAATTGTACACAGTATCAAAATTAAGTACACAAAGAATATTTTAATTGTAAATCTTTTACTTACATTGCCATCAGCAAGGGCTGATATCACATTTCCTAGTGCAGATAAAGATTTATTAATATTTTTTGCTTCATCTAGGACCATACCTTCTGCTCCAGTTTTGCTAACCTTAAAGAGATAAAGTATTACTACACAAGAGCTTTTAAAAAAGATGATATATATAAAGGAGGAAAAAAAGAAACTTCTGAGAAAAACTAGATATACAGGTAACCCTCGTATAACACAGTAAATAAGTTCCTAGAAAATGCCGTGTTGTGTAAAACCATACTGTACAAGACCCAGAGCCAATACAAAAAGAGGGGTTACGTTCCAAATACTCATTAAAAAAAGCATTTTTTTATGCTACATAAATAACTTTAATTTTTATTAAAAATATAAATGTATGGACAATACAAAACAAAAATATAATTTTAATTTAATGCAACTTTAATTTAATTAATTTCTTTGTAGTCATGGCTCAGTATAATCAAGCGAGAATGTTTTTTCGGTGGAATGAGATTGCTGTCATTTTCAGAATTTTTTTCTTCATTTAAAGTTCTGGCACCTTCTTCCTTCTTTAAAAAATCTGTAATTTTCCTTTGCTTACTAGTTCTTACCAGATCGTTGTAAATTTCTTGATACGGAGCTAGACAGTTTTGCAGCTCCCTTTTGAATTTTCAGCTTCATTCGGCGGAAGGGTCTACATTCAAGAAAAATGACTCGAGATTTTCAGCTAAGCTTAGGCCTTTTTTTAAAATTTTTTAATTGTTAAATTATTAACTGCACAATCTTCATCAATGCTAGCATTTTCAGAACTGATTTGATTTACAGCTTCAGATTATATGTCCATCAAATCTGCTTCGTCAAATTCTTCTTCCACTAATAAATCTTGATGTCCTCAATAACCATATCATATCCAGAAAGTTCTAATATGCCACAATTTCATTTTTTGACAATTTACGCATGTTTTCTATTTCAACTGAAGAGGGCTATATCTTCTTCCAACATGCATGTAACCTTGATGTTTTCAGTTCTTTCAGTGACAACGATATGAAGTTCGATACAGTGCTTGATTGAAAATTTCTTCCACGCTTCTATTACATTAATTGATTTTGAATCAGTTACGTCTAAAATCCACTGTAATGCTCTCCTTATGTAATACATTTTAAAGGTATAAATAATACCCTAAACAAATGGTTGGAGTAATGAAGTAGTGTTAGGAGGTAGGAACAGTATTTTGACGTTGGAATGACTCAAATCTTGTGGGTGACATGGAACATTATCTAATAGTAATAGAGCTTTGAGGCTCAAATTTTCCTGCCTTAAATAACGTTCAATGTCTGGCACAAAACAATTTAAAGTCCCCTGACACGTTACTGCACAAAAGTATTGTTACACAATCTTTAGACACTTTAAATTCAAGTGCACTTTTTTCTTTTTCCGATATAAAGGTTCCATTGTGCATTTTTTTCCTTCATAGCCCAGTTTCATCTTCATAGAAAACTTGATCTGCTGTGTATCCTTGCTCTTCTATAATATTTTGAATTTTTTCAGGAAACATCCTAGCAGCTTCATAATCAGCCGGTGCAGATTCTCCTTGAATTCTTATGCTATGAATGGCAAAATGCTTTTTGAAATTTTCGAACCAACCTACAATACAAAACAAAAAATATCATTTTAATTTAATGCAAATTTAATTAATTTCTTTGTCGTCATTGCTCAGTATAATCAACCGAGAATGTTTTATATATGTCATTGCTCTGATTGACAAATCTCTGGTTGGTCATTGCTCTGGTTGACAGAGGGTTCTCCATGTTCTTTATGGTGCATGTAAATTTTTAGTGCTTTTTGTTTAATGATATTACCATCCAACAGAATTCTTTTTGACAACTTTCATCAATCCAAATGCCAAGTGCCTTTTCCATCTTCTCAATTATTGGCGCCCAGGGGCGAGCTGCACGTTTTGCGGATGTTGAAAATCCTGCAGCAACTGCACTTCTTATGTCTTTTTCATTTTTCTTAATAGTCAGGACCGTTGCTTCATTCAAATTAAGACTTTTTCCAATGTGAGATGCCTTTTCTCCTTTTAAAAGACGATACAAGATTTGTATCCTTACTTCTAAAGAAATAAATTTCCTCTTAAGCAATGTTTTTTTTTATCTTTATCGGACATGTTTTTGAACTGAAACTTAATGTCTTAAATGCAAAAAAGTTATTCTTTTAACACCCCGTCGCTTCATGCAGACCGACGACCAGCGGCATGAAACACTTGTTGTCAGGTCACGTAGATGAGGAAGCCGAACATTCAGGCTGTGCATTTTGAAGCTCTTATTGTGACCTCATGTCGTTCATCTGCGATAGTGAGGTTCCTTCATTGTTATCAAGTGACTATGGTCTTTTGTGACTGGTATTGTTTCTATTATGCTATACTTTGATGGTCATGAAAGGAAACTATTTTCCCTTGTTATGGTTGAAAATTTAATGGTCGGTCACCACCATGTGGCTCGTCTTTCTGGGAATTGATGTTCTTACGGGAACCAGATCTTGGAAGACAACTTGCAGGACTTATGAAACAGGAATCTGGCACGAAATAGGAAAGTTATTTCCACCCCCTTCAAATGCCATTTCAATGTGAAACTACTACTTTCTTGAAATCTTTACCTTAGGGTGTGATCTTTGTTAATTTTCAGATAACAGACTAGGGCGAAGGAGGGAAGGTCATCGAGTGAAAGGGAAGTTTGTCGAACAATGACACCCTGAAGAGAATTTTTTTATTGTATCAGAGCAAAACCGTGTTGTAGGAGGGTGCTCGCAATTTATGAATCATGTTATAGCAAAACTGTGTTACGGGATGTCATGCTGTAGGAGAGCTACCTGCACTTAGATACATGTCAGTTTTTGCAAACCACTCACTATTTAATACAAATCAGTTAAAATAAATGGATATTCTGCATATCTACTTTGATATATCTAATATAAATTTGATTTCAATGTTACATAAATATGTTTCTGCATCAATATTTAAAAAATTTTCAAACTATTAATACAACATAAAGTTTTAAACTAAGTACAATGGAATAATTACAAGAATTTAAATATATACCTTTTCACTACCAGCTAAATCTACTAAGTACAATTTTCCACTAAGTTTCTTTTGGTTTTCTAAATTTTCTTGCTTCACATTTATGAGAAAGACACTGTGGCTTCGAGAACTGTGTTCATTCATATCTGTACAGGAAGAAGTAAATTATTACATACTATTGAACCATTCTTGTAAAAAATTACATTTTGATATACTATATGGAGAAACATAATAAATGATAGATACCATGAAATATCACAACATTAGAATGACTGATTACAATAATTGAACTTGATGTAAATCTGCAAAACTTAAATACAAGCCAGTACTACCTTTCAAAAAGATAAAGTGAAGAAAGGAAAAAGAAATAATATGAGGTAGGGCAGCTCCAATTTTAATGTAACACAATCACATAAAACATAAATTTTTCATCAGATAATTTGTGTTTGAAAAGATGTTTAAATTTTAAAAAATTCTTATGCAATAATTTGTTATTAGTTTATTAAAAAAGGGGGTAGAGAGGAAGCTTTTTACTGAATGTAAGAATTATAAATTTAAAAATAATTACAAATTGCACTGCTATTCCTAAAAAATAATTTTTAATTTACCTACTTATTAAATTTTATTTCATAGGAGGAAAGGAAAAAGACTTAAGTTCTAAACTTCTAAATTACAACATACTTGTAACAGCTATATGCCTATTTGCTTTGCCTTCATCTATAACTTCCATTACTTCTTCTGGGCTAGTAACAAATCTTTCTGTTGCTCCCTGCAAAAAACAGCACATTAATACAAACGATAGAAAAACATAAATGGACTACAAACCATTTTGAAAAACAAAACAGAGCATTCACTGTATTAGTCACACCAATGAACTTCCTTCTTTCCTATTTTTCTCATATGAGAGCAGCAAAAACATTTATAAAAATAAAGATACTAATTGAAAATTGAAACAGATTTTAAGCCTCAAGTTTGCTTTTTGCTTTACTACAGATTCATATAAGATCTCATTTATATGGCTTTTTCAGAGCAGGCATGCCTTTTTATACAATTTGCAAAGTTTATGTATTGATTAGGATAACACAGTAGATAAAATATAAGTTATTCTTATATGACTCCCCTGATTTCAGAAAATTATAATATTTTACTGATGCTGATGGAACTGTAGAAGAATTTTTAAAACAGGTAAATTTGGGAACTTAAAATTTCTGTGCAGATATGTTCTTAGGATGCTTTCATCATTATCAAAATTTTTGTTCAAATGTCTATCAAAATGGTTTCAGTTAAGAAAAATGATAATTGTATTGTACAGCTTGTGAAAACAAAATTTATGGTTAATGTGCAGCAGACATTTAGAATGCATAATTGAAAGAACTCTATCTGATGTGAAGATAATTAAACCACTGAAGACAAATGTTTTTGGCAAAGGATTAGTTCATTAGAGTAGAAAGACAAATTATCTTTGTTTCTCAGCAGTCTGCTGAGGCACATCAAATATCTTCTTTCATTAGGTCAAAAAAGGGGGGGGCAACTTACAAGGTGACAGGAAAATGCTTCAAACTGTATATTTATAAATTCAAAATTATTCAAGAACTGAAGTCAGATCATCAAAAATCTGAACAGTTTGCTTGTGAAGTTTTCCAATAAAGTGATGAGAACAATGATATTTTTTTTTTCAGCATCTTTGTTTTTTCAAAGACACTTATTTCATGTGAGAAGAGCATTCAACATATATAATATCAGAAACACAAATCTGAGAAACACAAAACCTTTATGTCATAAGTAAGTACATTCAAGCATACTCCAAAAGTCAACACAATGTCAGAGTCTGAGCTTTTATTTCATAAGCTAGCATGTTCAAGATAGTCCAAAAGTCTACCTGGATGTCCACCAAATGTTGCATTCTAGCATGAAGTTAACTTTTCCAATTTGCTCTTCATGACTGCAATAAAAATCAAAACTCCTATACTGATATATTGGCAGAATGAGCCTTATAGCCCCTAAAATTACTGTTCTTAGTCTCTCTCCTTCCCCCTTAGTGCATCAAAATTTAATTTACAAAACAGCAGTTCAAGATACTGAGACAACACATGTAAGCAAATGAAGGAACCACCGTCAGGCTTGAAAGTAAGTATTATCAGATTATTTTGTATCTTATAAGGCATGCTTATGTTGAAAGTTACTTAATTTTTTTTGTACAATTAATATAATATTACATATTTATATACTGATTTTTAAATACGTGTTTCAGTGAAAGTATCCATTAAAAAATTAATTTACAGTCACCTGGTATAATGAAACTTCACTTACATATTTACCACCAAAAAAGAATATTCCACAAACTAAATTTTCACTGTGAAAACAAATTTGAATTATTTCAGCATTAGTAATGAAATATTATATATTTAGTTGACTGATGAACTTTTATCTGCACAACAGAAAATAATACTAACACATAATAAATTTTAAATTGAAATAACAAAATGAAGGCAAATAAAAACTGAAATAATAAAATAAAGGTCAAATAATAAATTGAAAAGCACTGCAACTTGATAGAAGTTAAATGATATTTAACTTTATCAAATTACGTGGGGACTACAGCATTTATACGTGGGGACTACAGCATTATATATATATATAGTTTAACTCTCAATGAAAAAGTTTAGTAATTTATATCAAAGATACACAAAGCTTCCTTGATCCAGTAAATATAATCTTAACTGAAGCAACTTCTTTGGTTGTGGGATTTAGTAATCAGCAGCTTAATGAAGACCATACTACTGATTATAACAAATATATATTTTTTAAATTTTGTACATTTGTAAATACTTTTAGTGAAATTATATGTGAAGTTGTAGTATCTTCTGCATAATGCAACATGAAAAATCTGAAGAGGACAAACTCTGCCAAAAAAATAAGATTGCAGGGAGAAGGTCTATTTAATAATGAGGTAAATGGCTATCTTGTTAAATTGAGGAGATATCGCGAAGATGTTGATGGCTTTGGCAACTAATTTTTTCCACCAAATTTGGCATGAAATAAACAAAAGTCGCCATATCTGATGACTATCTGGTAAAATTTTGGTCTTGTCCTTGTACAACTGAAACTGGTACTGTAATAGAATAATTGTATTTTATCCCTAAACAGGGTTCGTACACATTTCCTTACATGAAAATTAAGGACTTTTAAGGACCATCAAAGAAAAAATTAAGGACCTATCAGCAAACAAAAAAAAAAAAAAAAAAATGAATAGAATAAAGCAATTATCCATACAACCAACTTCATGCTTGTAATTTCACTTTAAGAAACTAACAGAAGTGTGTATTATGCACTATTATTAAATTCAATTTAATACTTACCATCTAACTCCCTACAAGTTATGAAGTAGATAACATTAAATTAGGAACATAATTTCTTGAAAAACATGTATAAGTGTATTTTACACTAATAACAGTCACTATTTTAGACATATACATGATTATTATTTAACTTATTTGATATTTATTTAAACACAGTCAACTACTATTATAATCACAATGTAAGAATATTTTGCAGATTAAAATGACTGATTTGTAAACATACAATTTATTTCCTTGGTTTTTTCAGAGATACTAGAATAATAAAATGTACAATAAAAGATACAAAACATTTGTGCATTTTTTAAATCTGAAATCTTTTCAGCTATTTTAACATCTAATTTATTTATGTCTATTTCCTTTTCTTTAACTATTCTTCTAAGTTCATTTGCTTTGATAAACAAATCAATGTTCCTGCTGGTCTCAGCTTCATCTGCTAAAGCATCTACTTCTTCATTAATATCTTTAATGTCCCTTTGAAGAATTTTTTTCTTCTGCTTCATATATAATCAATTTCTTCCTCAATAATATTTCTTTTCTTTTTGAATTTTCAGATTTAGTTAAAGATTTTTTTGTTCTTCTAAATACTGAACTTCTAAATAACGAACTCCACTTCTTGCAGAAGCTGCTGCTGATCTCATTTCTTTATTAATTTCAATATTAAGAACACATCCAGAAAATTTTATGCAATCAAATACTGTGCGTTGAAAAATGTATGATGAGTCACTTAAATTTTCAATTTCAATTGCTTTATTTACAGAGAAGCCCCTTTCCACAGAGGCCTGTTCATGTAACAAGATAAGAATACTTTAATAGCGAAAATATACATTTTTTACTATATATATATATAATTTATTTCCTCAACAATATTGATTAATTGATTATATTATCTCCTAAGTTTAATTAAAGTAGAATTATTTTATAAGAGTGAATCCATACTGGTAAGTTATATTTTGAAAGATGTATATATATATATATATATATGTATACAGTACAAAGTCCGAGATCCGGACATCCAATATCTGGAATAATCTAAATCCGGACCTCAAAGCCACCACCAACCAATTTTTTACGGCTTTTTTTGAAGGGAGGGGTTATGCTTTACGCACGCGCATTAGATTTTTTTCCTCCTCATAAAAAAACATGCCGGAAATCCTGATTCTTAATCTCAGTTGTGGCGCTAAATAAACATATCTCATTATTGAGAAATAATTATTTTAGCATAAATTTGTGTGATTAGTAACTTGACTCTATAGCTGCGTATCTGCTTGGCATAATCTCAAACCGAAACATTTGTTAATTTTACACCAACTAATATTTTATATCCTTGATGCCGAAATCCGCGAATCATTTTTTTGTATTTTGCTTTCATCACAGCATGTTTATCAACGGATGACAACTTGAGTGATGAATCATGCAGTGACGCCAAATAACAGAGTATTATCCGATTACAGATTTAAGTTTAATGCGCTAAAATGTTGACAAGGGGAGATTTAGCAAGAAATTTCTTTCCTTATGCTAAAAATGGATTTTGTTATTGATACTCATAGGACAAACGATTATATTTAATGCTATTTGAATTAAGAATAACTGATTTGTTATTCACATAAAGCCAGAACCAGCGCCAGAGCTCTCATGGCCGCACCAGGTGGCAGAATTTAGCGAAGTTAAACAGAAGTTTTTCATTGCGATGACAATGCCCAATCATCAATCAATTAATGGAGGGCGAAATCTGTAGTATGGTTCTAAATCCAGAAAATACAGCTACCGATAGTGAAGTAACAGAGAGTTACTGAACGAGAAAAAATTTTGATTGACAAGTTATTCGGAATTCTCAACACAGCAATTTCAGGACTTGAACAATGGAACTTATAACTGAACAAGAAATTATATGTCTATAGTATTAGTCTAAAGTATTAGCAGAGAAAACAAATCAAACAACTCACATTGAAAGAAATGTTTAATAAAGTAAACATATAAATATTAAGCTCTTTTTCTTTTGTAAACTTTGATACCCTTTAAATCATAAATGCTTCATTATTTCATAATCACAATTTCAATTTTTCAATTTTATAATTTCTACGTGCCATCTTAGTAGATTTAAAATGATCTAATATCCGGAAAATCTCAATCTGGGATCGCCGAAGTCCCGACGAGTCCAGACCTTGGACTTTGTACTGTATAAAATATATATATTATATATATACTATAATACGGAATGTTATTTTCAGTTTAAACTTCTACCCAATAACTTTAGTAATTCATGAAAGTTAATTTTGCATCTAGTTAATTTCAGGAAAATTAGTTTCAATAGTTGTTTTCAGCTTTAAAAATATTTAAAAATTTTAATTAGTTATTTCAACTAATAATTGTATCGCCATTAGCAAAAATATGCATTACTATCAACAACATAGGTTTAAACCAAATACTTAATTTTGTCTATTGAAGCTTCAAAGGCTTCAAAACGTAATTTCCGAACTTCACTTTTTCTCGGCTAGCGTTACCGAATTTGCCCTTGGCAACCTAAAGTCAAAATGGAGCCAACAGATTTCTCGCGAAATCGATAACAGACAAGCTGCTGAAAAAAACTGATAATCCCGATATCCCATACATATAGTATGTGCAAAAGAGAATAAACTCCGTAGAAGGTGATAAAAAGTTAATTTATGGCTTAATTGAAACAAACACAGAAATTAAGGCTAAGCAAAACCGTGTAAAAACAAATTGAAATGATAAAACGAAACTTAATTTTCATGTGAATTTTCAGCGCTGACTCTCCCATTCTAGAAATTTCAATTTGTTTCAGACAAAAGACCCCATTTAGCTTTATAAGGATTGTCATCCATCAATATCCAGTCTTTGTAACCACCTTGATGAAGCCACAGTTTATTGAAAATGCACTTTTCAGGCATCTTGTTCCTATTGGCGTCCGAGGGGTTGTGGCCTTCCAGGTTTGGAATTGTTCTAATTTTGGCAAATATTTTCAGAATCCCCCCTTTTTTTTTTCTTGAGCACCTTCATCATCACTTTTCGCCTCTTAAAGAACTTCCGGCTTCACGCTTTCGTCACAATCTGCCTAAATTTATGGATAACACCTGTTTCAAAACATTGGGTGAATAGCCAATCAGACCACCGATACTTTCATTCTAGGCTAGGCTAATTTTTTTTTTTTTTTATCGTTTGCAACGCAAATCCGCCAACAGATTGGTTAAGAGTCGTGTAATTTTAATTTCATATTCATGAGAAATTGCAATTCACACTTAGAATGGCAATCATTAGAAATGATAAGAAATGTCAAATGAGCAAAATTAAGGACCGTTTATTCATTTTGGCCAAAATTAAGGACTTTTAAGGACCAAAAATCATTTTTGAAAAAATTAAGGACTTTTAAGGACTGTACAAACCCTGCCTAAAGGAAACTAACTGTATTTATTGGACCCTTAGATGCCTTCCAGTAATTTCAAGAAATGGAAAGTACTAGAGATTTTTAGCATCTTCCATTTCTTAAACCATGTCGAGTGAAAATTACATAAGTTGGAGAGAGCATCTGTTCTCAATGTTTAGTTCAGAGCTGACGTCAGAGTATTGAGAAATTGTGCAAGCTACACTTTTTGGATGAGTTTTGCATTGCTTTGTGCCTGATGTTATTAGTAGTTTGAAGGGGTAACTACTGATTGTGCTCTGCTATACTCAGAAGAGCTGTATGAATACTTTTGTGGAAAGTTCAAGAACTATAAAAGTGCTTTTTTTAGGGGGGGGGAAATTTACCAAGCTATCAATGGTTCTGTGTACATTCAGCTTATTGTGAATTTGTATGTACACAACAACACTGGCTGATTTTACCAGCTAATCAATTAACATAACTAGCACCAGACTTTATCAGCTATATCAACTAGAAAACCAAGTGTAAATTTCTGCCTTCTACATGAGAGGAGGCACAAAAGTAATTTATACCAAAGACATTGGTCATTTAGAAAATTTTATTTTAATCTTCAAGGAGAATAAAACTAATTAAATTAGATAAAGTTTTAAAAATGCACTTTTGGTAATTAGATTTAGGAATCTGGGTTCAAAAATTTAGGGGAATTTTATATCTAGAATAAACTTAGTGTATACCCTATGAGCTTTACTTTTTTAAAAAATCCCAGATTTAGTAATTTTATTTAACAAATTTTAAAAATCCCTGATTTCTTACAAAGGAAATCTACTTATTTTATATAGACTTCTTATTTGAATTCTACATTATGTGCATAAAAGATCAACTTAGCAATTGTAAAACAGAAATTAAAATGCTTAGCATGAAAAAATACATTATTAAATAACTAAATGATAATTTGTTATTAAAGAATAAAATAATTTCATTAAGAACAAACAGGCATGAAACATTAAAATTATCCGAGTGTCTCAATAAATTACATAACTTTTTAAACACAGCTCTATACAGTATAGCCAACTGATGTGAATTTATAAACATCTTAACAGACATTTACATTTCAGTAACATAAATAATACACTTAATAACTATTAATATAAGAAAAATATATGCATTTTACCTTAACATAAGGTACTCTGTTTTTGTCTTCATGCACAGACAAATTTGTTTTGGAAACTATTAAAGAAAATGTATTTAATAGTCAGCAAAGAACACCATGAAATAGATAATATAATTCTAAAAATTCTTAATCATTTATCTTATACAATACCATCTAGTAGATCCCTGATTTTATCCAAATAAATTTCAAAATAGGATACCTAAAAAAATAAAAGTATATATTTTCACTTATTAATTACTAACTTTCAATGGTTAATAAAAAAACAAAGAAAAAATATGTGTTCACAACAATTTAATGATAGCACACCAGAAAGGAGCACTTAAATTAAACATCACACATAATAAACATATTCAAGAAACACTCACTGTAACTCAATTTTGATTTAAACATTTTCAAAACATCTAAATTTACATTTCAATTATTTATCACATTGAATTTAAATTGCAATACTTTCTGTGGAAGATTTTGAAGTAATTATGCTGAAAAATAATATACATACAGGGTGGAAAAAGAACAAAATTGGAGAAATGAGTAACTTTTGACAGTTAATTAGGGAGTACAGACACTTGTAAAAAAAGGGGGGTTCTTACATATAAAATGAATGATTGCCCCCAAGGTAAATCACAATACTTTCTTTGTTGGGAATAAAAATTTTAACCCCTTAATAATAAAGGAAACATTCTAGATTTAAAAAATATAAGAGATGGTAATGCAGACCTAATAATAATGGTTTAAAATAGTATGAAAGCATAGCATACCAAATATTAAATGAAAGCATTACCAAATAATCATCTAACATATAACAGTGTTTATATAGACTTCACGTGGAAATTAAGTACTTTTACGGACCATCAATGAAAAAAAATTCAGGACCTATCAAACAAATAGGAACTGATTAAACTAAAGCATTTACCAGAACTTCATAAAATTAACTTTATAAGTTTTTTTCAAGTAATTAGCATTAAATTATAAAATTTCTGAAAACCTTTACCTTTTAAACTTAAAATAGTCGCATATATGTTAAAAAATATTACAGGCTTTTTATTTAAATTTACTAATCGTTAGCCTTATACCGATTATTTCTTTCATACTTAAACTCATCGCATTCCAGAGGCATATGCAAATTTTATGCCAAGTGGCATAAGTTAAATTATGAAGTAAAATAAAATTCAGCATGATTTCTCACAGAAGTTTGGCTGTTGCCACTGCAGCTGGTTGCTTAGCGACAGCTGATCAGAACAAATGTGAATGCCTGACGTTGGTATGGTTGATAAGTGTTGAAAGTTAGCTACACTTTGTCCGGCCCAGTTAGCGTTGTAGCTTTGTGCACATTTGCTACAGTTGTAATCCTGTTATTATACAGTACTTAATATAAAGTTCCAATAAGCTTCTGAAGCACCAGAGGTGACAGATTATGTTAATTTTTACATTTTTGTGTTCTACTTTGAACCCACAATAAGGATTAAGGTAAGGAGGTAACTCACCTTAAACATGTAGAGAAAACATCTCAGGGTGAGTAGTTAGTAACAAATAATTAAATTATATATTTAGATACCCTTAGTCAAAACACATTTACATGGTTACAATTAAAATCATCCAGTAAAACATCCAGTAAAAAATATTAAGAACATTTTAGAGCAGTTATGATAATGATTCTAAAATGATATTAGTGTTCTTTTATTTTCTTCAACAAACAAATCAATGAATACACCAAACAGTCTACGTTTCATCTAATCCATTAATGTTTCAACAATTAATAAACATGGAAAAAAGTTAAGGAAAAATTCAATTAAAATACTAATATTAAGAGAATCTTATCCTGAGACTGAGTTTATGACTTTTGTTTAGAACATGATTCAGACAGGTTGCTTACAAATTCATTGATTGTTTTTTATATAAATTCATTGATTGTTGCCTTGGAAACGATATAGGTTCAATAGATGATAGTGAATAAGATGTACCTCTGAAGAATGATTTTCTCTCTTTATAGCATCAATTTCTTTTTCAATGAATTTCCTCTTCATTTTAGAATTTTCAGATTTAATTATAGATTTTTGTTATTCTGAAGAACTGCTTATATTTACAATGTATACAAAAAACTGCTTATTTTATTTCTTTAATATGATTAATGAGAATAAATATGAACTAATAAAAGGTCAGGACGGACATCAGAGCCAGTATGGCAGAATTTTTAGAATTTTATAAAGCACCAAGCAACAAATTTTTATAATTTGGAGCAGACACTGAAGTAAGTATGGTGCACTGAGACAGAGAAGATAAACATGTTAAGAGAAAAACTTCTGGGATCACAAGGAGAAAATTCAAATAATTTTCACTTTTCTTCCAAAAATTCTACAACAGATAAGAAATTCATTATAAATTTCCCACAAAATGTACATTACAAGTTAATACCATTACGATGCTTTTTATTTTGTCACATTTTTCTGGAAACTGTAGGTCTATAAATCCTGCCTTTAGTCCTTCTGAGATGCAAGTCTATCGAAAGAAGAATTATCCCTACTAACTCTGTAATAGCAAAAAGTCAGATTGGGGGGAGGGGATTTCAGAAAAGAGAAATGGAATTCTTAGGAGAAAACTGATACATCTTTAAACATTCTGAAAAAATGATATGAGAAAAATATAAAAGAAGACAAATTAATTTTTAAATAATTACAGTAGCATTCCTTTCCTCCCCCTATAAGAAGCAATTTGGTAATTGCACCTTATAGCCATTTATTAGCTTGTTTATTATTCAGAATCAAAATATTTCCAAGTCACCAAAATGGAAAGTAATGTCACTTTAAACTATGGCAAGACATAATTAAAATGTTTTATTTTAATGTAGTTCTTAATATTTTTAATATATATCATTATTCATATTTTCTTTTTACGATGAGAATTTATTAACCGTCTGACGCTCATTGGTGGACCGAAATCGCTTCAAATTGTGTATTTTTTTTTTTTTTTTTTTTTTTTGCAAATTTTATCTCTAATTGAAGAATTGAAAAATCATTTTTTTTTCTAGAAAATTTTTTATATAGATTTTTATCATGAGAAAAGGCCAGAATACCATTTTTAATGTTATCATCAAAAACATTTTGTAATAATTCATCGAATTACAGTTATTTCTATTTATGCAAATAAAAGGTAGAATTATAATTCAGAAATATAAAGCACTGAGGAAAAAATAATTAAAATGCAGTTTAGTATGATAGAGTCAAAACGGGTTCAAGGCAAAGTCCAACTTCACAGTTTTTGGCACGAGATTCAGTAAATAGAATTAAATCAATTTACTTATAATCTAATCAAAATCTAATTAATAATTGAATAATTTAATTAATAATCACGATAATCGTGAATGTTTTCAGGCCATTTCTGTAAGAAAAAGCGGCAAAATGTCGTGTTTGAGCGGTAATACCACGTGCTTCAAACGCCCCATTTAGCGGACAACTACAATATTTTGTCCAAAACGAAACTAAGCGTAATACTGTAAATTTATTCAGTGTTCAAATGGGGAAAAAAACGGATGCGCTCATCAATAAGAAGAAAAAACATGCTCGCGGATGAGAGATTTTCTACATTTGAGTTGCCCTGAAATCGCGATAAGAATCCAGGGTTAAAAAAAATAATGAAATGTATTAAAATTTATTTAAGAAATAACATTAAAATAAAACATTTTAATTTTCTTTTGCCATATTTTAAAGTGACATTACTTTCCATTTTGGTGACTTGGAAATATTTTGATTCTGAATAATTAATGTTTGTTAACATTCCTTGCATCAATAGCTCAAGAGAATTATTTAAAATTAAATTTAACTTTAGTTTATTCTTTTGAAGCAATCATTATTTTTATCATATTTATCAATGTTTATGTTTGAAAAAAAAAGTCAAAAATTTGCAAATCTCCAAATAAAGAATTCTGCTCACAAATTGATCTTGAAATTGCCAAAATGTTGATAAGTTGCCAAATTTAGCACTGAATAATAAAGAATTCAATTGAGACAGAACCCTAGTGCCTAAAAACTCAAGTATTCACCATTAATATTAAGTAGGAAAGAATTCAAACGTTAACATATCAAATACATATTTGTCAATGCATCGCAAAAAAATTCCTCGAAAATGTTAATTCGGACTCAAAATGCCAGTCATAAAGAAACAGACAGAAATGTGAGATTAGAAAAATTAAGGACATTTTGCCAATTTTGGCCAAAATTACAGACAGTATGAACCCTGTATAAAACAATTGTACACAATGCACTTTAAATGCTATATTTGGGAACATGTTTATGCTGTCGTAGTGAATTGAAATTCCAATCAGAGAGAAAATGACAAGGGTAATAATTAAGTGCTTCTGATATTCTTTTAACCTTCTAATTGGATAAGGGTTTGGCTTCAAAATCCTAAACTGCCATATGAATGAGGTATTTTCTTGATTAATACACCAAAGTGCTCCAGATACTTTGTACCAGAATCCTTTTCTTTCACTATACTTCTTTAATTTCTTGGACATACTTCAAGGTGCACACATATATGAGGAATGTTTTTACAGTATGTACCACTTTGAAATTCCGGTGATCATTGCGTGCCTGTACGCTGTTTACCTACACCTGTTGGCAAGCCACAGGCATCATTACGAGAACTTTTGGCCAGGTTAACGTTTGTTTTTTAGTATTCACAATGGCTCTGCCGATTGAGAATCCCACTGACTGTTAAATATGGTGGGTGATTCGTTTTCTTAGTGCTAAAGATATAATAGCAGCTGAAATTCATCGTCAGATTAGTGAAGTAGAGCATTGCAAGGTATGGAAAGATAAGGTAATGGATTAGAGCTTTTAAAAATGGTTGCATGAATATGTTCATGATGACAAATGAAGTAAGCAACCATCTGTCATTACTGAAGTTTTGGTGCAGAAAGTTGATGAATTAATAAAACAGAACAAACACTTACCAAACGTTTAGGCTGTACTTTTACGTTCTTTCGGAGGTACAGAGAGGAAGGTGATGATTATGCCAAACTGCCACAGGCGATAAAATGCTACACCAGAATCGAAGCAGCAATCAATGGAATGGTGGCATTCATCATAACCCAAGAGATTAAAGTTCCAGCAAACAGTTTCAATCAGAAAAATCATGTGTATTGTGTTCTGGGACAGGAGGGGGGTGTTACTTGTGTATTCTTCCCATTGTAGCGACACAATAAACTCTATGATGTACTGTGAGACATTAAACAAATTGTGCCATGCAATCCAAAACAAAAGCTGTGGCATGCTAAGTAGGAGGATTGTTCTGATCCATGACTAAGCCTGCCCATATGTGGCTAAACAAACTCAAGATCTCAATGTATCATTTCACCGAGAACAATATGATTACCCTTCCTACAGTTCCGATAAGCACCCAGTGACTACCACCTATTCCTTCCTGCATTTGAAGAAGCATCTGGGTACTCTTCACCACAGTGACGATGACAATGTCAAAATGATCATGTCGCACTGGATATCAAATCTGGCGGGAGACCCCCCATGAAGACGGGATTCAAACCTGGTTGTACGGTATAAGAGCCTTAAAATTGGTGGAAATTATGTAAATAAAATTAGCAAGAAAATTTTTTTATTTCTAAATGGTACTTACTTTTAACACATGCCTCATATATACTCATTTAAAGATATTACAAAATATATTTCTAGGCTGCATACATGTGAACTGGGAGACTAGACAATTAACTTTAATTTTGTTTCATTGCGCAGCAAGGAGCAGGTTAGTTTTTTACTAGCATCAACTTGCTTAGACATGATCATCACTGATGCCTAAGCATAAATGTGACATCATTGAAGATGACACAATGCCACTCATTTCACTCTCTCTACCTCTGTGGGCACTCTCAAGGTTGAAAAGAGGTCACTGGAAGATTAGTCAAGTGATAAAAAGCATATAAGCTTTATTTCATAAAGTTCAGAGAGTAGTGGCATTTAAAGAAACAAACAGGAATATCTCCATAATATTTAACATCTGCTGAAATAGTCAGTTCTGTCTTGCACAAGCAACTACCAGGTATGAACACAGGAGATTATATATTCTTAAATATATCAGTCATGTCAAAGCACTTGTTTGGTATAGTCATCACTACATCCCTAAATCCTTGGATGATTATTTACAGATACAATGATTTGCGACAATAATGTCTCTGTGTCTGTCATTCCAAAAATTAATAGTATTTAGGCATTTCTATTTTATTAATCATCATCTCTCTAAATTACATTTAGCTAACACTTATGTAGATAGTCACAGTCCAAACATATGCAAAATTTCACCTGCTTACACTGTGTCCAAGTTAAGGAATTTCAATGTAGAATAGTGCATCTTTCCTCTTTATTCCCTTCTTAAAAACAGAAAAAGTGTCATATTGCTGGCAGTTTAATATGCTGTGAGTTTGTATACATATAAAGAAAATATATATTCCACTTACTTTAATATGGAACTCAATGTTTTCATCCATTGAATATATGTGATTAAATATGTCATTGACAATTCTAGGAATAATACCTTGATGTACAGGGTCACCAAGAACACCCTGCAAAAAACAAATATACAGTGACTTTGTGATTTATGAGACATAAAATAATAAAATAGAAATCTAAAATTACTTAAAACAACTTGCATTAACTAAAGATACAGATTTTTAATAATTTTTAATCTACATATACGTTGGAAAAATTTTTGAGCAATTTAAATTATGGCATAAAATATGAAAGATTGCATGCTGATATAAATGTTATTTCACTAATTGCTGCAAATTTAAATTAACTAAAGTTCTATTAAATTTTATCTATCAGTCACCTTTATAACACTTGCTTTATTTTCAGTATTGCTATTTGCTTACAGATTCCTTTTTAAGTGTTGGCATTTCTACTGATTACTATTTTATATGATAAAAATGATTATTTAAAGGGAGTATGATGAACAATCTAATATGCAATAAAGACTTATAGTCATTTAAAATTTAAAACCAGGATACTTATTGGAGTTGTCATTAATAAAATACCTGTACTACCTCATAAATTTATTCCTTCATGACTTTTCTGGAAGTCGAGGTTTATGTCTTTTATCTTTTGTGATATAATATTGAACACTAATTTGCTTCTTGTTAGTTTTCAAATTAGATTTACATACAGATATTTTTTACTTTTAGATATTTTGCAGTATGTACTTATTTAAACATTTAAAATATTTTACATCATGAATGCCTAATAAAATATTAACAAATTAAGTATATATGAAGTTCTTAAAAATTTTTTTGATACGTTGCAGATATGGTTGTTCTTTAAATTTCAATGAAATAATATACTTGTACAAGGTAGTGGGTGGCCAAGAAGGTCATTAAAGTATTTTGAATTTCAGAATTATTCCTGAAAGAAATAAAAAAATTGAACAATCACTGTTAGTGAAAATGGTTACGAATTTCTAGTAGTATGAGCAAAATTTACATTTATTTCATGCTTTATGGTATCTTCTACCACACAACTCAATACAAGGATCATAAGTTGCAAGTTAATGAAATTGCACAACATGATGTCACAGATGTAAACACAGAATATTCAAAGATTAAGATGCTGATGTGTCTAGTCTATTGGCTCAATTAATCGGATTATGGTAAAGCACAGTATGTCTAAACAGAAACTGATTCGTATTCATATACACACAGAAAAAAATTTAAAAAAAAACTCTTTTGTGATCAGCTCATTCATCACGATTTGAGCGCAAGTTGAATATTATGATGCATGACATTACCAACGCTCAGCTCAGCAGCAAACTATAACTTCCTATGACTCCTGAATGCAGCAGTGATAGGAATGTTGAATGGTTAAAGTTGTAATTGACAGCCAATGCAGAAGTATGCATTTCAAAAAGCTGTTATAATCAGCATTGTGAAATCATTTTAGAAGTATCTGCAAATCTGTTATAATTATGCTGTTACAGAGGTCCATAAACTTGATACAGAGCCCACATTAGAGTCCAGGGAAAATAAATATAATTAATTTCAGAAATGTTGTTTTACTTCAGTTGAATATGGATTTCAACTACAGACATGTACACTCGATTTGGATTGACTTATTTATAAAATAGGATAGATGGATGTTATATGTGTCAGATGGACTTGGGTTCTTTTTGTCTAATATCATTTAAGAAAACCACACATCAGACAGCAATCAATGTATAAATACTACCTGGTGCTGGAGTAAAACAATTGTTTTAGAATTTTACCTTCCTAAGTTACTCTTCGGATAAGCACTTTTCTCATTGGCTTGATTAGAATCAAGTTATTCACAGTAGAGATGGATGATCTGCTTCGGAACCAAGTCAAAGAATCGAATCACTTTACTGAATGAATGATCAGGGCTCTGGTGAAAACAGAACCTCAGTTATTTAACAGTTCACAGAGAGCTGTTGTTGGAAAGCTTGCCAAAAAATTTGATTCCTCTTAACGTAAAAACATTCTTTCCTTTATTATTTACCAGAAATATCTTTGACCTATTTTTTAATGTGTCTATGTGTGTTATGCATGTATGTATGTGAGCTTTTGGTTTGCTTGTGTTTCATCTAGTATTTAAAAGGCAAAAAATTAAATAAGACGACACATCTCAGCAAAACTGACCAATCCTGTTTGTAAATGGATGAAGTTTTTTCCCCCATCTGGCAGTGCGAAGATCTTTTTAAAGTATGTAGATTATAGGAACTAGTTTTTTGAATTCCCAGCTATCAGTGCTTCGGCACTAGATGCACTTCCAGGTCCTTTGGAGTAGTGATTATCAGCTCTTTTTATTGCTCCGGCTCTAGTTGTGGATCTGATTTTGATGGAGTCTTCATTATTCGCTGTTTTCATTGCTCTTGCTGCAAATCTGGCTTCAGCAGATTTTTGATTATTTGCTCTTTTTGCTTCCTCGGAGCTGTTCCTGTTAGTTTCATTTTGATTCTTTCAATAGTGTGTCATAGTATAGCTATGTTTACGTATTACTTTTTTTATACAATATTACTGTAATATTTATGTAAAATAATAAATTATATTTTTAATCATATACGTTTTCTACTAACATCTAGTAATCAAGAGCTCAGAATTTCTCTTTAATCTTCTTTAGAATTAACATGTATTCATAAAAATAAATTTTTCTATCTAATGTACTTTTTCAAAGTTGCAGAACAAAATATGGACCCTATCAAATAGAAGAACCTCGAGTGATTTCGTCAAATTAGATTTAAAAAAAAAAGAGGAAAATGCTGGTATTGTCAGCAGACAATATCCTGTTCTGGCTCTGCCTCCAATCTAAAAATTTATTTTTACTCTGTGCTTTGTAGTAGCAACAAAATATCAATTATAGTAATAAAACAATGTAATAAAGGGAATCTCAAAAGTACAGTTGAAAGAAATCACTCCAGGAAGTGAGCGGTTTAGTTGAGTTGATTCCAGCGATCCTACTCCTTGTTCAATTCTTTCTGCTTTTCCCCCCATCTCTGCACACTGCTGCTCTTGATCCACGCCTGTTCCCAGCACATTCATCAAGGTCATTGTTAGTGAGTGGTGAATTGTTAAAAAGAACTGATTCACTTCTATGAGTGAACGGTTCTGATCTGATCCCTTAAGCCCATATCACACGGCGGTTTGTTTCGGAAGGACAACTTTTCTGCCTGGTTTACTACTGAGCAAAAGACGCGCGATTTTTTTGCTTCCATTCGGAAAAAGGTGCAGGTTGTTCGTTTTTAACCATTCAGCCATTAGCTTCGAATCCCTCATCATCATCACAATCAAAACAACTTCAGATGCGGACTGCAATGGTACAAGTGGTGTACAGAAATCGAGCTGAACTTATTGAAGAAGTGAGGCAAGGTGGTGTTTAGGATATTACAGATCCCAGTTAACACAAAACTCGAAGCGGAATGCAATATCCAAATCCCAGCATCTCGCAAATTGCCTGAATATGGACACACGTTTACGCCCTAAGTATTATTGCACTTTGTGCTGTTAATTAAATAACATTATGTATATATAATATATCATTTGATGTTGTCATGTTTAAGCATAATTATGTAAAGAAAAGTATGTTTTATTCCGATATCTGGGCAACTTTGTAAAATACGGCGGCTTTGTCGCCAAAACGAATGCCAAATTTCGCTGATTATATTTGTAAACATTATCGTGATTGATGGTATTCCGCGTACTACCAGGTAATTTAAAAATTTACTTATTGGAATAGCGCGTGACGCATTATTCCATACCTTAAATCTGTTTGGTACTTCTACACTCGTATAAACTGATTTATGCTATGAGTATAATCTATATTGCAAAGGACATGTTTACTAACATGGACACCCAAAAAGATTGTAGCAAAGAATAAAAACCTTTAATTTCCGAAGTGTTACATAGATCTTCAGTCCACTCCTTATATTGCCACAGATCTAAATCCCTTTCTACAAATCTGTTAGAATAATATCTACATAATAAAAGTGTTCCATTCTACAGAGACTGTGATGACAAATTTCAGACCTCAGGACATATTTTCGGAACGAAAGGAAAAAGATGAAGCTGTTTAAAATTGGAAGAAGATCCACTGGATTTGTACTGAAGTGGAAGCATTATGTACAGTTTCAGTTTTTAGATTACTCTTTTGCTGCTATGGCCAGTTGCAGCAATATGGATAATCATCTAAGTGTATTGTAATGGTAATTTTTAAATCTATAATTTTTTTTATATTAAAACACTATTTATGAAATTTGCAAATTTATGTGTGTGCTATAATATAAAAATCATACAATGTTTCCTTTTCTATGTTTATGGCTCATGTGAAATTCAAAATTTTGTCTGATTTGCCACTCTGGATTCATATTTTGGCGATCAGGGTGGTTGCATGTTTGTTTTTCCCAAGTGTAACTTAAACATTTTCCAGTTTCTCTTTAGGAAATCTACCATGAAGCCACCTCTGAGATGTATAGTCCTTGCAGAATCTACCATATTCAATAAAACAAATTTAAAAAAAAAATCATATAAAAGTAATGAAATGAAATTTGAAAGGTTTCAGTGTTTTAATTACGCCCAAAGGCATGTTTTTTACCATTTTGTTTGTTACCTTTATTTATTAAATATCATGTTCTTCACACTTAAACCATAAATTTCAGTTCTAGAGCAATATCGCAAAATAATTTTAAAATGATGGTATTTTTAGAATTTCTGATACACAGTCTCACACGCTGGAGATTAAAATGTTTTTTTCTGTACAATGTTGCCATTGCTTGCTTTGAAATTCCTGAGTTTGTTAATCATAAATCTGATAAAAGTTTTACAAAATTAAATTGATAATAGAACAAATTTCAAATTTAGGCTTCCAGATGCCCATATTCATAGGAGGATTACGTTATTCAAAATTTGATGGCCTTAGGTACCATTGTTTTATCACACTGTGAGAAACATATATTTATGCAGATTCTTCATTATTTAATTTCTTTAAATATTATACAGGGCGATAATATTTGGTGGCAAGAATTTGAAAAGTGAAACAAAGCTTATATTGAATCAACGCAAATGTGAAAATGAAAATAGTAGTCATTCTGGGCAAATGATTGGATTGATTGATAACATGTTGAATTTATTTTACTCTGGTATCCTTCAGAATCCTTTGCCATAAGAACCTATTAACCTACCTCGATTACATAGTCATCATTTTAATTTAACTATTTACTATTCCCATAATTTTAAGTCTAAGCACTTTATTCCTTTTATTAAATAACTATTCGTAATGTTAGTTGAATCAGATTTATTGTTCATTAATTAACACGTTGACTGCCAACTACGAGTAACTCGTAGATTGCGTTCTTTTCTAGAACGGCAACTACGAATTATCTCGCACTGTGTTTACTTGCCATTTTTGTGAAGCTACGATTAAACTCGGAATATTTCAGCGCTAATATTGACAGATTGCTTCTGGGAAAAGAACAAAAAAATCAATGCTAGCCTGCATAAACAAAATTATTAAAATGAACAAAAAAATATTATAAAAATTAATAACATATGATTAAATTGATTTGGCTTCTTGGACCGGAATACGAAAAGTGCCATGGCCATCAATGTGTTAATAGAGTTGATAATATTCATTTTTTAAATATTCTTTTTCTTTCAGAATTTTGTTCAAGAAACTGAAACATTTCAAGAAGAAAATGTTCTTCTACAAGCACAAAAGAAACATGCAATCTATTAGAAACCCCCAAAATGTCTGAAAGTCAATTGGTTGCTCCAGTCACAAGGAAAAAAAGAAAAAACCTGAAGATGAATTTTTTACTACAATGACAAAATGTCTAAAAAACATAACAGAAGAGAAAGATGTGAACAACTTGTTTGGAGCATATGTTGCTGGTCAGCTGAAGACAGTAAAGTGTCCTGCTGATCAGGAACTGTTATGGATGAAAATTCAAAATTTGATTTATTAATTCAAATATCCACAATAAAATTCTGTTAACATGAATATACTTGTTTATTTATTTATAATATTTTCTCTTTTTAATTATAAATTTGCAGTAATTTCATGGAAGTCATTAATAGATGAACTATAATAAAGTGATTCACTGTTTTTATGTGTGTTTGTATATATGATTAAAAATATACTAGAGGCTTTAATAAATTATTAATAATTAGGAACTACTTGAGATATATATGAGTTTTTATTGGAACATGCAGAATAATTTCAAACGTGCCTTAGTGTAAGTCATACATGGCTTCTTGCCAGGGAATGGATCCAATACCATTAAAATAATTGCAAAATCTATCTCTGATATCTTTTGCCTCCTGCGAACCATTGCGTGCACTTTGCTGCAATGAAATAAATTTAGAATTGCTTCTATCTGTGTATTGTCACAGAATCACAAGCAGACGATTTAATTAATGTGTCGCCAACTACACTAAAAATAACTAATTTTGGTAACCTTCGTGTTTGCAGTAGAGAACCAGTTTTCCCTTTACATGTTAACCCCAAAGTGATCTACGGTGATTGGCTGTTGTATATCACGTGACAAAGCAGAAAAATTGTTCCAAACCATTGTCCTTCCGAAACAAACTGCCATGTGATAGCAGCCTTAAAGTAGCTGTTCTGCCCACCTCTAATTCACAGTTAGAAGGTAATTTATATTTGCTTGACATTATCAAGTAAAGCTAAGGCAATAACTGTTATATCAGCTTATCTGAAGCTGACATGCAACATAATATTTGCTGAGTGGAACTGAGTAACACAGGCAGTACATACTTTTACATTCTTTCATTCTCTTAAATTTACATGCACAGGTAATCACAAGAATACTAACAAGCTTACAATGAGCAACCCAGCATCAAATGCACAAATGATTCACAAAAAAAAAAAAAAAAACTTGAAAATAGTTACCTCCATTGTATGTGTTTTGCCACTAGAAGTTTGTCCATATGCAAATATGGTTCCATTGTAACCCATAAGAACATCTAAAAATACATATATCTATGTATCAATTAAAAAAGTTTGGAAGCAACTATTACTAAAACAATATTAATGAGAACACAGGTTGCCACTTCATTTGAAAAACATGAGCTTCTAATAATAATAAATGCATCTACAATAAAGTCATTATAATGCCTTTATAATTAAGTCATTAAAATTTATAATTAACAATTTCTTCAAAATTTAAGAACTGCAAATCAAACTTTGCCACTTCCAGATGCACTGATTAAAATTTAATAATTGAACAGCCGTAATGCTCATCCTGTTTTCAATTAACTACACAAGAAAATTTATTTTCAATTGTCTGTATGTTGATATAAAAGTGAATCTTGAATTGTTAAACAATAAACATTTTGAAATATACATACATTTTGGTTGCAAGAGTTATCCTTGGCAGCAGCAGGTACTGGACATCAAAGTTTAAGACCGCGGAGATTGCAATGAGCAGCAAAATGTGTAGTGCGCCTTCTATAACCACTCAAGAGCAGAAAGTGTGATTGTGGCTAGTATCAATACAAAGTCATTTAGTGCATTGTTATAAGTTATGTGACTTGCTGGGCAGCAGGTGGTTGAGTGACATACAGAACCTCAGTTAGTTGAGAGAAAAGCTGTGTTTATCGATCAGTAATTGTATGCAGTGGTTTCCACACACACAAACACACACAAAAACTAAGTAGAAAGAAAAATTGTAATCCTTTTTAAGAGGATTTTGAGACTTCATCATAATGTGCGTTCTTGGCATATTAACATGTATACGAATATGGGCTTTTTATTCATATGCACAGTACATGACTGCAATTATTTACAATCTACAGTACTAACAAGGCATATTAACATGTATATGAAGTCTTTATTCATTATACAGGACATCACTTATTTACTATCTACAGTACTAACAAGTAAGCATACATATATATTACATAAATTTAAAAACATAATGTTTCTTTTGGATTGCACCATAACACGCATAAACCTTATTTATGACACCTCCTTTCTGATGTCTGTTCTGATTTGGTGTCTCGTGGGAGAAAGGCTGAAGTGCACATACATGGTGTTCACCAGATCCTGACAATGACCAATCATGGTTCTAGGTGATTTTAATCTTTGGTGGAGGTGGATGTCTTAAAATTGAAGTTCAGTATCAATATTTCTTTACATACTGGAAGATATTGGTCCAATTTTCAGAGGTGGTCTCCAATAGAGGTTTATTTATTTTGAATATGAAGACTAATAAAAATAATGAGGAGAGAAAACAAAAGTGATGATGCAATAATAAATAATTAATTTTTTTAATCTGATGGATGTATTAAAAAAATATTTAATTAATTAAAACAATTTTCTCAAAATAAGCACATGGCCAGCAAAACAAACTACTACTCAGTGTTCACATAATTAATAATTTTGAAACTGTTAAGTATTTTGCTTTGCAATAGCAGGTATGTCGTTTCATGCTTTTACAAATGAGAACACACTTTATCTTCTTTATTACTTCCAATTTCTTTTAATAATATTTTCTCCAAAGGATATAACAGAGCATATGATGGTGATAGTCACAGATGATCACTGCATTCCATAATAAGGCTTCATGTGCTCTGTAATCTCTTGTGTGGGGAGTTGATTTTATTGCCTTTCTCTCCAAATTTTAAATCTCACATTACACAACAATACTTTCATGAACACAAATTAAAATACAAAGATTGAAATAATGATGAATTTGAAATGATATAAGATCCAGACCACTAGGCAAAAAATAAATTAAAAAAAAAATCCCACTACAAAATCTAGCAATGATGAATATAATACTCAACAAATGGGAGCAGGTATGCAGTAAACACAGCTTTTCTCTCAACTAACTGAGGTTCTGTATGTCACTCAACCACCTGCTGCCCAGCAAGTCACATAACTAATAACAATGCACTAAATGACTTTGTATTGATACTAGCCACAATCACACTTTCTGCTCTTGAGTGGTTATAGAGGGCGCACTACACATTTTGCTGCTCATTGCAATCTCCGCGGTCTTAAACTTTGATGTCCAGTACCTGCTGCTGCCAAGGATAAACACATCAGCTCCATTGGGAAGGGGGTAGTACTTTTCTGTCTAACCAAAAGAATAAGCAAAGTCCTAATGTTGCATGTCTAGATGTCCCTTACTAAATTTTGAAATCTGGAATTGCTGAAATCCCGACAATTGCGGATTTTGTTCTGTATAGCACTAAAAGTAGTATCATTTTTTAAAAACTAGAAGAAAGTTTAAATTTTTTACAACCTACCACCAGCAATTAACAGCATGTCTAAGGTGGCTATTAAAATAGGTGAAAGCCAGTTAGTTCCTCTTTTAAGAAGTGCTGATGCAGTCCAAGGACAACAGATTCCATGGAAAATCCAACTACACTCAAACAGCGCATATTCTCTTAAGAGGTTCTTTTTAATGCCTTTGGCTTAAATGGAAACCTATTTGAAAGTGTTATTGTCTAAAATGTTAGGGGACTAGCTTAGTCACTCTAGTCAAGTTAGATCAAGTTTACCCAACATATCTTTACAAGCATCAATCTGATCTACCAAAGATTTAAACTTGTTGAGCCTAACTACTAGCTAAGGATAAAATAAAGCATTTGATGTTTCATTACAAAGTTTAAGGAAAAATTGCAGGAACCATGTGAGTAACCTTTACCT